GTTGTTGCTGCTGCTGTTGTTTTTTCCTGTGAATTGATAGAAGTTGTAGTTATGCTTGGGGGTGGGTTACATTTTTATTTATATATTTCAAAGTTTTTTAGAATCTGTTCAGTTCAAGGTGCTGTTTTTATCCTGTTGTGTAAATTATTTGTGGTGGATCTTCTGTGATTGTATTCACTCACCTGTCCATTAAGATTAGCAAAAATGAGGCCCTGTGTGAAGTAAAACAGTCCAATGAAGGGCTTTGCTCACTGCTATGTCACTTAGGGCAAAGAGGGGGAGGGAGGGAGGCAGGCTTTGAGATTTCCTTTTCTTAAAGTATGGTGTGCTTGTCTGTCTCTTGCATTGCAGGTCACAGAAGAGACCAGTAACATTTTACAAACATTGGGCTACATTTGCACCTGCCGAGGCATAATTAACGTAAAAGGAAAAGGGGAGTTGCAGACCTATTTCGTACATACAGAAATGACAAAATCCCTCTCACAAGGGAACGTGGTGTCCTGAAACAGGCTCTCGGCTGCAGGCAGTGCCGCATTTTAAAAGAAGCATCGCCCATTTTCTCCTAAGTCTCTTTCAGCCCATACCATGAACATGTGTGTAATTTTCTGGTACATAGAAATGTTGCTGTAGTCATATTTACGGTCTCCTCCCACCACTCTGTATCCAGAGACCTTAATAGTCTTAATGTTCCAGGATGGCCGAAACAAGGTATGCTCTGGGCTGGGAAGACTGAGCTTGCACTGTCAACTCTTCAGTGGAAAAGAGAAAATTTGGACAGGAGTTGGAGATATTAAAGGTCTGAGACCTTGGGGAAGACGGTTTTAAGAAAGAAAAAAAATACAAAAAAAAAATCTTATGGCAATAAAACTGGAGCTGCATGGAAAGTTGTGGGAAGTATGGTAGCTCCCCAATATCACCTTCTAGTCCTGAATTTGTAACCTCTAATTCTGTCCCTTCATCTACTACAACTAAGGTGTGTTCACTAGATGCCAGGGACAGGAAATGGAGCCCCTGACTAACCACCTTCTCAAAAGAACTATAGATGAGCAGGACCAGTTTTGTACAAAATGTGTCAAATGTTTTGATGCCATTGTCTTTTGTAAGTTTAACTCATTAAAACTTTATATGTACTTTTGTCTTGCAATGTGAGGTTATTGCGACTCTTGCATGAATACATACAGCAGCATCAAAGTATGTGATGTTTTATAGCCTAAAAAAAGGCAGACCCAATAAGTTCACATTTTACTTCTGAGAGGAAGGGAGAGGAGGCAGGGGAGAGACGGGGCAGGCAAGCCAGGGTGGAAGTGAGGCCATGCAGCAATTTATACTTTACCTCTCTTATGGATGAAGAAGAAGAGGAGTTTGGATTTGATATCCCGCCTTTCACTCCCTTTAAGGAGTCTCAAAGCGGCTAACATTCTCCTTTCCCTTCCTCCCCCACAACAAACACTCTGTGAGGTGAGTGGGGCTGAGAGACTTCAGAGAAGTGGGACTGGCCCAAGGTCACCCAGCAGCTGCATGTGGAGGAGCGGAGACGCGAACCCGGTTCCCCAGATTACGAGACTACCGCTCTTAACCACTACACCACACTGGCTCTCACTACACTGGATAGCAACTTCACTTATTTCATGTGGGTTACTTTCACCCTATAGCCTCCCTAGTGCTTGTTAGAACCAGTTCACTCTTTAAAAAATAGTAATGAAAGGAAATCAGTAATTAAAATCTCCTCCACCCTGGGAACAGAATCAAGCAAATCGGGGAAGCAATTCAAGTAGCAACTAACAGTGTTCCTCTCCTCCTCACTAATCTCCCAGTTGGGTTCAACAGGAAGCAGTAACAACAGATGACCTGCAGAAAATAAGTGTTTAATTTCAAAGGTACAAGAACCCTGAAAAGCTTTTAAGCACAGTGGTACCTTGGTTTTTGAACAGCTTAGTTCACGAACAACTTGAAACCTGAACGCTACAAAACTGGAAGTATGTGTTCCGGTTTTTGAACTTTTTTTCGGAAGCCGAACATGCTCCGTTTTGAGTCCTAAGCTTCTGTTTTTACTGTTGCGCTGCTAATTTGCGTCCCCTATTGTAATTCAAGCCTTCTGTTTCTGTTTTTCCTGTTGTACTGCTAATTTCCATCCCCCCATTGTAATTCAAGGCTTCCGTTTCCAATTGCAGTGTTCTGAGGTGGCATTTGGAGCTTATATTTTGGTGCCTTTGTTTTTGCTATTTATTTTGCATTTTTTGTTTTTGAGTCTTTTTCGGTTAATTTGTTTTTGTGACTGTGTGGAACCCAGTTCAGCTACCAATTGATTGATTGTGACTCCAGAAATGAATAAAAGCCCCCCATCCAAACAATGATTATCATCAGTGCAAGTATGAATTTTTTTAAAATTTTATCATCTGCAATACTGTTTTATTTTATAGTACAGTGCATTGTTTTTTGCTTTCATTTTATGGATCAATGGTCTCCTTAAATGTTCATGTTAAATTGCAGTTTTAGGGGTTGTTTTTAAAAGTCTGGAATGGATTAATCCATTTTGCATTACTTTCTATGGGAAAGTGTGCCTTGGTTTTGGAACGCTTTAGTTTTGGAATGGACTTCCGGAACGGATTAAGTTTGAGAACCAAGGGACCACTGTAGTACTTTATACCTAGACAGGCTGGTGCTGCAGCTGCATTGAGTTACAAACATGTTACAAATCACTATAAGTCAGCTCTCACAGAAAACAGTAGACTGAAACAGTTTGATAATGACTCTGTAAAACAGGAGTGGATACAGGGTGTTAATTCTAGGGCATGGAGAGGAACAATATGGAAGCAACTGTGGTTTGACTCTCTGTAACAAAGTTGCTGATATTGTGTGCCAGCATCCACACTTGCAAATTCTGCTGCAGGAAAATACCGGGTGTGAGAGCTGAGTTGTATGTTATGCAACTTATTTGTTGTTATTTAGTCGTTAGTTGTGTCCGACTCTTCGTGACCGCATGGACCAGCGCACGCCAGGCACTCCTGTCTTCCACTGCTTCCCGCAGTTTGGGCAAACTCATGCTGGTAGCTTTGAGAACACTGTCAAACCATCTCGTCCTCTGTCATCCCCTTCTCCTTGTGCCCTCCCAGCATCAGGGTCTTTTCCAAGGAGTCTTCTCTTCTCATGAGGTGGCCAAAGTATTGGAGCCTCAGCTTCACGATCTGTCCTTCCAGTGAGCACTCAGGGCTGATTTCCTTCAGAATGGATAGGTTTGATCTTCTTGCGGTCCATGGGACTCTCAAGAGTCTCCTCCAACACCATAATTCTAAAGCATCAATTCTTCGGCGATCAGCCTTCTTTATGGTCCAGCTCTCACTTCTATACATTACTCCTGGGAAAACCATAGCTTTAACTATACAGACCTTTGTCAGCAAGGTGATGTCTCTGCTTTTTAAGATGGAACCTGGAATGTAAGAACCATGAACCTTGGTAAGCTGGATGTGGTCAAAAATGAGATGGCAAGAATAAATATTGACATCCTGGGCATTAGTGAACTAAAATGGACAGGAATGGGCGAATTCAGTTTGGATGACCATCATATCTACTACTGTGGGCAAGAATCCTGTAAAAGAAATGGAGTGGCCCTCATAGTCAACAAGAGTGGTGAAAGCTGTACTGGGATGTAATCTCAAAAATGACAGAATGATCTCGATATGAATCCAAGGCAGACCTTTTAACATCACTGTAATCCAAGTTTATGCACCAGCTACCGGTGCTGAAGAAACTGAAATTGACCAGTTCTATGAAGACTTACAACACCTTCCAGAAATGACACCAAAGAAGGATGTTCTTCTCATTATAGGAGATTGAAATGCTAAAGTAGGAGTCAAGAAATAACAGGAACTGGCAAGTTTGGCCTTGGAGTTCAAAACGAAGCAGGGCAAAGGCTAGTAGAGTTCTGTCAAGAGAACAAGCTGGTCATCACAAACACTCTTTTCCAACAACACAAGAGACGACTCTACACATGGACATCACCAGATGGGCAGCATTGAAATCAGATTGATTATATTCTCTGCAGCCAAAGATGGAGAAGCTCTATACAGTCAGCAAAAACAAGACTTGGAGCTGACTGTGGCTCAGATCATCAGCTTCTTATAGCAAAATTCAAGCTTAAACTGAAGAAAGTAGGAAAAACCACTGGGCCAGTAAGACACAATCAAAATCAAATCCCTTATGAATACACAATGGAAGTGAGGAACAGGTTTCAGGATTTAGATTTGGTGGACAGAGTGCCTGAAGAACTATGGATGGAGGCTCGCAACATTATACAGGAGGCAGCAACGGAAACCTCCCCAATGAAAAGGAAATGCAAGAAAGCAAAGTGGCTGTCCAACGAGGCCTTACAAATAGCGGGAGAGAGAAGGCAAGCAAAATGCAAGGGAGATAAGTGAAAGATACAGGAAACTGAATGCAGATTTCCAAAAAGTAGCAAGGAGAGACAAAAGGGCCTTCTTAAATGAGCAATGCAAAGAAATAAGTGAAAACAAGGCAGCCCAAAAGGCTGCACATGGAACTGCTATAATGCTCTATGGTTCCGGGTGCTCTTCAATAGCAGCTGCTGCTGAGGAACATCTGAGCCTCCCAGCAGCCTCTTTGTAAGCACAAATCAATAATGTCCAGTTTCTCCGCTTATTCAATCTTTAATGCCTTCCCCATTGCTTTAGCACCTTTGGCCCCTCTTCCAGATGGATGCATCCCCACCTCCTGGAGCCTGGCCGGCCTATCCATCATTGATGTGGGTGTCTCACATTTCGGAAGCTATACAACTTCATAGGGAAGACCCTGTCCAGTGAATTCATTCTCAAGCCCAGCTTTAGTGATCCTTGTCAGATCCAGGAATACTTGTGGCCTTTTGCTGCAATCTCCTCTAGACAAATTGGTTTTAAGCTCCTTTGTTCACGCAGAAGCAGCTTTTCTCAGCCTTCCAGTCTCCTTTATATGTTGTCTGACATCACAGTTAACACAGACTGTCTCTTAGTAACCAAAGAACTCAGCAGACCGGGGGGGAGGGGGGGCTGGAGAAAAAGCGGCCACTGGAGCCCTGAAGGCGGCCAGCCTGCCTCCCAGCAAAGCTTTTAGGCTTCAGTAGGGAATGCAAGAAGCCCAAAATGGGGAAGAACTGGGAGCAGAAGAGAAAGAGTTGGAGGAACTGGGAGGCATCAATGAACAACTAATAAGGAAACACCAGCTGCCACTCTCAGCACAGTCAGCCTTCAGCTATGTTCCCCCCCAACGCAAAGATCCCCCTGAACTCAGCTACTTTCACCAAGAGAGCAAGGTGCGTAGAGCAGAGGGGAAGGAGCAGTTGTGAGGAGGAAGGAATCCAGTTTTGAACTGGTTTCACTGAAGGAACAAAGTGGGAAGGAGGGGGAGAGAGTGAAAGGCAACTCAAAACTTTAAGCAGCTAAAAGCAGCTAATAGGGAGCCAGTGTGGTGTAGTGGTTGAGAGCGGTGGACTCGTAATCTGGGGAACCGGGTTCGCGTCTCCGCTCCTCCACTTGCAGCTGCTGGGTGACCTTGGGCCAGTCACACTTCCTTGAAGTCTCTCAGCCCCACTCACCTCACAGAGTGTTTGTTGTGGGGGAGGAAGGGAAAGGAGATTGTGAGCCGCTTTGAGACTCCTTAGGGTAGTGATAAAGCGGGATATCAAATCCAAACTCTTCTTCTTCTAGCAAATTCTCTATTAGAAGTTATATCTGTGCTACAGGTAATTTCTCAATATTTGCACACACACAACCTTCCATTGGTGCCAGCTCTGGACTGTTCCATGTGGAAAACGACTTGTCCAGACTTCCACTTGTCCTGTGCCAAGAAAGCATGGGTCCAAGCGGTTTTCTGTTTGTCCTTCCACTTTCCCTGGGAAAACCCAACCTTTACTGCTCAATCCCTGGAAAACCTGACTGCTGTTTGTTCAGTGGTAAAGTTCAGCTTTCCCTGGGGAAAAGTGGTGGGAGAAGTGGAAGTCTGCATGAGCCCTAAGTGGTAAAATGAGGGTCATGTGTCTGCTTTTTCTCCCTCACAAGGAATAGTCTGTATTTGTCCTTGGAGTCATTCTGCTGGTTCTTGTTTCCTTAGACTCTTGTTTCTTCTTACTCCTTTCCTAGATCCTTCTGTTTACAGTCCCCCCCTCTGGGATCTGAGCTTTTCTGTCCCTTAGGAGAGTTCTGTGTCTTAGGAGGTCACTATCAAGAGGCTTCAGTGGCCTCCATCTTCACAAAAGCTCTTAAACGTATTACATGATACATTAATTGGGAAGAAGCGTGTTGCCCTGACCTGTGTGGGACATGTGTAGCAATGCCAAAGGCAGTGCTCCAATCTATGCGCAGTTCTCGGCTCCAGATCGATTTTCAGCATCAGGGCTGAATGTTAAAGCTATGTGGTGCTGCCGTCATGAAAAGCGCACGTGGGCATTGTGCTCACAGCAGACTCAACCAAACCTCATTATATCTGTCAGTTTTATTGGTATGATTCTTTGTAACCTGTGTCATCTTGTCAGTTAACGGCATGGCATTTCTTCCCCCCTTTATTTTTAAGCCAGGAATTGTTTCCCTGTACGACTGCATCTTTAAAAGACCCATGGGCTATGACGAAAAACTCCACCGCTGTGACAGAGAACACGCCAAAAGCAGAGGACTTCATATTAATGATGAGGTGACCAAATTGATGATCTCTTGACTGGGCTGCAGTTTGACGGCAATCACTATTTGCTCATCTTTCTGTTCTCCCAGTCATGAGAACTGCAGCTCCCCTCCTCCTTGGCCACTGGCCATGCCGGCTGGTGCTGGTGGGAGTGGCAGTTCATCAATAGCCGGGGAGCCACAGGCTGCCACACCTGCTGCAAAGTGCTTTACAAATGCTAAGTATCGTGTAGGTTTGAGGAGGCGACAAGAACAGCTAGTGGTCACTCTGAGCCCACTTCATGGACCATAGCTGTGTCAATTTTATGAATGCTCCTCTCTCTCACCAGCAACAGTAATGATACTAAAGACTATAGACAGTAAAGGACACTGACAATGAAGTGCACCTAGAGGAGGGCAACCAGGAGCACCAAGAACACAAATGCAAACCCAAAGCACAGTCCCATGAAACACCCACCACCATTTATAGAAGCAAAGAGTTGGAAGGGCCTCCCGGGGTCGTCTAGTTCAGCCCCCTGCAATGCAGAAATCTTGGCAGTTTCCCCCATCCAAATTTAAACCAGACCAGACCCTGCTTAGCTTTGCAAATGTGCTAGCAATTTCATTGCTGCACCACTAGGAGGACACAGGCCTGTCCCTCCACCCCCACCCTGTCCCCCTCCACCCTGTTCCACCTTTGCTCTAGATGTGGATCAAAAGTGGGAAGGCACCTGGCAGAATGATACCACAAGATGGGCAGGGAGCGGAGGAAAGAACATTTTGGCAGCAGCCCTGCACTAACCACCAGTTTCACCCTCTTGCCATACTCAGAAATAACATCTAACATTTCTTAACAGGAAAAAGCAAGGCCTATGGCAGTCTTGTCCTCCTCTGAATATGGGCGACGCATAGACAAGCCCGTGGAGCAGCTGGTCCGAGACCATGTGCGCATTAAACACGTTCAGGCGGAATTCTACAGGAAAAACGGAATAGCTTGCTTGATAGAAAAATCATCCAGAAACATTGAAGCAACCTAAGGCTACTTGTTGTGATTGATAGCAGGGAAGAAATAATGTGCCTGGGTTTTGTTTCTGTATTATTTCCTGTACTGTGCTACTGGGATTTTGGGGAAAATCCAATATTGCATCAGATCATCTGATGAATTCTTTGCAGGGTTGCTAAATTAAGTGAGGCATGTTTTACTTGAATGTGCCTGTAACATGGCAACATTTATGCAACGAGCAGCTCACAACAGCATTCTACAAGGAGCATTAGCTCATAATACAATATTCGGGGAAGAGGGTGCAGTTGCTCCCATGACAAGGGGGTTTCCGCTTTTTTCAGTGCATCCTGCTTGCTAAAGCAGCCATGTGCTTGTCTGTGAGTACTACACTCAACCATTTCTTATGACATGCTAATAATATGCAGGTTAGAGCTTTGATTCACAAATCAATGGATGTTAGATCACAAATGAAGGTGCTGACAACATGCTTTTGCTTAATGTGTCTTTTCTCCCCTCATTCTTGGAAACAAAACCTTGTTGCATATCTCATCGTTACCATGTCTTATAGTGTTAACAGCTTAGTATAGCTAGAAAGCAAAATTCTTCATCCATGCATTCAGAATGCTCAGATAATGATAAATCTGCAAAATAAAAAAGCTTAGGAAAAGATATGCATTTATTTGACAGTACAGTATGCACATCATGATTCACAGAGCCAAAGGCAGCCCACCAAACTTGGGCTGGAGCTGTGTCCAAGTTCAGGGGTCACCAATCTCACATTCAGAGGTGTTATGGCGCCTGCAAAGGCCTTCTTTGCTGCATCTGGGATGAACCATAATCCCCAGATTCATTTTTAAGAAAAGCTTATAGTATTTTAGAATCTGAGATATGAAGCAAAATATATAAGCAGCATTCCGCCAATTTTTTGTGAGAAACTAGCCTGCTCCAACCCCTCTCAGTTACTTCCCCACTCTGGTCTGGGGAAAAATCCCGTGGGTGCCCAGAGGAAGAGCTGCCTGAGTAGTGAGAAGGGGAGGGGGAGCATAAGTGCTCTTTGAGAGAAGGAACACAGGCATTTGTGGTCTGTGAGAGATGTCTGTGTGGGTGGCAGACCAATGGCTGTGTGCCTGCGGTCTGTATGTGTCTGCTTTGTTGAGATTCCTACATTGCAGGGGGTAGGACTAGATGACTCTACAGTTCTATCACCTGATGGTTCTATGTGCACCTGAGTGTGAATGTAGTGTGGGCACCATGTAATTTTCTTGGTACTGGGGAATGCTCCCTGTTGCAATTAGGCAGCAACATCCTCTGTGTGTTTGTCTGAGAGAGAATCAATATTGTGCAGTCTCCACACTCAGCAGGACATAGCAGACTTCCCATTGTAAGCCGGAGGTTATCCAGGTGTGGGAATGATGGCAATTACTAAAGTCTCCCCAATTTTCTATTACGCCACTCCTCCATGGCAGCCATTTTTTGAAGGGTGTCCATGGCACTTTCTCAGAATTCAAAATGTGCCAGGCGATCCCTGCCCTAGTGCTTGAAGAAGGGAATTATTCAAATCAAGATTTACAGCCCCAAATATCTATTTAAATCTCTATTTCTATACAGTATTGTTATTGTTACAGCTCTTAGCCTGTAGCTGTAAAAAGCAGGCAGACACAACCATGGCTTGAGGTGAGAAGCAATTTGGAAGAAACTTACAAGCCACTTGGACTGGCAGTGATGTTTCTTTTAGTGCCATCACAGGTATTATTGTAACTTTAAGGGGCCAGAATCCAAAGGGCAATGTCTAAGCGACCTGACACTTTGGGGTCCAAGCAAATGTGTCTGGAAGTTGTATCTGGGATGGGTTTTCATTTAACTGCTTTAAAATGGTTCTAAGATGTTGCAACAAGACGGGGAAGGACTTCTTAGAGGTGAAACTAACAAGGTTGGAGCATTTTCACTGCAAATGTGGGTGTTTTTTCAGTGAATGAGTTTAATCCTTTCCCCCCTGTATAGTCCAAATGGTGGAATTAGCCCTAGAAGGGGAGTTTCCATTAGCACCAATATAGCAGCTTCAGTGTTTGTCTTCATCAGGATTGCAGGGGGAAGAAATAACTAACACACCTTCCTGTAATCCCTTAGTAAAACAGCCTCTCCTGCTAGCTATTAACATTAAACATCACTTTAATGTCACTGCTAGTTCAGCTCACAAATTCAGGCATCCGTGAAGTGTCAATAGCCTGAAAATAACAAATCTCTTGGCATTTCCTGTGGCAATTTGTTTTGGGCCCGGGGGGGGGGGGGAGGGTGTAACAAAATATTTTTCCCAGTTTTATTTGGGATGAATACAGTCACACTAAAAAATAAATTTAGTTGTATTTTACCAGCCTTTTGGCACATTCTCTTTATGTATTGTTAGAGGACTGAGCTGTTCCACAGTGGAACGGTCTCCCTCAGGAGGTGGTGGACTCTCCTTTCTTGAAGGTTTTTAAGCAGAGGTTGGATCTGTCATGAATGCTTTAGCTGAGATTCCGGTATTGCAGGGGGAAGGCCTAGATGACCCTTGGGGTCTCTTCCAGCTCTACAATTCGATAACTCAATGACTGGCCCAGAAAACAAGATTTAGTTTTTTTAAAATCACAGTAGCTTACCAAGTCCCAAATTTAAAATAATAATAATAAACCAATCTTCATAGATCTGTCAGCATCATTTGGATTCTATTTCAATCACCAGCTGAGCCTATAAGAGTTAGAAAAAATTTTCTTGTGCAGGTATTCCACTATATCACTTCTGGTCTTCAGTGACTCAAATTCAAAAAATGGAATCTGAAAGTTAAAAGGAAGGAAGAATGTATTACTGAAAGGATTTTTCAGGAAGCAAACTCAGATAATTTTTCTTCTGTGAAATTAGAGGAATTGGTCTGTTGCTTATTTTTTCTTATGTATTGTATCCTATAGTTTTTGATATAAGAAATAAAAAGAGCAATAAAAAATTAATTAAAAATCAATCCACAGCCACTATAGCACATCACAACTGATACAACAGGCAGAAAAACCATTGAGTGGTCTGCTGAGTGATCTTCAAGTGGTTCATGGAGGGCAGGAGAAGTTTGGAAACTACTTTTATAGATCTATTCCATCTTTGGGAAGAATTATATACACCTAGGATAGAATTCTCCTAGCAATCCCATTCACCTGTGGGGAGTGAACCACCCAATAACAGTACCTCTGCCTCATCTGGAACGAGTTTCCATTTATTAACCCCAATCTAGTCCATTACTGTGACCATGAATTGTTTCAGGATGCCCATAGCCTTGCCTGAAGTCAGCGACAAAGAGATGAAGTTGGGTGTCACCTGTATATTGGTGACACTTGACGCCAAATCTCTGGATGACCTCTTCCATCTGCTTCATGTAGATGTTCCACAGCCTGGAGCAGAGTGTGGAACCTTGTGGGGACCCCAAGCAAAGCTGCCATAGGGTCAAGCGGTGTTCCAACAGCCCCACCCTCTGGAACTGCTCCTCCAAATAGAAGCAGGACCAGTCCTAAGCAGTGCCTTCAACACTCAGCTCAGTCAGACTGTTAAGAAGGATGCCATGGTCAACAGTACTGAAAGCCGCTGAGAGGTCTGAGGAATCCAGCAGAGCCACGCTCCCCTGACCTTCTCTTTCTTGGGAAAGGTCATCTTGTTATGACCAAGGCAGTTTCTCTGTGCCAAAGCCAGTTCTGAAGCCAAATCAAAATGGTTAAAAAAACCCAAAAACAAAACAAAAACCCCAGCTTCATCCAGAAGTATCCTAGCATTTGCCAGCTGCCACTCTCTTCAGCAACTTGCCCAGGAATAGGATATTAACCACTGGCCTGCAATTGTTGACATTTTCCAGGTCCAGATTAAGCATTCAATGGGGGTAGGTATCAGCTCTTAAGAGCCCAAGCGTCAAGAGAGAGTCTGAGGCAGCAATATGGATTTCCAGTGCTACCTGCTGTTCACACTATCTTGCCTGCAATTTTCCTATCTGCTTTGAACAGCAACCATTTGATTCACCCCAACTACTTCAAATATTTACCTGCACAACTTCGTAACCAGCTAGCTGTAGGTGCCTTTGCTTAATGGCCTCTTTTCCAAGAAGATTGTGACTGTTGGTGCAAAATCTTCTTTGATCATCAATGCAGAGAGCTATTCTGCCAATCAAACACAAAATAAGATTAAATATTTATTGCATTTGAATCAAACTTTTATGACATCCTGCATAGTTGTTTTTTAGGTTATTACACGTCTTGGGTAATACAAAGACCTGACAAAACCTCCATGGTGCAATGTGGCTGCCATTTCCCTGCGGTGGGATGTCATATTGCTCTTAGCATTTGAACCACAGAATCTTGTGAAGTACCTCGACCCCAGGGGAAGATCCCACAGGAGGAGCACACCTTGCCATGGGCTGGTGCCACAGAACAAGTTGTTTGAAAGTGGTCTGTCTCTCAGTGCAATTGTTTAACTGAAATGTTTCTGGAGTCCTGTGGGATGCAGCCCCAGGGAAGCAACGAGCAAAGACACAAATTGAAAGAACAGAAAATTGTACACCACTTGCACTACTCTGTTTATATTTAGCATCTTGCTTACCTTTGGTACGCCTCTTCATGTCTATTAGCTGGTAGTACAAATCCTTCATCATTGAGTTTAATCTCAATATCTGGTGCGAGGAAGGAGCAAGACAAAAGTTACTATGTTTCTATAGCAGGGATGGTCAACAGGTAGATTGCGAGGGCTCTGTGGTAGATTGCTGCCCTGCCCCCCCCCGACTCAAAAAAAGAAAAAAGGAAAGGAAAAAAGGCCCAACAATTTTGACTTCCTAAAAAAATCTCTACAATTTTGGTAGATCACTGCCAGTTTTTTTAATAGTGGGAGTAGATCTCAGTCTCTTGAAAGTTGGATATGCCTCTTCTATAGCATATACTATAAATGTTGTGCCTCTTTTTGTTTGGGCAAAACCACCCAAAATACTTGAGCATTATTCTTCTTTACCATCTGGAATGTGGAAAGCATATGTGGGCCTTTCTGCTTCTTATCTACACTTGATATGAATACAAAGTATGAGATCTGTTAAAAAAAAAACCATCTCTCATAATAGAAAAACATTAAGTATTAAAGGTAGCAAGAGGATAAAGGTATAGTCTACATCCTATTTCCAACTCATTTAGTCTGCATGTGAATGGAAAATGGGGGGTGGGGGGTGGATGGGTCAAAAGAGGGTTTCTATGATGGTAAGGACCCCTTTTCCTTCTGCAGAATAGTATAGTATCTGGCAGTCAACCGGATACTGACACACACAACCATGGGAATTTCCCGCAATATTATGCTGAGCAAGGAGGCATTTGGCAAGTAACTCTACTATTTAGGAGAAGCAATCATGTCAGGGATCAGCTATAACTTTGTGAAGGGTTTGTTTGTTTGTTTGTTTGTTTGTTTTGTTACTGCATTCATTCATGCAAAGTACAGGTCTGTTGAAGATTAATGCAGCATTACTTTACACACTGAAACAGAAATTTTCATAATTATGGGACTATGACCATTAACATTTGCATTCAGCAAGACACGCATTAGCAACAGCTTCCCTACCCAGAGTATAGCAGTATGGTGTCAACACGTGAGAGGCAAAATATATCCGGGCCCCCAAGAGGTCAGTGAGGCCAGCCTTTACTCTGCTGTAGAGGTGACTGTCTACCAAGGACTCCATTGAACGATCTGGCGTGAGAAAGGACTTGACAATGTACTTGGGAAGGAGTTGGGGACCCTATTAAGACAGGAGAGGAAAATAAGCAGTTTCTTCCTGCAGGTAGAAATACTAATAAATATGCAAGCAGTTTGGTACAAGGACAGGAATGGGTTGCAAGGGAACACTTGGTGGCGCAGAACAAGTTATTTGCAGTCTTTTTTTGGAAGGTCCTTCTATAGGTACTCGGATGAACTGAAAGCCCAACGGGCCACGCACGGAACACTAAGCTACCAGCAAAATTCAGTATGACTGCTGCTATTGACAGTTACTAATTAGCATCATTACTTAAGGCTGCTTATTTTATTATGCAACACTGTTGCCTATTCTGAATAAACATGTGCAGGATCAAAACATGCACAAAAATGAATAGCATTTTCTCATACCTCGTAGGAAGGACACTCCAGTGTAACTGTTAGAAATAGCTGGGTCAACTGAGAAAGAACAGACTTCTTCAAACCAGATTCTTCAGCTGGGATAAAAGAATCAGAGGCATCAAGAAAGATGGTTACACAATTTATTTCCCTTTTTTTAAAAAAAAGGGGGGGCTAAGAAACAGCTGCTTAAAGCTATTTCCTAAGCTTTCATTTCACAGGAAAGCTACTAGAGTCACCAAGGGGAGTGTAAAGTAAGATTTGCTACCAACTCTGCTGTACAACTAACAAAATACTGGGAGGCTACCCCTGAGCTCCTGCCCCACTTCAATCCTACTGCAGATGTAATTTCCCAAGGTCTCTCCAAGACCCACTCCTGTTCTCCAATGTAAATTCACAACTTCCATTACTAGCCCATGTGAGTTAACAATGTTACCAGGGGCATGTCATTTATATGAGGTGACATTTCTGAACATCCACATCCCTAGACAAGCTATATACTTACCTTGCAACTGCTGCAGAAAATAGGGACTAAAGACTTTTGCCAGGAAATTCAGGGGATAGCGTTCAACTAGGGTGCATGCATGAAGAAGGCTCAAGAATACATGAGGCTGAAACTGGGCCGATCGAGTGCTGAGTATCCTTTCAAGCTTTTGGAAAAGAGAAGGAGCACACGGAGGCAAATAGTTGAGTTTCCCAAATGGAATAATCTGCTCAGCGATCTGAGCAGTGGTGAAGTTGTCAGCATTGTAGATGAAACTTTCTGCCACTGCATTGAAGATGCTTTTAGAAAGGATGCGCTTCCTGCTGCAGAACTGCATGACTTTGGAAACGGCACAGGGATGCATGGTGAAGGCGTATTTGGCAACATGTCTTTCTAGAGCTTCAGTGAAGAACTGGTCGTTGTGTCCAAAATGAATGAAAGCCTCCAGCACCTTTTCTAGCTCATTGTCAGTGAAATATGGGATGTGCCGTACTGAATGCTTGCAAAGCTTTATCACTAGAGGAACGGCTTGGGTTTGATCAAGAACCACCAGAGCATTTAACACTGTACTTGTCATTTCGGGGCTGAACTGAGGAACCCGAGTTACAGTTAAATTGCTCATTTTGTTTAATAGGGCTTGGTACTTTCCTCTCTCCCCGACACCCAGCTGCAGCATTTTGTAGACCATAGCCATTTCATCAGCCTTCCAGTCCTCCAGGTTTGTACTTTGAACTTGGTCCATAATTTGTTCCAGAATAGCACAACTTGGACCCTCTAGACTGAACAAGGATTCTCCAAGAACACACAGATTTCTAATAGTCATCTGGCCTTTATCAAGACGTTCTTGGCTCTCTGACACCAAACGAACCATCAAGGTACTCCAGGGATCCACACGTAATTTTATCAAAGCATTTAGTGAATTTACAAGACCAGATTCAGATAGGCTTGGTGATTCTTGTTCCAGCTGGAAGCAAAGTGACCTGAAGACTTCATCCTCCATCACCTCTTCTGGATTATTCAGCATACTGTCCTCCAGTTGAACATCACACAACCGCTGAAGGACAGCTGCCACCATGGTGTCAGATAAACTTTCCAATGTGCTTACAAATCTGAAAATGTCTTTGTATGAACAGAAACAGTTCAACTTCAAAAACACCTGTTCATCTGTCCACGTGCTGCCAGATTTTACACTGTTACCAGCTTCTCCATGGAGTTGCACCATTCCCGTAACATAGCCGGGGTGATTTCCCAGTTCCATATGGTAGTTTCTACAAGCCGTGCACTGAAAACCACAGACTGAACACACTGTTCGCAATGTTGAAGAACCATGGGGACATAACCTGAACTGCCTAATTTGCTGGCCAAAATAGTTCAAGGCTGTGCCTCGAGTTAGTAGCTGCCTACATGCTTGCATTCTAGAAATAGATGCCTGGATACATCTAAAATTCATGGAAGCCATTTCAGGTCTGCGTTGAACATTTCTCCCTGAAAGACAAACAACAACTAAAAGTCAGTGTCACTATAGAGATATCCTGGTTAGCCTTCGAGAGCTTTTATTATTATTATTTATTTTTTAAAAAAAACAGCATGAAAAGAAAGGTCAAGAGATGGCACAATGAGGACTGTGTCCATCCCATAGTTCTACAGAAGGGGAGACTAATTACATAATTACTAATTACATACATGGTACTGTCCACAGAATCAAGTGTCTTAATAACCTCAAATTTCCATATTCATGGAGAATCACATTTCTAGCCATTATAGATGCAAAGCTATGCTTCAAAGTGTGATGGGCAGTGGCTGTTGAAATTCCAGGAGCCTAGAGTAAGGGTTGGCTTTTCTTAGTATGGAATCTGGATTTCCGCGGCATGGAATTTACATTATTAAGCATGGAATACTAACTTCTTTACAGTGAACAAGAAGTGAATAAATAAATGAACTGAGCTGAAATTACAGGCAGACTGATGATCCACTGGCCCATGGCCTAAGTATTAATCCTTTACTGGCATACACAGGTTACAAGTATAAGTCAAAGTGTAAAATTGGCATCTGTTCATGAAAGCAGATACTTTAAGATAAAACAAATAGACGTCATAAGGTTAAAAAGTGCCTCTCAAGTCTTACAGCGACATCATTTCATGGCATCTCTCAGAAATTTTGCTACATTCACTATAATGTCAGTAGAAAGGAAACCTTGGATAAATCAGGGCAATTAAACCTTTCTTTCAGCATGAGATTTAAATATTTCTTGCCGATTTCAGCATAAAAATGGACAGTAAAATAAAACATGTGCAATGGTTTCAACCTGTTTTATACCACAAGGACAATGCCTTTCTAAATATGGGATTTTCAAGAAGCTTCCTTGCAGAAGCAAGATGGAATGAAGTTACATCTTGCAACGGGAAAAGCTCTATGTTGGTGGGGATTGTATAGGTGATGTAAATATGGAGTGATCTGGCCAAAGAAAGGTAAGATCCCTAACCCCAATCAAGAGCAAGATTTATGGGCTGTAAGGCTGAGATTTTGGAATTCAATCTCTAGAAACCTGTGCTTGTTTGAAATGCTTCTGACAGTGATCTAAGCAAATGGTACCAGTATGGGCAGCCAAGGAAATCAGCGCATGCAATTGGTCCTAAAGAATTAGAATGTTAAATCCTTGTGCACTCTCAGTCCTTGGAGGACTGCTGGCCTGTGGGGGTCAGGCACCACTGCTTGCCATATCTTCCTTAATCACACAGATGCACATTGGTTTGCCTGCTACTGAAGGACAGCATAGAACTGGGAGAGCTGGTTTGTTGTTGTTTAGTCGTTTAGTCGTGTCCGACTCTTCGTGACCCCATGGACCAGAGCACGCCAGGCACTTCTGTCCTCCACTGGAGGGCAAATTTCCTTGCCCACCCCACAAGCATTTGTTAGACTTAAGAGCCTCAGTAAAAAGAAGCCATAAGACATCCAAACAAGCATCAAATCAAACTGTACCACATTCTGGTACAAACACTGTGCTGAGCTGTGGCGAGAAGGGACTTCAGTTGTGTTCTCAAGAGGACCCCTCCCCACACCACAACACCAGCTGGGTTCTACCAGAAAATGTTGCATTACATTATGACTCAGGCGAAATCTATCTAAACTTCAGATAGACAGGTCACTTTTAGCTAAAAGCATGGGGGTTCATTAAAGGACAAACATATGTGTGTGTTTAAAACATACAGATAATTATAACAAAAACAGCAAGGCAGCAAAGGGGGAGCCAATTTGGCTTCCCTATGCAGGGAGGAGCCACCCCCGAGAAGGCCCTCTCCTGCGGGAGGGGCGGGCCAGAGGGAAGGGAGCTGGACCCGCAAGCGGAGGGAGGCCTTGGCGGGAGGCGCTTCATCCCCGCCTCGCGGCTCTGCCCTGCGTCGGAGCCGCGCCTTCTGGGGCGGAGGCAGCGCTCCGCACATGCTCAGGAGCCCTGAAATCCCGCGCGCCAAGGTCGGAGGCGAGGCTTCGCTTGCCCTCTTCTCCGGGGCTGCCGGGAGCCTTACCCGCTTCTCCGCGGAAATGTGGAAAGAGCGGCGCTTCCCCTCCACTACCCGCCTTCCGGTTGGGGTTCGGCCTAGTTTTTCGGCAACAGGAAGCGGGGGTTCAAATGCACGACCCCGGAAGTGAAAGGGCGGGGCTTGGCCGGAGCAGGGCCTTCCAGCCGCCTGATGGAGCGGGCCACAACTCCCATCACCCCTCGCGAGGGCCCGGCGCGCAAACTCAAGACCGGTAATTCCGAAGAGCGTCCTTGTTTCTGCCGGAAAGCTTGGCTCCCTTGGGCGGGTCAGGCTTCGCCCTCCAGCGACAACACTCCCTCGGCGCGTGCGCACTGGGCAGCCCTGCGCTCGGGGGAGTCGCGGCGGGGAGAGGAGAGAGAGAGAGAGAGAGAGAGAGAGCGGAGCCCGAAGCACCGCCTTCCCGTCCCTAGTCTATGGTTCTCCAGTCTATGGTTCGAGTGCCGAACGCCCAATCGGGCGCCTTGTCCCGCCCCCTTTTTGCTCCGACTGGCAGCTCTCCTCTTCCGCTGCTTCTTCCCCGGCGGGCGAGCGGCGGGCGAGCAGGTCTGGGCCTGGAGAGGCGCGGGGGGGGGGGCAGCGAAGCCCAAGGGGGAGGGAGGCCCCGGAGGCCATTTCGCCGGGGCGGGAGCCCAGCCTGGTCCGGGGGCGGCGGGGCTGCCTGGGCGTCGTCTCCTCCTCCACGTGGTCCTTTCCGCGTGTCTTCTTCAGGCTTCTCTTTTCTGTCGCGGGCAAGAAAATGGAACGTAGGGAAGCATTTTGCTCCGTTCACTTGTACAGAATGAGGGGGATCTGACTGCAGTCAGGAAAAGAGGACCTGCTCAGTTGCTGCCCCCACTGCTGTGATTGTGTTTTCCTAAGCAAGAATCAGGATGATGATCATGATGATAATAATATAATAATAATTTATTACTTATACCCCGCTCATTTGGCTGGGCCTTCCCAGCCACTCTGGCCATCTTCCAACAGGTGATTGAAAACACAATAAAAGATCAAACATTTAAAACTTCCCTGAACAGGGCTGCCTTCAGATGTCTTCTGAAAGTCATATAGTTGTTTCTTTCCTTGACATCTGATGGGAGGGCGTTCCACAGGGCGGGTGCCACCACCGAGAAGGCCCTCTGCCTGGTTCCCTGTAACTTGGCTTCTCATAGTGAGGGAAATGCCAGAAGGCCCTCGGCGCTGGATCTCAGTGTCTGGGCTGAACAATGGGGTGGAGATGCTCCTTCAGGTATACAGAAATAAGGATAGAGAGGTTTTTCCTAGAGGGGTTTTCCAGTTAGCCTTGAGCTCCTGGATTTCTGCTGCCCCAAGCAGTAGCCTGTACTGCCTATTTTGGTTGGGCCACCTCACTTGGGGTGGGTAAAGTATGTCCAACCTGATCCTGCACATATATTCTTGGAGGCAAGTCCCACTTTGTTCAGTAATGTGTATAGAATTTTGGCCCTGAACTTGCTTTCTGAAGGGTAATATATTTGGAAGGCTGGGGGGAGAAGAGAAGCAGGAACTGCCGTTTCTGGAAAGGATTACAGTCTCATTGTTGCATATGAAGTAACCCCTTTGCTTTTCTCTCTTTTTTCTTTTCCCATGTACTGTAGTTGATCTTTGAAAGATGTGCTGTAAAACAAACCGTAGGTTTTTGCTCCTTTATGCGAGCCAGAAGGGTCAGGCAAAAGCTATAGCTGAGGAAATATACCATCAGGCCAAGGACAGTGGGCTTGAAGCAGATCTTCACTGCATCAGTGAGTCAGACAAGGTAAGATTCTTTGAACACCCCGTTCAAATATACAGGAGTGGCATATTTGCAAATGACTTTCCACAACATTTCTTTGGATCATTCAGAGCTTTCCTTAGAAATCTTTCCCCTCAAAAGGTACATCTTGATTTTGTTCTCTTTTTGTTGAAGTCTTTGGGTAAAAAGGGTAATCAACGTAGATGGTAGTGACATGTTAAAGACTGCACCTTGTACCAGGTTGCTCACACTGCAGATTTTGTCCAAGGGAAAAGAAATTGGAGAGGGGGAAAGGGAGGGTCATGGAATCATAGAAATGTAGAGTTTCAAGGGATCCCGAGGGTATAAGAAGGCAGAAATGTGAGCAAATGCACTTATGCATACTTGGGTTTCATCTTTATTACATTTGCATTTCTTCTTATGCCCCCTCATGGAAGTTATCCTGTTTTATCCTTAGGACAACCCTATGAGGTAGGTTAGGTTGAGAGAGTGATTGGTCAAAGTTAACTAGTGACGTTCATGGCTGAGCTAGGATTTGAATACAGGACTATCTTATCTAAGTTCAATACTGCAGGAAATCTACTACACTATGCTTATATATTGCATAGATTTGTTCATGGAGAATTAGGATGCAAGAGGTTAAATTGTGGACTGAGTATATATAATGGGGAGAGTATGTGATTTTTGATTCCAAGCTCAACTATTGCATCTAGCTTTGGATCCTTGCAACATGTAAAGTCCTATCTACTGTACAAGCTGAGGCAAGACTTGGAATTAGAACCATTATTCTGTTTCTTTCACTGGTTGTAAAACTCTGCTATTTGTGTGGGATTCAACAAATGACTCCCATCCGCAGAAGCCCTGTGCAAGGACTTCTGCTTGTGCAATAGGGCCTTCCTCCCTTCTGCTGCCCCCATGCACCCCCTCCTGAAATTGGCTCAGGGGTCTGTGTCAAGAGATCTCCTGGGACAGCCCATGTGGGGAGGAGAGGGGGGATTCTTCTATCTGGAAACCAAAATGCTTGCGCAGATGGAATCATCACCTTAGTGTGATATTAAATTCCTCCCCGTAGGAGGCTCAGAGCTATCAAAATAGATTTTTAAAAGCTAATTGAAAAACCTGATGAATTGAAACATCACAATGGCTTAACCCCACATTACTGGATGTTCAGCTCTGATTGTGTGCGTCCAAATACCACCCAGTTTTGAACTTTTCTGCATTATGCTCCAACTTTGTTTCTTTCAATTTACAGTATAACTTGAATAGTGAAAAAGACCCCGTGGTTATTGTTACTTCTACTACGGGTACAGGAGAGCCACCGGACACAGCAGTCAAGTTTGTTAAGGAAATTAATGATAAATCTCTGCCATCGGACCACTTTTCCCATTTACGATACGGATTGCTAGGTAATTTGCTTGTAAGCTGCTATTCGTATAAAGCAGGGGAGAAACCTTGTTGCAAAAAACGGCAGGCTGGATCCAATATATTTTTGATCGAATTGCTTAACTATAATCACAGTTAGTCTAGCTGTGCGGCCCTCATTGCGAGTATTGATGAGGCACCACACAGACTCAGGGTACAATTCAAGCCTCTCTGAAATAAGGATTTAGCTGTACTTTCTTCATTGGGAAATATGAGCTATATATTCTTAAATTTTACAATTTAACATCCTTTGTATTTTTAGACTGTGTTTTTGCTCTATCTTTCCGTATTTTAAAATTATGATCCATGAAAGAACTCTGATCCAACAAATGTGATTCGAAAGTTGATGGCATATTGGTATGAATTTCAATTGTATAACGAAAGGGGATTATTTCATTTATGATAGTGAAATAAAAAATAGCACTGTACATATTTTTTTTTACTTCATGTGTGCTGTTGAATAGGAAACCAGTAAAAAAACCAACATGACTTGGTGTCTTAACTTTACGTATTGAATTCGAACATGCTTTTCTGCTTTTAAGGTACTATCAACCATATATAGCCAGCTATTCTGCTAATTAATTAATTTTGTCTTTTAAAATTTGGAAGTCTGAAGAATAGGATGATGACAGGCATCCAAAACTTAATTGTGGAAGAGGCTTTGCCTATTGCACTTTGGCGATTGTGAATATTGCCCATAATTCATTGACTTTTTCACTGATAATTCTGGTGCCTGGCTACTTACCTTTATCAGTGAGCAATTTTTTTAATTATTTTTTTTTTGTAATAGCGGTTGATTCCCAACCAGATTGCAGGGTGGTAATGGTTTTCTCTAGATAGCTGTTTGGAGGGATGGGTGGGAGCAGCAGCCTAAGCCTCCAGGTTGCTAAAATGGCGCATGGCCCCACTTTCTGCTTTTGTGGCCCCCTTTCTTTCTCCTTTCTGTTTCTCCTGCTGCACAGAGGAAGTGGCTGTTCCTAGAGCAGGGCTGTGTGCTTCGCAGTTACTTCCAGATAGCCTGAGAGCACTACGACACCATGTGGGGCCGCTGCCCAGCAATTGTGCCACACGTCCTCCGTTTCCAGCATCACCTGGGGCAGGCAGGGAGGGGTGAAGAGTGAGAATGAGAACCATTATCTCTGCTCCAGTCCTTATGCCAAACATTTCAAGCTGCGTAGAAGAGAAGTGCTTCTTTCTGAGTTAGTATCTTAGGGCCAGTCCAGATTGGACTGATGGTGGCGGCGGCAGCAGCAGCATCAAGGAGGTGCCAGTTCCCAGTTCAGAAGAAACTTACATTCTTGTTCTCCTCTTCTGAACCGCCTGAATGGTTTAGAGACTGGGATGGGTGAGAGAGTCAGCTTTGGAAAATTCCACCCTGCCTTACCAAAGCTTTGGGGGGGGGGGGGACACAGTTGGACTCTGCATGGAAGAAACCATTGTCTACTTGGCACCATCCATGTCTGCACAAGGAGGCCTGTGTTGGCAACCCTAGGAACTTGTGCTTATTGTTTTGTAGTTTGTCTTACTGCTGCATTAAAGCTGGAGGGCAGAGTTTGATTTATTCTGAAACACCTTCTCCAGGGAATTGATCTGATGCAGGTTTTCTTGGTTTGCCTTTTTCCTTACTTTTATTTGCAGGCCTGGGAGACTCAGAATACACATTTTTCTGCAATGGTGGGAAGATAATAGACAAACGATTTCAGGAACTTGGAGCACAACGCTTTTATGAGGTTGGACTCGCTGATGATGCTGTCGGGTAAGAAACCTAAATTTTTCTGATGAGGTTTTGGTTAAGTCGCCTTGTGTGGCATTTCTTCCAATCCCCACCCCCACCCCAGCTATTTATAGCCCCATCTGGACACCAATTTAGAAACTGAGGAGGAGCAAAATAGGAGAGATCTGCCAGTGAAATAATTTACTTTTCCTCAAATTAAGCACAAGGGTGGAATGACTCTCCACTGCTCCTAAAAATTTCATCTCTATCCTAGATGAAGATTGCTCATGCATCATGCTTCCTTCATTCCCCCAGGAAATATTCCCAGAAGCAGACAGTGTGTCAGCAGTAGCCATGGGCAATTGTGACGGTTCAAGTTAAGAGCACAGCTTGCTTAGCCTCAGCTGAAATGACCCCACTGAGTCTTTTTGCCCACTGGTTCTGCAGAGCTACTGGGCAGAAACATTCCCAAACTCCTGTGTACAGCTGCCTTCACTGCTGCCTTGCCCTCCTGCTCCATATCTCTTCTTGGAAAGAGCCTCTTGTGACTTGATCTCCCAGAAGAAGTAAGAGGAGTTGAAATTGATAGACATGGTTGAGTTTGTCCTTCTTTGCCTCATTAAGTACTGCTATTGTTTTTGTTTTTTGCAAATGCAGTGCAAAGAGCAGCACAGCACATCCCAGGAAGTAAATATCTCACTGGGGCTCTTGTGATTATATCAGCTGATAGAGGGCTCTGGTGTGCTGCTTTTAATAATGGTTTTTAAAGCGGGAGAAAGCCAATAGCCTGCACACGTAGCCAGAAGAGCGAACTTGGTTATTCAACACATCATCATTATTAATAAAGTTTTAACCTTAATAGTCTTTTCAAATTCATGTATCAGTGGCATTTAACACCCTACAGGATAAGCAAAATTTACAAAACTCTACTATAAGATGCTGGAGATCCAGAGCAATTTGAGCAAGAAACTTCATACACGTTTCCTGACCACATGTCATTATAAAGAAAAATTCTGGAACAACATATGAAGAAAACCCAAAATGATTCTTTTGTTCGCAGTCCAGACAGAAATAGAAAAGGTGGACATACAGTTAGTCACATATCTTCTGATAGGTGCAAGGCTGCGCCTTAGTCATCTCTGGAGAAACAAAAATCCACCTCCTGTATCAGAATAAAAGGAAAATATGAGAAAAGCCTTATTATTTAGATTAACATACCAAATAAGAGCTAGCATCAGAACAGTAAATAAGAAAACATTTTTTTTTAAGATGGGCACTTCTTCTAAGTTTCTGGAATGAGAAAATTAAATATAATACCACACATTGTAACTTTTCCCCACTACTATAAAGCCTGTTAAAATATGTTAAAGTCCTGTCTAGTGAGATATGTGTGCAATGTCTCAGTTCTTGCTTTTTCTTTTGTAAACCGCTCTTTAAAAAAACCAACATAAACCTTTGAAATAACTTGTAAACTGTGTTTAAATAATCTGCAGGTGCTGTTTGGGTGCTGACATTTATCCTGATCTTTTCATACATACTTTTTAAAATTCACTTTTTTTGCTTGGTTTCAGTTTGGAACTGGTGGTTGACCCTTGGATTGCTGGACTTTGGCCTGCCCTCCACCAAGAATTTGCATCCAGAAAGAAAGAAAGAAACTACACTGAACAACCTCCATCTCTTTGTGCTGATGCAGTTTGTAACTCGTGCATAAACTCCAGAGTAGAGCGTTTGAAGCTAGAAGTTTCGGGTGTGAACAATGATCTCCTAGCAAAAGCAGTTACTAAGTCAGAACTTCCCCTTCAAGGCTCTCAGCCTTCACTTTTCCACTCGGTTCCTCCACTTTCACAGTTGGCTCTTAATGTTCCTGCTTTGCCACCAGAATACCTAGAAGTGCACTTTCAAGAAAGCTCTGAGCAGGTAGGTCTCCCACAGGGACCCCATTTCCAGATGTAAAACTCCGATCTTCTGTAAGTTTGCATTTGGGAACTAAAGATGCAACATGATTTTAAAGTTACTTATTTGTGAAGAAGGGAAATGATTTTATTATTACATTTATATCCATTTTTTTCCTTCAAGGAACGCACATTGGTGCATGTGGTTCTCCTTCCCCCCTTGTTATCCTCACAAGTGGGGAGAGGAAGATAAGAGATGATTGTTTTTACTGGGAAAGACCACAATGGCTTTCTTCTAAAGTTGGAGAGTTAAACATGTTCTCAGCTCTTTCATTGAAATGATAGGCCTTGATGTGCTGGGGGCAGGGCAGGATCATGTATATATTTTACTGTTATTTCATATAATGGTGTACAAATATTTATGTGCTTATTCCTTTGATCTAAATTTACGTCAGCTTGTTTTTAGGATCCCAGCCTGTGTTGCGTTTCAGAGAGCTCCGTTTTCCAGGTTCCTGTCATCAAGGCTGTTCAACTTACTAGGGATGATGCAATTAAAAGGACTTTGCTGCTAGAACTTGATATTTCTGTAAGTTGAATTAGTTTGGGTTTTTTTGATTAACTTGACAGAAATGATAATGATGATAAACCTATGGTACAAGACAACCCTTTTCATAGAATCATAGAATCATAGAGTTGGAAGAGACCACAAGGGCCATCGAGTCCAACCCCCTGCCAAGCAGGAAACACCATCAGAGCACTCCTGACATATGGTTGTCAAGCCTCTGCTTAAAGACCTCCAAAGAAGGGGACTCCACCACCAGTGGACTTTTGAAGTCCACTGTCCCAATTTTAACACTAAACAAGTTTTAAAATATGATTTTACAAGGGGAATCTGCAATAAATGTTGCAATGTGAAGTGCTCCTCTTTTGTGTTCCAACCAGGCAGCTGTTCCCTTTTCCAAGACATTCCATTCCCTCTTCCCAGGTTTCTGGGTATCACCAGATATATCCACTCTGAGACTTCTCAGTCCACAATGAGTTGGTTTGGGCTGCTCCTGCATTAAGTTCCTCCCTCCCAAATTCCGTAAAACTTTGGGATTACCTGCCAGTGCCTCCTTTTGATGTGTCAGTGGTGCCATTTGGACTACCTAAGGATCCAGACATGGCCCTCAATTTGGTAAACAGAAGTGTATCAGTACATTCTGCAGTAGATGTTCAGGTTAGTATAATGAAACACTTCCTTCACGGGAGTTTATAGTTGCCAATGAGCTGCAAAGGTCTTGGAGGACAAGAAGGAGCACACATCCATTGCTTTGACAAGTGTTTATTTTCACAAATTGTGGCATTAAAAGAGGGGATTGTATCTGGCTAATATGTGGAGAAGACCACTGATTTCAATAAGTCTAAAGATTCCTGACTGACTTATTTCCTTGTATTTATAGCACACCTTATGGTGTCCATGTAGTTCTGAGGCAGTTTCCACTCAGACCCAAACCTGCTTAGCTTTAGCAAGGTGGTGTGCTCATGCACCGTCAGCCCATACCATGGGATCAAGTCTGTTGGAATCATGGGTTTCCTTGGATAGGTCTTGCTGAGATAGAATAACCCACAATGTTTGCATGCAATGTAATAGAGGGAAGGAAATGGTGTATGGCACGTGTCTTTTCAGTTTCACATGGACCAACTTGTATTTTAAATACAGAAAACCACATTTAGCTACCAGCCTGGAGATGCCTTTAATGTCATTTGCCCTAATTATACCAGCGAGGTGGAAGAGCTTCTTCATATCTTGGGACTGTCAGAGAAGAAAGATTACTTTGTTTGCTTGAAGGTTAAGGCAGGCACTAAAAAAAGAGGTAGGTTTTATGCATTTACGATGATATTGCATGTGATACTGCCCTTCAGAGAAGAGAAGAGAAGAGAAGAGAAAACTCATTTTGTGTAACTGCCCCTTCATTTTGAGATCTCAGGAGTTCTGTGCAAATTGCATTTCAGGTTAAAATACCTGAGGCACTTGTTAGACAGTCTTGTCCCCAAACTTGTGCCATCTGTCTCTTAGAGCCTTGTGACATATGAGCAGGACTTGGACTCCAAAGCTGAAATAATTTTAATCTTTTTACAGCTTCTAAATCATTGCCCTTTCTCTTCTCTTTTCTGAGATTTTGTGTATGTGATCCTTTGAGCAAGTAGCAGAGTATCTAAAAATGTACTCCAGTTTGATTTTGAAAACTCCCAAAGTTACAGGCAGCAGATGTACTAGCTGGATATCCTATTTGATGTCAGTGGGAAAACAGAAACAAAAATAGACATAGATGGGTTTTAAGGCATTTCAATTTCCATTAGATTTTTAAACTGAAATGTTTGGGGGGCATTTTGTTCTTTCTATTCATTTTAAAACTAATGCACACCCCTAGTTCATATGCCACCAACATATGTGTGAAGTTGGGGAGCGTTGTCTCAATGTACACCCCTTCCTTAGTCCTGAATATTTTCAAATACAAGCCTAATTTATCACAATGGAACTTACAGAAATGTAATAAGTGTAACACCTTACTACTATTTTGTTTGCCCATTTACCTAGTTTGTGGAGATTCTTTTGGAGTTTTTATTGGTCTCATTGGGATTTCGCCACAATGAATAATCTGGTGTCCCACTGCAAATTTGGCCACTGCTCTGTCTGCCTCTGCATTCTGATAACTTCTGTACAAGTTAAATAGTCCTGGTTTAAATGATTACAGAATTTGTGGAGAGCTTGTTGTTTACTTCCCTGCTTTGTGACACTGTCAGTCTACTTTTGCTTACTTAAAAAAAATTACTGATTCTTAAGGACCGGTCCTCTTATTCCATAACTGCTAGGTAACAGTCAGCTTCTTGATGTAAATGTTAAGGAATCCTTGATAAGGTTTGAAGAAAACCTAGGATTCCCTGGAATATAATTTGAAAGCTGCCACTCTACATGAGTGAGTCTTCTAGGAGGTAGCTTTTACAACTCACAAGTAATCATAAAGAAGAGTGGAACTGTTTCTCGATATGTTCCCAATTTAAATTTATTTTTTCTTCTTAAACAGGAGCAGCTGTGCCACTGTATATACCTGAAAAGAGTACTGTGAAATTTATTCTGACGTGGTGTCTAGAAATAAGAGCAGTTCTCAAAAAGGTGACTTTTTACTTTTTCAAATAACTTTATTATATCCATTCTTGGTACTCTCTAAGGCCTAGACTGGTTGGGTGGTTCAAGCCTACATTGGAGAAGTTTGGAACTTGGAACCATGGGCATCAGGTGGCTGACACAGGGACTTCCCATATAAATTTATTTTTGCCTGAGGTCAAGAGGAAGACATTCTCAGTTGCTCCGGTTTTAACTGTTAGTCTCTGAGCAGTGCAGAATCTTTGCAATAAGCTCTCAGAAAGTAGTTTGTCCCCTGAAGCCGTCAGCCCATTTGTGAGCTGTTGCGATGCCATGGAATGTTCATGGGGTGGAGGAGGCCGGATTCCGATCATACTGAAGCCAAGGAATGAGGCTTCCCTTGGCCAAGAGCCTCCCATGCTTAGAGCAGCTCCCATTTCCAGCTACTGCCAGACCCATCAGCAGAGAATCCCTTTCAGGTTCTCTCTCTGCACTGCCACTTGCTCACTCACTCGCCCTTGGCCTCTTTTTCTGGACCTGGAGCAGCAGAGAGGATTAGGAAATTTGCTGCTCACGACAACTGCCTTGTTCCTCTCTGCTGCTCTGAGTCCAAGAAAAAGTCAAGTGCTGCTAGTGAGAGGGCAAATGAAGAAATAAGTGCTGAGAGGCGCTGCCTTTGCAGGGCTCAAAGTTGTGGAAGAATAGTTAACAAATACATGTTTGAACAAGCAGGCTGTATTGATATCTGTGCTATCAACGCTCTTCCACAAACTAAAATAATCAGTAACTGGATACCAGCAACGATGAGCAGCCAGCCAGATGAAAGGCTTTGTAACTTGAATACAGTGGACCCTCTGGATACGAATGTAATTCGTTCCAGGGGGTCCGTATGTACCCCGAAAAATCCACAAGAAGAGTGCCGCTTCTGTGCAAGCACGCAGCGCGATAGAGCGCCTTTGCGCATTCGTGCGCAGCGAAACCCGGAAGAATACACTTCCAGGTTTGCCACGTTCACAACCCGAAAGTTATGTTACCTGAAGGTAACGTAACCCGAGGTTCCACTGTACATCTTCCCTTGGTGCTAGATTAAACATGTTTGTGGGTTAATTTTGGTGGGCCTTTCCCACTAGACCACTAGATGTCATCAGTAAACCACATGTAGCAGCCTCTATGAACTGCTGTACCTTCTAAACACACATTTAAAGGCTTGGAGACTGATTTCCCATGAGCAGAACTTCAGTTGCGTGGTCCTCCTGCTGAGCTGCTCTGGAGACAGTGTTGCGGAATGTCTCCCTGCCCTTGCCCCCTTCCGAGCTGCTCTGGAGATTGCAGAGCAGAGGGGGAATTGTCTAAAGTCACTGCCTCTTTTCAGCAGGAACCTCTGCCTGATTTCAGGAGACCTTCCGTTCACAGAAGTCACATTTGACTCAACCCTGGGCGTTCATAAATTACAGAGTTATAGGTCAGAGTGCTACCCAAAGCACTCATCCCGTGTATATGTTACTCAGCATGGTGACTTACATACTTTATGCAGTTTGCTTCTGTCAGCTGTTATTGTGGTGCTTCAGTGCGCAAACTGCTTGGGCAAGTCACTCAGTCAGCCTAAAAGATATGTAATTGGCCTCTCCTGGTTGCCTGTGCCAAGCAAAAGCTGCCTAGGTGACTAGACAGGAAAGCTTTACCCAGCTTGATCCTTCTCCTTCAGCCTTTTCCTTTTAGACCAAGAATGACAGACACACTGGGCCAGAAGGCTAATAGGAAGCTCTGTGGGCGAGTACCCTTTGCAAACTGATTTTCAAGACTTGCCTCAACAGTTTTATTACAAAGGATATCATGAGATAACGCCATGTGTGCAACCCTGAGCTCCTTGGAGGAAAGCCATGTATCTTTTTCTTAAAGCATTTTATTAAAAATATTGTAACAATGCAAAATACCTTTTTTCAGATAACAAAACAAAAATTGGGACCATAAAAATATGCTACGTGTTACAATGGAGAGAAGAGTAAGGCAGTGACCGTGGTACATTTCATCAGCCATTTATCCAGATCTATCCAAAATCATCCAGATCTCTGGGGATTGCAGTCCATGCTGTCTGGATATCTGAAATAGAGCTATGGCATGTGCCACAAAATGAGTCTGAAGCCTGTTAGTTTTCTGGTTGCTTTCAGTTGGCAGGTCAGATTTTCAGCCAAAGCAAGCATCCAGACCTGTGCACACCAAGTTTTGGGTAACCCATTCCCTCCAAACCTTCAAGCACCTAGCAATCTCAAGTCTTGCCATCTGTAGGAGAAACACCACAAGGTCTTTATCTTGCCCTTACAAACACCCAATAAAGCTGAAACCACTATTGTCTGCAAGAACACTCTACACCAGATGTTTTGCATTGTAAAATATGACCGGCATATGTTAAATTTTGTCCCCCATGCTGCACCCCCTCCAACATTCTGGAGTGGTGGAGCCCCTAATAAAGGCGCAAATAAATGGGAGGGGTGTGAGGTACCACCTGTGGACCAATTTCCTCATACTAGGATTGGGACCTGTATCTCCGTATTCCCCACCCACAACCTGGAGCACGGCTCTCCTGGTACAGCAGTCCCCAGGCATGTTCCCGTAACATCCTCAACCACCTGATTTACTAGGAGCCAATTCACAGAGGGTTGTCGGTACCTGTTCTGCCTTCAAAGGCATATTATTAGCAAAGAGATGCCTAGGATGGTACAGCCTGACAGCCTCCCTTCCTCTCAGCTGAAGTCACTTCCTGCCTGACTAAAGGCTGGGTGTGCTAAGAGTGGGAGCAGAGATGACGATAGTTGGGAGAGTTTTTTACCACTAGGTCCAAACAACGAAAGGACATTTTAGCAAGAGGTTATTGATGTTTGTGAGGTTCTGCAGAGCCCCTGCCTTACAGGAATCCTTAGGAACACTGTTTATCACAGATGTGACAGAGATGCGGAACATAAGTTGAGAATTATCAAACCAAATTAAAAACAGACTCTTCTCTTCCGCTAGGCATTTTTGCGCTCTCTGGTAGAATACACCACTGATGCTGGAGAAAAAAGGAGACTGCAAGAGCTGTGTAGCAAACAAGGATCCTCTGACTACAATGCTTTCATAAGGGATGTGGGTGTGTGCTTGTTGGACTTACTCCATGCTTTTCCAGCTTGCAAGCCTCCCCTAAGTCTTCTCCTTGGTGAGTAGTTGCATGGAATAGACACAGCAAGAAAAGGAAGATATTGTGACCATTGTAGCAAATGGATGTCTTGGAAATAAGGTTCACTGATTGCGGGAAAATTATAAGTCTGGGCAGAGTTACCAGAAATGCAAAGTAAGATTTTCTCTTGCAGCTACCATATTTTTCGCCCTATAGGACACACTTTTTCCCCTCCAAAAATGAAGGGGAAACGTGTGTGTGTCCTGTGGGGCGAATGCAGGCTTCAGGAAGCTATCAGCAAGCTGTGGGAGAGCTGCACAACTTCGCGCAGCTCTCCCACGGCTTGTGGAGAGCTGCCTGCACCCCAAAGCCTGGGGGCGCACAGAGCTCAGTGAAGTCGCGCAGCTCTCCCACGGCTTGTGGAGAGCTGCCTGTTCCGGGGGCTGGGGTCGGGGGAAGCTCGGGCTTCCCCCGACCCAGCCCCGCGCCGGGGGGGGGGAATAATTTTTTTTCTTTATTTCCCCCCCAAAAAACTAGGTGCACCCTATGGGCCGAAAAATACGGTATCTCCATCCTGGCAGCAGCTAAGAGAAAACAGTCTAGAATTCAGGGTAGAACCCCAGGGCCAGGGTCAAAGATAACATTTGCAATCATTGGAACCAATTGTGATATTGCATTTTTAATAAAATCAGAAGGTTGACACCTGTTTTCTGAAACTTGTACATATGGGTGTGTCTTCTTTAAAATGTTACAGGTAAATAAAGGAAAAATAATTTCTGAAGTTGCTCCGATTCTTAGGAGCAGTGGAAGATGTAGAAATACATACTAGTGAAGCTTATTTTCCTGCTGAGACCCTACAAGAAACGTGTGTGATTAGAATGATAGAATCATGGAGGTGGAAGGGACCCCAAGGGTCATCTAGGCCAGCCCCCTGCAATGCAGGAATCTTTTGCCCAAGGTGGGGCTTAAGCCCACAACCCTGAGATTAAGAGTCTCATGCTCTACCAACTGAGCTATCCCAGATGTATTTCATTTGAAAACATTAAATGTAAGGTCCATGCATTGCTGTATTTTAGAATTGCACATGTGTGAGCAAGTGCTCCTGACTTACAGCCCTTTGCCCCACACCTGTGGCCAGAAAGCTGTGAACTAGAAACTAGAAATCTTAACCTCAGCCATATATTCAGTAGTTCAGCTTTGGCTAACCATCTTTCTCTGCCTCCCTTCTCCCCACTCCTTCCAAATTATTGAGATAATAGTACTGGACTATCTGGCAAGGTTGTTTATAAAAATTACCGAGATGACGTATGTCAAGCTCTTTAGAATGCTTTAAAGCGTTATGTAAATGCCTGTCATTTAGTATTGGAAGTGTCTTGATGCTGTAGGTAGGTGAGAGTAGAGGGAAGGGTGAAATCTTGCATTCATTCACTTCTGTTCTTTTCAGAACATCTTCCTAAATTGCAAGCCAGACCCTACTCGGCTGCAAGGTAATGCAATATCTAAGTTTAATTTTAATTATAAACTGGGTGTCTTTCTTTCTTTCTTTCTTTCTTTCGATCTCATCCTCCTATGATGGAGAAGGCTCCTAAGGTGCTAAACCGGGCTTCTTCAACCTCGGCCCTCCAGATGTTTTGAGACTACAACTCCCATCATCCCTGACTGCTGGTCCTGCTAGCTAGGGATCATGGGAATTGTAGGCCAAAAACATCTGGAGGGCCGAGGTTGAGGAAGCCTGTGCTAAACTGAAAATGTTTTCAATAAATAACACATTGATCCCAGGCATCTGGATGCATTTCCCGTATGCCTCTATTTCACTAACTCTCATTGCTTCATTACTGAACAACTAGATGACTCACAGCTGAATGCATGAAGGAACTTTTTGGAACCTGTTATTTCTGAGACATTACAGAAATTCTGTGTGTGGTACTTATTCTGTGATGGCTCATTGGTGCACGCAAGTAACAATGTGATGTTACAACAAGATCCTCAGTAAAAATCATTTTAAAGGTCTTGTATAACCATTATCAGGAGAGAAAATGATTTACTTAATTTTTTTTTCCCAGATGGGGCTTTTCATACCCATTTGCGGCGTGGGGGGTGAGATGCAATATCTGCTCACCTGACCTTTCCTACACTGAGATAGTTGTTTCCTTTAACTGTCCCAAGTGTTTGATTTCCTTTTAATTGTTTCATTGCAGCTCCAGTTTATTTCAGTCTGGAAAGATGAGTTTCATCTTTAATGTTCTGGAGTTTCCCACCCATCTAGGTGAACTGCGAAGAGGGGTGTGCACCGGGTGGCTGCTTCAGCTGGTTTCCCCAATCCTTCAGTCAAGTACAAAAGCAGAGGAGCTCCTAATTCCAAAGGTATCAGAAGACAGCTAAGTTCTTGGGCATTTCTTATGGTACAGACAGAGCTTGTGTGTTCCTAAAATAAAGGCCATCTTTTCCACTTTGTTATGATTTGGGGGCTTGGAAGCGGCAGCAGTAACATCTGATGTTGCAACTATTTTAGGAAATGGAGTGGGTTTTTCTTTTCTTTAGATGAATCCAGTTAATAGGATTTTCCAGTACCTGCATCTCTAACTGGGGCTTGCAGTTGCATCCCACTTTGGAAGTAAAGGAGGGTTGCATAAGAAGTGAAAGAACCAGGAAAGGACATGTGGAAGATGGATGTATATGGTTAAAAATGAAAAGTAGGTTTCGCATAGCAAGTTTTAGTTCCAGACTTGAAACTGCTGAAGTCAGTATTGTTCTAAGACAGACTGAATGGTTCAAGGAGGAATGAACGTTCTAGGTTTCCTGCTGGAGTTGATGATTGCTTTTCCACCCCTCTGCACCTGACGTGTGGTTTAAAAAACACAAAAAGCTCCTTACGACTTAGTTGACAGGATGTTCCAGGATGGAGCAGCTAAGCTGCTCCTGGGGGAGACAGCTCACTCTTGCATATTTGGGTCTAAATTGAGAAAAAATGGGCAATTAATAAAAGAGTGCATGTTTTCTGCAAGTGTTCTGTTGAAGTCTGTCTGGGAGTTATAAGGATTTTGGCATTCATTTGAAAAATGAAAAACTTGGTTACAGGGATTGGTTTGTGGCAGTATGAGGCACTTCTTAGCCAAAAGAGAAATGGCAGCTACTCCAGCTAGTTACTTCATGGCACCCAAATATTTGCTGCTAGCAACAGCAAGTGCCTTGGGTTGTGTGTCACAACACAGGACTTAATGTGCCTTACAGTTGGAGAAAGAGTGTTTTACATGGAAATCTGTGAATAATAATAATAATAATAATAAATTTTATTTATATCCCGCCCTCCCCAGCCGAAGCCGGGCTCAGGGCGGCTAACAACAATCAAATAATCAAACAATCAAATAATCCAGCATTCTAAAACATTTCATTATAAAAATTAATTAAAATCAAATTAATGGCAACCGTTAAGCAAAATTCTGTGCAGGTTGCCAGAGGAGAGAGTCAGGCTGGGCCCTGACCAAAGGCCTGGTGGAACAACTCTGTCTTGCAGGCCTTGCGGAAAGATGTCAGGTCCCGCAGGGCCCTAGTCTCTTGTGACAGAGCGTTCCACCAGATTGGAGCCGCAGCCGAGAAAGCCCTGGCTCTAGTTGAGGCCAGCCTAACTTCTCTGTGGCCTGGGACCTTCAGGATGTTTTTATTTGCAGACCGTAGGTTCCTCTGTGGGGCATACCAGGAGAGGCGGTCCCGTAGGTACGAGGGTCCTAGGCCGTATAGGGCTTTAAAGGTTAAAACCAGCACCTTAAACCTGATCCTGTACTCCACCGGCAGCCAGTGCAGCTGGTATAGTACCGGATTAATGTGATCTCGCAGCGAAGACCCCGTAAGGAGTCTTGCTGCAGCATTCTGCACCCGCTGGAGTTTCTGGGTCAGTCTCAAGGGCAGCCCCACGTAGAGCGAGTTACAATAATCCAGTCTGGAGGTGACCGTCGCGTGGATCACAGTGGCTAGGTCAGGGCGAGAGAGATAAGTAAGTAAGACAGCCCCCCAAAATAAGACCTACTTTCAGTTTTGCCTCTCGCTGTAATATAAGGCCTCCCCCAAATATAAGGCCACCCCGGAATATAAGGCCCCCGAAGCTACCGTAAGGCGTTGTACCGTATACAGGTAATAAATTTCCTCTTTTTTTTGTTCAACAATAAATGTGTACCGTATTCGTCTTCATGGAAAAATAAGACATCCCATGAAAATAAGACCTAGCGCATCTTTGGGAACAAAAATTAATATAAGACACTGTCTTATTTTGGGGGGAACAGGGTAGCTGTGCTGATTTTAGCTCATGGTGTATCTGATTCCTATGAAAATGTGGAAGACCTTTATTTTAGTGGGTATTGTGGCAGTGCATTTTTTAATACAAATCTTAGAATAGGGTATAGTTTATAAATGTATCTGCTAGTTCTCCTCATCTACGTTTTAATGATACTGAACTGCATTGTAGATTTCCATATCTTCTCGTCCAGCAAACATTTTTCACTTACCAGAGGATCCATCAATTCCCTTTATTATGGTTGGTCCAGGAACTGGAATTGCACCATTTATTGGTTTCCTGCAACATAGGTAAGCCCATGATTTATATTTTTAAAAAACCTCTCCTCCCTGCCAGCTTGTAATGTTTAGGAAAGTAATTCACAGCACCTGGAGATGCCCGTGGCAGAGGACAGGGGGGAACAGAGTGAAAAATACTAGTGGGAAGCAGACAGATTTAGCAATATATATCAGCCACACAAAGGCACAGAGTCCTTCATCCCCTGAGGCAGGGAAAGTTATCTGGTGTCTTGCATAATGTACAGAAATGGATCTTCACCCACGCACATTGTGTGGGCTGAGGCTGGGCAGCTGATACCCTCGTCATGTCCTTCCTGGTGACAACATCCCACATGGTTATGACATGTGCATGAATACTGTAACCGCATGATTCTCCTCTCTCTCACACACACACGCACACCCCTCTACCTCCAGGGAAGGGGCTCCCCACCTGATGGTCTCTGTGTGTGTTTGTGAGTAGAAAGGAGCCCTGTCTTGGGAAAGGGACTCTTAACTTTGTATTGCCCCAAGGGAGATCACAGTTAAGTTGGTGGGTTTTATTTTGTTTTTTATAGTGTGACCATTCCAATTCAGTGTCAAAAAAGAAGAAGAAAGGGCAACCATTATTTATTTATTTTCCACATTTTACTTACCACTGAATTACATTAATCATTTAAGGATTTTTTTCATACTGAAGAGCTGTGACTATAAAAGAAGGGGGTTGTTGTTTTGCTTTTTTGTTTTACTTGTTTACATCCTGTATTTTATTCTGTGAACCATCCTGAGATCTTATGAGGAAGGGCGATATATAAATCTAATGAATTAAATAAATAATGAGGAGTCTGTGAGATTGGACCATGAAGTGAATCAGTCTCCAGTGTTATTCTCTATGGGATGTTGCCGGCCGCTGGTAACGTTCTGCTGCCTTTCCTTCAATTAATATCTCTTAGTTTTATTAATTGCTTTCTTTTTTAAAAAAGTTAGTCAACGCCACCTTATCTGACATGCGCCAGGTCACGGAATGAAGGCTTGATGGGAATGTTGTACACTTTAAGCTATACATTATGACCACAGATGTATGGAAGGGCTGAAATGCAGGATTGCACATTCCAACTCTGTTTTGATTTTATCTGTTGTGTTTTCATTTAGCTCAGTAATTCTGAGCAATGCATTAAGGCTAACAGATTGTTGTTTTCCACACACCAAACACGTTTTCTTGTAGGGTGTGTAGATTTTTATTTTTTTCCCCGCACATCAACCAGGCTTGAAGATCATTGTTGTTGAAGTTAAGCTGTGCATGTACCAAATGTCCTGCCTTTAACATTTGATTCTCATATTTGTAGTTCTGTGTTTTCCAAATTCACATTTGATTTAACATGATTTTAAAGTGTCAACTTGCTGCCTTGGTTTTTGTAATTTAGGGTAGAGAAGTAGGGAAAATAATCTAGAGACGTATCTGTATGTGGAGCATGAAATTGAATTGTTGCAAAGCCAAATGATTTCTTTTTTAAACTGGGTAATAAATTCTTGGGAAAGCGTTACATGGGACAGCCAGAAGCTGTCTTCCAGAATGAAGGGGAAACAGATTTGCTATCATTACTGCTAATAATGAGAACTCGTGATGTTTGACAAGCTGCTGTGAGTAATTTATTCCATAATATTTCAATGGCTTGAGTATTTTATTGAAAGGAAGCTTGTAGCAGCTGTGAATTAAAGTGGGCTGAAACTTTGATGTAGTTACAATAGAAAGTATTTGAGAGTTATAATGCCACTGTGAGCCCACTGTTGGTGCTTAGCCGGTATCACGTAGTGCAAATGGAGAATATGATAACCTAAAGGGAGGGAGTTTGCATTCACCAGGCATTTAAATAGTCACAGACACCTTGGGCAATTTTTAATGAAAAGTTAGGGCATAAATTAATTTTATTTATTTTCATCATTTATTAAAGAATTATATACTGCCCTTCATCATAAGATCTCAGAGAGTTCAGAGAGTGGTTCAGAGAGTAAAATACAGGATAAAAACATGAAAATAAGTAAAATGAAACAACAAAACAATAAACCCCCTTCCCACAGACACATTTAAAAGACTGTAGAATATTAATCAGCCCAAGGTCTGGTTGAAGAGGAACATTTTCACCTGGCACCTAAAAATATATAATGAAGGTGCCTGGCGAGCCTCCCTGGGAAGAGCATTCCACAAATGGGGAATCACTACAGAGAAGGCCCTGTTCTTGTGTTGCCCCCCTCCGGACCTCTCTAGGAGGAGGCACACAAAGAAGGGCCTCGGAGGATGAATGCAGAGTCCAATGCGGTTCATATGGGGAGCGGTGCCCCCCCCCAATTCATTTTTAACTTTAATTCAGCAGGAGCTGCACATATGATGTATACCAGTGCCCCACATTCTGCTCGATCTCCGCTCAAGGGCTTCAGACTGCACCAGGTGCCACATAAGAAGCCGATCTTCTAGCACCTACACTTTGGAACTCCCTTCCTATTGACACCAGGCAGGCACCTTCACTGGACTCTTTTTTTGCACATGCTAAAAACATTTTTGTTCAGGCAAGCCTGTACAGATAAGCAAAAGTTTGACAGGTGCTTTTATCTGGTTTTTAGCATACTGTTGATTTTATTTTTATTTTTAATGTTTTAAACAGCTGTTTTTAACTGTCTTTTTACTGATAATTTCATTGTTTCATTCATTTTGTAAACCGCTTTGAGGGTGTGTGGTTTTTTACAATCAAGCAGCTTATAAATTTTATGAACGAAATAAATAAGCGTTCTCTAAAGGTTGGAACTAGCTTCATTGTTCGTGGCAACCATTCAGCTGCTTTCAAGGAAGTTTGGAAGCTGCCTTGTGTTCATTCAGACTGGCTGGCTGGTCCAGGATTGATTGCTTTGGCTGGCAGCCGCTGCTCTCCAGGGTCAGCGTCTCAGGAAGGTCCTTCATTCCCCCCCCCCTTTTTCTTTTTTGGCAGTATTTTTATTAAGTTTACTTATCATTACAGTTATTCGATTCATTATTCAAAACATCATAAGATACATAAAGAAAAACCAGAATAATTCAACATCTTTGAAAATGACTTCCCTTCACGTCATTGTGGGTCCCTACTTCTTCTTTTTCTTTTTAACTGTGTCCTTTTTCAAATTCAATTCATTGATCTCACATAATGTAAATTATCTGTCTGTTAACTAATTTGCGAAAATTAATCAAAGCATATTAGAGATTTTGTTTGGGAACAGTGTTTTTCTAAGTGTACTCTGTAAAACTTCCACTCAGTTTTAAATTTTTGGTTTGTTTGATTCCTGATTGCCTCTGTCATCTTTGCTAGTTCTAAGTATTCACATAATTTATTTTGCCATTCTTCCTTGGTTGGAATTTTCTCTCCCTTCTAATTTTTGGCAATCAACATTCTTGCTGCTGTTGTTGCGTACAGGAAAACCCTCTTATCATTTGGAATATCATCTGTCAAAATGCCTATAAAAGGCTTCAGGTTTTTTCGCATTTGTTTGTTTAAACTTTTTTTTGTTTTTTATGTTGCAGTTCTGAGCCATTTAAGGCTTCATAGGTCAAAACCAGCACTTTGAATGATGCCTGGGAATTAATTGGCAGCCATTGCAATTGGGCCAGGATCGGTGTAATATTCTCAGACCGCCTTGTCCCAGTGATAAATGCAACAGATTAAATAATAAGGATGAAAAGAAAGGTGTTTCGGGCCTCATGTCTACTTCAGAAATCTTCTTTCTCTAAATTGATTTAAAGAAATGAGGACATCATTTCTAATCATTACTGAGTTCTCTTATTCCAGCCTGCAAGAGGATCTATGAATAGGTTTTTTAATGGTCATTCTGATTCTTCATGTCACTGCAGCGTGCCCTCAAGTAACGTGTGTAAAAGATTTTGCTGTGAACTGCCGTTAGAAAAGGCACATGGCTCCCTCTTTGACTGGCTTCATCCATATCCCTGCAAGCAGCAGAATCGTTGTCATCATGAGGCCAAGGGAGGATGTTCACATTTTGCAGCAGTGGGCACACTCTGGTCCAGAATCCTTTGTGCTGCTTTATATGCATGTTTATACCCTGCATGTGGCCTCCATGTTTACTTTAATGGAGGTGACATCTAGATATCTACAGCTCAGCCCATTGCACACTGAATGACTTCATCTAGTGATGTGAGTGAGGAATTTTGTATGCATCTTGGATCCACTGCCCATAAGATGCCACTGAATTGAGTGGATAGGCTCTCTCCCTCCTCCTTCCTTCCTTAGTGTTTATCTCCCTGTGTTGCAGTATTGTAGCACAGAATATTGAATTAAGGATCAGCCGTGATCAGGAACAAACCTACTCATAACAGTGCTCACAGATACTTGAACAGAGGAAGTGGAAACTAGATTTGAAGTGTGTCCTTAGTGCAGATAATTAAAAAAAATCAGGGCTGTATGTGCACACTCCCCATGACAAGAAAGGTAGATTGGCTAGATCATGGGTAGGCAAACTGAGGCCCGGGGGCCGGATCTGGCCCAGTCACCTTCTCAATCCAGCCCACGGATGAATCAGCGTGTTTTTACATGAATAGAATGTGTCCTTTTATTTAAAATGCATCTCTGGGTTATTTGTGGGGCATAGGAATTCGTTTATTTCTCCCCCCCCCCAAAAAAATATATATAGTCCGACAGTGTCTGAGGGACAGTGGACCGGCCCCTTGCTGAAAAAGTTTGCTGACCCCTGCTAGATGTTACGGAGAGTGTTTGGTGAAATCTCAGACCTGATAATAGGGCTTTGTAGGATTTCAGGTAGTCAAGAGTGTTGAAGATAAACTTCTTGGCCCATCCCATGACAAGCAGAGCCAGAATGAATGATGCGAAATAAATGTAAACCAGCATAACGAGCGCAGGCATCTTGAGGTTTGGCCTCCAGCTTCCATCAGCCCCAGCCGGTTGGAGAGAGCTGTAATACAGGATGCAGAACTTGGGTTTGTTTTGTGCTGCTGCTGCTGCTGCTGCGTTTAAGTATAGGGCATGCACAGTCTTAAGTTACAGTTTTTTTCAAAATTCTTTTTCAGACAGAAGCTCCAAGAAGATCACAAAGACTGGACATTTGGAGAGACATGGTTGTTTTTTGGCTGTCGCCACCAGGTCAAAGATTACCTGTTCCAGTAAGTTGTTGCCTTGTGCTCTCTTTCCTCTCAGCCCCTTGCCCCCTAAGCTGCTGTGCAAGGGAATTATGTCTTTACCCTTGCAGTGATCCTTAACTTCTATCTTTCAGAGAGGAGCTCAGGTGCTTTGCTGAAAGTGGCACATTAACTCACCTAAAGGTTTCTTTCTCAAGAGACGCCCCAGCTGCAGGAGAAGCTGCCACTCCTAAATACGTTCAAGATAACCTTCGGCTTTACTGCAAAGAGGTTAGCAGGATTCTGCTGCAGGAAAAAGGGTATTTTTACGTGTGCGGGTGAGTCATGCCAAATTTTATGAAACTTGGATTTGCAAGAACTTGTAGAAACGTTAACTGCTTTTAGATTAGCAAGAGCTGGGAGCAAAAGATGAGAAAACAAAATTAATGGGAGCCCAGGTGTGGTGGTGGGTTTGTTTGTCTTTTCCTGAAGAGAATACTCCCTTTAGGCACAGTTTCATAACATCGCTGCTTTGAGAAGATGAGGATTGCAGAAAGAGCTGCCCAGAGAGCTTCTTAACAAGCTGAAAAGTGAACTGGAAGGGAGGGCAGCAAGCTTTGTATGGGGCTTGTTGAGACAAAACAAAAGAGCAAGCCAGGGTGCAAGTTAAGGCAACAAGGGCGTTAGAGAGAAATAAGAAGGCCATGTTAGTACCCTAAATGCCCTGCTGACACAAGCATAGTCTCCACTCATCTGGCTCTAACAGAAGGACTGATTGGTGGCATTTTTACATGGACATGATCTCACCCAGTGGAGCTGCTTTTAAGTTGCATACGCTAACCTAAACTTCATGGCTATTACCATCTCGGTGGTTAGCCCGTTATGTCCCATTAATTTCAGTACAGTGGTACCTTGGGTTACATACGCTTCAGGTTACATATGCTTCAGGTTACAGACTCCGCTAACCCAGAAATAGTACCTCGGGTTAAGAACTTTGCTTCAGGATGAGAAGAGAAATCATGTGGTGGCAGCAGGAGGCCCCATTAGCTAAAGTGGTGCTTCAGGTTAAGAACAGTTTCAGGTTAAGAACGGACCTCCGGAACGAATTAAGTACTTAACCCGAGGTACCACTGTAGCGGGAATCTGAGAATGTGCATAAACTCACCTATCAGTAGAATTTAGAAGTGTTTGAACTTTGGCTGGACCGTGCCTTGTGTCTATAAAATGCATAAACCTTATTTGAGGGATCTTTGAGAAGGTTGGGTAGGCTGTTAACCTAAAGGAAAATGCAGTGGTTCAAGATTGTGGAATTCAAGGCTGTAAGAGGTGCATTCAGTTAGCATTATCAGAGTTTGTACTGAGCCATGACCTCTAATCTCATCAAAGCTTCCACCCCTCCAGTATCCTTGAGTGTAGAAACGTCAGAGTCAGCGGTTTGTGGCGCAGGGCGAGAAAACCTCCTTCAAGTGCCAAATGCTTTGCAGCATCTAATCTTCCTGCAGGTCAATAGCTATTTAGCAACTTAACCTCAAACATCTCAAGAGCCCTATTCTATCCAACTGCCCCTCTTTTAGCTTAGATGCTTGGCAGATGAAATAATGCCTAAACATTGGTCCGATGTTCTAAGTATTTATTTAGTACAAATGTAGTTAATTGAGAGACTTGTTTGAATCCTAAAGCCCTATGCGCAGAATCCACTGGGTGGTTCTCCTGCACAAGCTGTATGGGGGGGGGGGGATTGGAAATGTGCAAAAGCAGAGCAGTACATTTGAACAACTCCCATTCATTCCAGTGGGACAGGAGAACCTCTCAGTCTAGCATGTAGCTTAAATGTTACCAAGTTAAATTCTAAACCTTTGTTATACTCCAAATTCTGGGGGAAACAGAATTTGTATTTCTACATACACAGTCTAGCAGGACTGCAGAGCAAAAACTTCTGCCTTTTCAGGTGTGCAGTTAGAAAGGGGTAGTCACCTTACAATGGCGTGATTGACTTTATACAATATGTCAGATAACACATGGCCAGTTGACCAGTCAATTGATTTTAAATGTGACCAGTTCTTTTACGCGTGCGTGCACACACATATTGTACTCTTCTCTTTCTGATAATTGTCTGAAAGTGACACCACCTCCATCAACGATACTGGTTTGTCTGCTTGACTGATGATGATTTTTCCCATTTTTTCAGAGATGCAAAGAATATGGCTAAAGATGTGAACGATGCTTTAATAGATATCTTAACTTCTGAGAGAGGAGTTGATAAACTGGAAGCACTGAAGATGCTTGCTCTGTTAAGAGAAGAAAAGAGATATTTGCAAGACATCTGGGCCTAGGAACTAGCCACTCTTCTTAGTCCATTTGGCATTGATGATCTATGGATAACCTTTTTATGTATATGCTGGTTGGTGGTGACACAAGTCCTCTTGTCTGATACCTAATTGATATTATCCTACTTAGCCTGCACAGTTGGAATCACTCATTTCAGAGAAATTTTGCACAATGAAAGGAACTCTTTAAATATGCCATCTGTCAGTGCCTTTTAATTTGTAGGTATTTTCTTAGCAAAAGTTGTCAGATGGCGTTTATTTTCTGTCTTGGAGCACCAGATGAAGTAAATATTTAAAGCAATCCTACATATGCTGGTCTTTCTCTTCTGCTGATCTGGAGATGCATTCAAAAATAAGGTAGTGTGTGCAGCCTCTACCACTTCTGCTTGGGCAATAGGGTTTTCTTATTGACTGCCTCATCAGAGATCATCCACCCAACTTTTGCACCTTAGGATGCAGGTGGAAATTGTACAGGAACCCAGTCTTTTAAATAAGGAAACTATTTATAGTTTATTTATTAGCCTTTTAAAGTGTTGATAGTATCAATTTCAAATGATTAATAGGACGATCATGAAATATCCTTACAGAAAAGAGAATAGGACTGCAGCCTTCACATGACTACATAGATGTTAGAAACAAGATAGACTGGTTTTAAATTACTATGAGAAAAGATACTTAAACCACTAATTTAAATTGTGTTTCTTGCTTTGTAATTAATGAATTACCTGATGAGTGGATACGGATTGATTGCTACAAGAAAACAGACCAGTTTACAGTTAAAGGGTTTACAGTTATACGTTGCTTTACGAGGAATGTCCTGTGAACTCGAGCGTTGCAGCTTGCCAGGCAGACTAATCCCTCCTCCTCCCCCCACCCCTTGCATGCTAGGTGGAGATTCTTCCAATCGCCCTCCACAAAGCCAATTGTATTGGGGCAGGGGGAGAATGGAGGAAGCTCCATTGTGCAAGCAAAAGGACTTGCTAGGTGAATCCTGCCCAGTCTTCCTATTACCCAGGAGCATCATCCAATACCTCTGCACAATTCGATCTGAGACAGGGGGAAACATCGGTTAATGGGCTGCTTTTTGGCCTGACGTTCAGCTTTTTGGCCTGACGCTCAGCAAGATCATTGGCTTGACGATGAGGTCCACAGTCCAGTTTATTAGCTGTAATGAGTTATGGCCAAATGCCCAGGAATTCCAGAGCCAAGGTTAGTAATTGATTACTATTACTGGGCAAAGCAGAAGAAAAGTAAATTATACATTTAGTTAAGTCACATATTTATAATTTTTTGTAATAATGCACGAGCTGTTTAACACTTGTTTCAGAAGTCAAATATTTCTCCCCATATTTTTTTCTTGCAACCTTCAATCAACCTTTGCTTCAATGTCTTTGACAGAAGGTTGTGAATTTTTTAAGAGCTAAATGGACATCTGTCCTAAGTTTAGATTTCATTTCAAAATTATTTTCACAAATTATTTTCACTATAGCACCTAGATGGGCTGTCAGGATCCTGGAGTAAAGCTGCAAGTTCAACAATGGACTTGCTTTTGGGCGCAAATAATTATTCCAGTACACTAATTTTCACCTCTGAAGTTGCATCCACGGGGTCATGTCCAGTGCTGGTGGTTCCATTTGCTCAGCAGAACCAAATTGTTCCATGTGCGCAGAACAAAGAGGCAGTGAAGCATTCCACAGTGACACTAGAATTTGGGGACATCACTAGTGGTTGAACACTGGAAGGTTTAGGACAATCAAAGAAAGTATTTCTTCACATAGTGCATAGTTAAACTCTGGCAATCGTTGCCACAAAAAGCAGCAATAGCCACCAACTTAGATGGCTTTGAAAGAGAACTTTGGGGCTGCGAAGACAGGAACATGACTCATGTAACGTTGGATACAATGCATGGCTATGGTTTTAAATGCAAACAGTATAATTCCAATTGTTTTGATGGAAATTAGAGCATATGGATGATAATTATTTTAAATTGTTGGGACTTAAATGTGTTGAAATTGGATTGAAACATGCCCAGTGTTTGTGAGAAAGTGCAAACTGATTTTATTTTCAATATATATTTTAAAACTAAAATGGTTCAGAGTTTTTCTTATCTTCTTTGAACCATTTGACTGGGTTACAAGGTTGTCCTTAGACCAGGAAGCAAACAAACAAAGCAGATTCTTCTTTTAACACCTGCTTGAAATCCACACATAACGTTCTTTGTGGCAGAACATTTTGATGTTAAAAGCAAAGGAGCAGTGCAAAAACTGGCAACTCCCTTGGATCTACCTTGATACTTCCTATAATTATTTCAAATGTGAGTAACTTCTGAAGATATTAAGGGAACAGCTCAGTCACCCCTGCAAAGAATTCTGTAGTTTCATTTCCCTTTTAGCATTGCTCTTAAAATGTTGCTGACACTCAGTTTAGGTGGTTTATGGATCTCTTAATGCTAATGCTGATGGATTTCTGATGACCTCTAGTTTTTATAGATGCTGATTACTGCATCTGTTAAGAACTCATAGAATTTTAAAAATGGAAGTACTGTTGTGGGTTTTTTGGGCTTTCACTGGGTGGTCAGTTTGTTTCCAGCTGCCACATGTTCCTTCTGTAGTTTATTGCCGTAGGTTTTCATCTTTCACCTTTGCTATTTACCAGGGTAGCACTCAGTGGAGCTATCACCATTGAAAGAATGATTTGAAAATATGAAGCAGTGAACTCCCCACCCCCACCCCAAGTTTAAAATGTGGAAGTTAACACACGCCACCCACATGTTTTCACCGGGTACCTTCCCAAGGAGAGTGTTCCATAACACTGGAATGTAGTGTAGTGTTCCTTTTCCCCGTGTTAGAGAAATGTGACTTAAGAGAGAGAGGACTTAAAGACTTAGGATAACTTTGTTAATAATCTGTTTATTTACAAATGTACAAGTTGACTGTGATGGAGGCACAGCAGTCCACAAAGGCAGTGTCACTTCCAAAGCAACCACAGGCTCCCCAGCCAGCCAGCTCTAAACAATCAAGACCTGCTAGGCTCTCTCCAGCGTCTCTTGTAGTTCCAGGCAAAGCAGCCTCCATCCTTGCACTATCCTGGGCGTTGCTGTCACTGTGCATGCTGTGTGCACAAGGCCAAGACAAATGTTCTAGGGGGGATTTTTAATTGGTAGTTTTATATATACACACAGACACCTGCTCCAGGAAGGAGACAGTTGTCCTTTTCGTGACAATCGAGCTGTTCACATACTTGAAGGCACTGCTCAGCTGGCTTCAAACGTCCTAGGCAAGAGGTTGTGGGAGAGACTCACCTTGCCCCCACGCTGGTTTTATCATAGAAAACATTCCACTAGAAACAACAGGAATTAAATGCTTATCTGCACACCTAGCAGCTATGTGCCAATGGGGAAGAGCACACTGGGCTGTACAAAACTGGATGGTGCATTGATACCGAAAGGCTTCCTAATGGCAACACAATCCATGTCATTAATCACAAAGAGCCTCAAATTTAAGTGAACTATCAAAAATATGATACTGAGTTGAATGCAACAGTGTACACACTCTGAAATCAATAAGCTTAAGCTCGTTGTGCCCATTGACTGCTGTGGGGTCTCCTCTGAGGAGGGCTTAGTTGGAGTCACCTTATAGCAGGGGTGCAAATTCCAAGGGCCTAGTTGGCCCAAGTTCCAGGTGGTGACAGAGAAGGAAACAACAGGCCCTCCTTTCCCCCCATGCAGAATGAAGGAACAGGAGTGAAACTTGACAGGTCAACTGTGCCGGCTGCTGCTAAGTTATCTTGGGATTCCATGGAAATTTAGCAGCAGCAAATGAGCTGTTGTGTGTCCACCCTTTCACACTGCCCTGTGCCAGTCTATGAGAAGGGGCTCTTGGAAAGGAGCCTTTCCCCAGAGGGTGGCAAGAGGAACATGCTTTGTGGCTTCTGCAGGTGGTGGGTGGGTTGAGAGCTGACTTCTAAACACAAAACAACCCTAAGCATGGGTGTAAAACATGAATATTCCTTGGAGAGAAGGGAGGATGCAGTAAAGAAGAAGCATGAGATGGAAGGAACAGGAAACAAGGGCGGGGAGAACTGATGAGCAGAGGAAGGTGAGGCAAGCGGAGCAAGCACTGCATTTTCAGGTAGGAGAGAGCTTCGGCCTTGTTTTTTCATCCAACAAATTTGAGGCATGTCTGTTACTTCTTAAGGCCAGTTCTATGCCCAAAGACTTGTGGACAGTATCCAGCAAGAAAATTGTGTCCCAGGTTAGACAATGGAAGAATTCTGTTGGCTGAAGGAAAGTTTTGTCAATTCATGGATCTGGGGAGGTTAGCTGAGCAGAAAGAGGCAGGCAACCCCTTTTGCCACCGCAGAAATGGACTTCCAAATCCCACTGCTCTATTGACACAGTTGCATCGCCACAGGAAGCACTAGCACAATCCAAGCAAGAGGGAGGAGTTTAAATACACTGAAATCCATGGCTGAAGGCACAGCTAACTCTAACAGGTATGACATTGCCTGTTCACTTAAAGTAAACCATGGTTAAAAGTTCAAAAATTCCCATTAACCCTGGGCAGGAATGTAAAATAGGAATGTAAGATAGAAATAGAGCCTGAAAAACTCAGCCAGTCTTTCTAAAAGAATTGAAAATGTTAGTGGCCTCAGATCACTAATTCCCTCAGATGGAGGGAATCGGCAAAGTCAGGATATGATGAGAAGAGAAACTAGGCCAGAACCATAGTCATGGTACCTGCGTTTTGTGTGAAGAAGAAAAGCTCTCGGGAATCAATACTGCAAGATGGGGAATGCCCATAAATGAATATAAGGTTAAATACTGTAAATTAAGGGGTAGAAGTGGTTCCCTGCTGCAAAAGGGTTGGGTGGTGGTGGGCAGTAAGAAGGAACCCTGTAAAAACTGGCCTTGAGCTTTCAGGCTTTTCATGCAATACAAGGGGTAATTGGCTATTCTTTGACAACAAAATGGCAATGTGCATCCTAATGAACTACTTGACTCGCCAAGGCATTTTTGCATGGCTGCAGTCCTACAGCCACCCATCATGTCCCCCAGTAATCTCACCTGAGATTTTAGATGCTCTTTGCTCACCAATACAGAGGGATCCTTTGCAGCTGCAGAGGGGTGGGGAACCCCAGAGGCAGAAAAGGAAAGCTGCGGGAGGGGAGCCAATTCCCAACTTGTTTTAAGAAAACCATCAAGGGAAATTGTGTTACGTTTAACAAAAAAGGTGTACTGCAACTGTAAATTTGTCTCAAGCAGTGCTGATTAAGAAACCATTTGTGCAGCTGCCTCTGTGTGTTTATTCCCTCAAACGGTTTGGCTCTTAGGGAAGAAATGTGTTCTCAGGACCAGGTATAAAAAACAGGAAGGAATCTGAGGAAAGAAACACAGTGTCTTCTACAGAGGCACAGAAAAAAATATCCACTATGCTTTGCGTTTCCACACTGTAGCTCTTGCATTTCCTCTTAAGGCCTGACTGCCGCCTTGTGAATGTCAGTGGCCAATGGTCTCTTGCTTCAAAATAAGAGGCCATTTCCATTGAGCCACTGCTGTCCGTTGCTGAAGACAAGCATGGGGTTGCTAGCTTAAGGTGAGACACTGAGCTTCAAATTTGTGTGCTTGGAGGGAGGGCAAAAGCAGTCTTGTGTGTGCAGAGCTAAAGAATCAAGCGCACATCCAAAGAGCGTGGAGCCCTGGCTTGCTCTCTCCTTTTTCGCTACCATGAAATGTTACATCATATTTGGTATTTACTTTAGCAAATAGAACATATACACCTGAGCTATACATGCTGTGAAACCAGCTGGCTGAAGCATTTAATGTAATAACTCTGACATTCCTTGCAACAGAATAGTAGTTTTTCTTTGAAAAAAGGCAAACCTATCATTATTGATAAAAGCAAGCAACAGCAAGAGGGCAGTGAAACTGGTACAAAATTTGGAGCCCCAATTTATTTCCTCTAGTTTGTCATCAAGCACTTCCACTATTTACATAACCAGGCATGATGAGAAATCTCACTTGGTGCATCAAAACTATTGCAATAATGCTTTGCTTAATATACTTTATGCTGTTTTTAACTTCATGAATAATAAAAAAGAGCCATTAAAAATAGAAGCATTTGTGCTTTCCATCTCTTCCTAAGGGAGGCAGGCAAAGGGTGTGATGGATCTGCAAGCCAGTCCGGGGCCATCTTTCTGCTCTGGTGGCTTTGTGAATGTCCTAATGCACAATCCAGGTGGAGTCCATGCCACCCACCAGGCAGAAGTAGATCCTTAGTAACATGTGGAAATAGTTTGACATGTCTTCCCTGCTTCCGTTTCACAGATACATCCCAGCAGATTGAAACAGACAAAGCATGCACATTTCTGATCGGTTCTATCACTCAATGGCTCCATTTCTCTAGCACCTCTTTTACCAGCTTCCCTTGTGCCAGAAGTAGCTTGTAGTCCTGCCATAAACTATTCCCAGTTTCCACAAGGTCCAAAACAAGTTCATGAGTCCCAAGTATCCAGCCCAGAAGGTGCCAATGACCCTTGAAGGTGAGAAGGACTTGCTTCCATACAAATCAGGATCATTCCATTCAATAATCTTATCTGTGGCAGGGAGGAGGCCTCCCAGTTGTATAAAAGTTTTCTCCTAGGCGGTCTCTAGCAATTAGGAGGATGGCAGCATGTTGACCAAAACAGATTGGCCAATGCAAAAGGACCCCATGATCTAATTCTACAGTACAAATATTGTACTGAAATGTAACATTTTAGAAAGGGAAACCTTTTACCCACACAAGTCAATGTTTTGTTGACGATGGCAGCAACATGATGTCTGAGGACCCAGGCCTTGGGGACGAATGTGAGTTATACAGATTTTCCCTCTTAATACTCATCATAGTGGTTCAGATCTGTAAAATAGGCATTGGAATATGCCTTTGCAGTGAGATGTGGATTAAAGTACTTGTTTTGCTCTTCTAGTATCAGGTTATTTTTGTTAAATGCCTGGGAATAAGAAAAGGGAGGGGGAGGAAGAGTTTAGAAAACACATCATTCAAACTGAAATAATAAAATGCAAAACAGGGCAACTGATCACTAAAAGATATGCACACTTATAACATTATCTAGGAGGAGGAGGGGTAGAGATGGCAAAAGCAACACCAGAGGTTGAAATTGGAGAGATAGCAAGAGGAAGCTATTGTAAGAAATATAGATTTAATAAGGAAGGAGGTTGAAAAAGAGAACTGAAGTAGCAAGAAGATGTTCAGGACAAGAAGACTGGGAAGAACACAAGAGGAGGAGGAAACCCAAAAGGTATGACTTTGTAAATGCGTAACACCTTTGAGGAGGCAGCAGACACTGCCATGGTCACTCTTATTCACACAAGAATGACAAGAAGGAAGTCTTCATGTGGAAATCTTTTCCTGTAGTCTCCGTGTGAGTAAAATAATGTGTGTGGGTTTTTGTTTTGTATTTTTGCCTCCCCCCCCCCTCAAAAAAGGTTTTGACCCATTAGAATACTGGTTCCATAAATCTGAAACATAACAGCAGCAGTCCCTTTTTGGACCACAGTAATTGTCCAGAGTATCTGCACATTTAACACCTTTAAAGAGCACCAGCCCTATCCATTCCTTACCTTGATGGCTTCTACAGAGTCGTACTTGTCCAGCTTGTTGATGTGATTAGTGATGTTGGTATTCAGAGGAGCCGGTGATACTGGGTGGATGACAGTTGCATCGTGCGACTGCTGCTGGTACCGTTGGCAGTAAGTGTAAACCAAAAGAGTCAGAAGGCACCCGAGAATGCAGCTGCTCAGCCCCACAGCAGTCATATGGAACATATTAAACTCTACAGGGTGGAAGAGGCAAAGCAGAGTTGGCAGGTTTGCTTATGTTTGATTGATTTCCAGACAACCTGCTTATGCATCGCTATGTCAGCACTTTGTATGCACCATGCAAAACAGGCACAGCGGGGGAAATACACATAGTAAAACTACATACAGGTCTTTCTTTTTTAGTAGGGCAGTTCTCTCTCTTCATTCTTCATGCAACTTTCTGAGAATCTAGCATTCTTTTTTAAAAACAACAACAAAAGAACAAATATGTTTCTTGTCCTCATGACTGGGAAAGGCTGTGGTGTGGGATTAGGAGTTCCTGTGATCATAAGATACTCTCATTGGAGAACTAGAAGAGTGTTACTATTCTGATTATTTATATACTTCAATTTATCCAAAGATCCCAGGGTGGTGTACAACATTAAGAACATAATCATAAGAACAGCCCCCCCCCATATTTAACAGGCCATACATTATCTAATGGCCAAAGGCCTGGGGAAAGAGAAATGTGTTCACCTAAAGATATGCAAGCCTCTTCGTGTTTTTTTTAAAAAATTTTCCTGAGATTTGTATTGTGTATTTGTGTATCTTTTTTATGGTTTTTTTTGTTGTTGTTGTTTAATTTTTGATTGAAAACTTAATAAAAATATTTAAAAAAAAAAGATATGCAAGCCTCTCTGGGGAGAGCATTTCACAGTCGGGAGCCACCACAGAAGAGGCCCATTCTCATGTTGCCACCCTCCAAACCTCTCAGGGAGGGAGGACACAGAGAAGGGCCCCGTTCTGTCTTCTTGCCCGCTTTGTCTTCCCCCTGAAAATCTCTGCTGGAGAGCCTCCAGAACAACATGGGGGGGGGGGCACAAGTGGCTGCAGGGGGAAGGGGAAATTATTTCCTCAACACTTTCCTCCTGTGGGAGCCTCAGCTTGACTGCAGTGCCTTCTGCGAAGGGGAGGAGTGAAATCTCGAAGATGTTTCTCTTTGAAGTGGTGGAGGAAACAGCTTACCTATTTTACCAGCATTTTTAAAAGTAGAGAACTAGTGCAAAAGGAGTAAGAAGCTACAGGGAAAACAGTTCCCAAGAATACTGGGAAAAAGAACAAGCCAGTATTAAACTTAAATCTACTGCTGCTTCCTCTGGAACCCCTTTATTCACTCACTTTTTACAGTATATCTAAATGATATTGCCATCAAACTGTTGTTCTCTTGTGTTTCCCCCATGCTGCTTTGTCTCTTTGGGGAAGGACATTAATCCAACTTTTTTCCTTTTTTTATAGACAAACGGAACAGCAGAGCAATCTCTGCAAGTGGAGACAGCCTTTTCCGTCCCTGGTGCTTTCTAGATGTTGTGGACTCTTAATAGTCCCAAAACATCTGGAGGGCACCTGGTTGGCAAAGGTTGTCTTCATGTTACTCTTCTGTCTGCTTAGAGGGGCATTTGCAGTCACATTTTGGGGTATTTTAACCAGGCCCTGAGAACCCACCTTTCTCATGATTGCCATTGTGGGAGGTGGGGGTGTTCCTTTCTTTCATTCAATTGATGATGATAAACACTGCTATAATGTAAGTTTGCTTCATTTTCTTTTTAATTATTAAAATATTCATACAATAGCACTTGAACATAATTAATCGCTCTGGAATAAGTCCACAAATTGAAATAGAAGAATGGGGAAATGGTGGTCGCTAAGGGAAAAGCAATTAAAGGAGATGGGGCCAGAGAAGGCCATTTCAGGAAATGGCCAGTTAAGGAGCCGGTTGCACCGCTGCTGGGAGAAGCAGGAGCTACCATACTTTTCTGTGTATAAGACTAGGTTTTTTTACTTTAAAATAAGGTTAAAAATATGGGGGTGTCTTATACATGGATAGTGCATATGTCCATTTTCTAAATTTGGGGTCCCCAAAAGTAGCGAGTGTCTTATACATGGCGGCGTCTTATACTTATACCAGAGTCGGCCACGACTGGACCTAATGGTCAGGGGTCCCTTTACCTTTACCCGTGATTCTTATTTATACATGCTGTGAAGCCTGCGTTCCTCCAGTGAAACCTCCAGCCAGCACAAGGCGATAAGAGGCCTTCCTGTCCTTACCTTTCAGCGCCAAAAGGCAGCAGTGGAGACAGTGGGGGCTGCAGCCAACCCTTTCCAAGAGTGAAGTTGCCAAGTGGATGGCCCCATGCCAAGGTGACCATCCACTGGCGTGGGGACACCATTCAGCAAAACTCCAGGAAGCCACACCCTCCCTCTCGTGTTGTGGTGTCTGGTATTCATCTGCAGCCACCAAATGTATTCTTTAAAATGTGAAAATAATGTTTGCCGGAACCTTGGAAGTCAGTGTAGTTTCTCAGTAAGATTTACACTCACTATAAAACCAGGCTAGGGTGGCCCACCGAGCTCCTTGCCCTCCCCCTGACTAAGAGAAGCAGAATAAATGCTTCAAGCTAAGAAAACTCAATGTCACTGTTTTCCATAATTGACTCTTTTCACTTTGCATAACTGCTCCTGATAACATAAATCCAGCGTTCATTGGCTTTTGTAGATATGGTGCACACTTTAAATTTTAACACTGAATGCACACGATTTATAGTACAAATCTGACCCAACTTCCTCTTGAAAGGAAACTGAGTACTCTTTGAGGTATCAAGGACCCTTATGGAGAAGAAAGTTGTTTTTTGGCTTCCTCGTTTCAACCCACAATTTAGAAAATAGTGGTGTATGGATCTGTACATGGATTGAAAACAAACATTCTCCTTATATGGTTGAAATACCCCGTTTCCTTCACTGACAATATACAGGCACCAATTCTGAGACATTGTAAATACTGTTCCCAGAGCTCAAGTCAGCAATTACATGCCTATTTTCAGACTCTCATTTAAGAACTTTCCTAGTCTCATCTGAGATGCACAAATCCCCGGGTTAAGTACTCAAAATGGGTATTGATGGTTTCTCTGATGATAAGGATGATGGCAACTTATGAGTGGGAAGACTCGTCTTTTGGGACTCTGGAGGTGAACTGAAGATGATCTCTGGACTAGTCCTGCCTTGGAGAGTCTTCTTTTGCCATTCCTCTCCTCTTTGCTTTAAACAAATCACAGTCAAGTTGTTGTAATAGGCCAACGAAGGACCTTTCTCCTGTAAGGCTGTGTGCTCCCTGAACTTTAAAAAAAAATCCTGCTTTAAGTATAACATATGCAAGGTAAGCAGCTGTGCCTAGTTACTCTTATTTTTACTATTTTTCAAAATGTATTCTGTTTCTGTTAGTCACAAGGAGGGAAGGAGTGAGGAGATTTCAGCAGGCATTGTTTTAGGACTCCTGCATAGATTGCCACTTATTTATTTAAATTGTTTTATTTATGTGTTCCTGATTTAAATTTGTACCCTGCATTTCCAATCAAACCAATTTATACTGATCAATCTGCAAATGTACTAGTAAATAATATTATCTCAGACAAATGCCAAATAATAAAAGGTACTAGACAAGGCTATCCCTTATCTCCGTTGTTCATTTTGACATTAGAAATATTGCAGCAGAATATAAGGAGAAACAAGGAACTCAAAGGAATAGAGGTAGGACTCAGAGCCTATAAATTAAGGCCATTTGCTGATGATGTGGTGTTAACATTGGAACAGCATATGGTAAGCATTCCCAAAGCATTAGAAGAAATTAAAAGGTTTGGAGAAGTGGCGGGTTTCAAAATAAATACAGATAAAACCAAAATGTTGGTTAAAAACATGGATGAGCAGCCAAAAAAGGCCTTAGAAAAGATCTCTGGCCTAAAGAGGTTAAAAAGTAAAATATTTCAGGATTTGGCTGTTGGTGAGAAATCTCAACTTATTTCAACTTATGCTTGGCAGGGGGTTGAACTCGATGGCCCTTGTGGTCTCTTCCAACTCTATGATTCTATGATTCTATATTAAACTGTGGGAAGAGATTAAGAAAGAATTGGAGATTTGGGAAAGGATGAATAAAGCTTTCACTATTAGGCAGAATTTCAGCCATTAAAATGAATGTACTACCTAATATGTTGTTTTTATTCCAATCTATTCCGATTGTAAATAAGTTGCCTCAAAGAATGGAAAAAAGATGGCTTTTTCTGGCAGGGGAAAAAAGCCATGAATCAAACAAAATCTTGATAGATGTAAAGAAAGAGGATACTTTGCCTTGTCAGACCTACAACTGTATTATGAGGCAGCCTGTTTGTGTTGGCTAAAGCAATGGATCATATTGTAAAATGCAGACATTTTGGATTTGGAAGGCCATGATATAAAATTTGGCTGGCATGCATGTCTTTGGTATGGGAAAGCTAAAATTTATAACAGTTTTACAAACCACATCATTAGGAAGAATTTATATAGAGTTTGGGAGAAAAACAAAATTTTGTTGGAAAGAAAAATACCTTTGTGGTTATCCCCTATTGAAGCAATTACAATTAATAAAATTAATATGGATAGACAATGGGCGGCAAATAGGGAACTGCTGGATTTTTCAGGTAGGGAACCCAGACTGAAACCTATGGAGGAATTAAGGAGCCATGTTACAGGATGATTACAGTACCACCAGTTACTTGATACATTTAAGATAGATTCAAAAAATGGATTCCTGGACCAAAGTTCACAATTTGAAAAACAATTATTACAGAATAAGGGCAAGCCATTATCTAAAAACTATAACTTTTTATTAGAATAGGAAACAAAATACGAGCTAGTCAAAGCTTCAATGACACATTGGGCAATAGATGTAGGATACAATATAGACTTAAACCTCTGGGAGAAACTCTGGAAAAATGATTCAAAATTTACTGCATGCTATTAAATGAAAAAGAACTTGATGAAAATGATTCATAGATGGTATTTAACTTCAAGTAAGTTGGCTAAAATGCTTAAAGCCGAATCAGATATGTGTTGGAAATGTAAAGAAATGGAGGAAACTTTTTTTCATATGTGGTGGACATGTAAAAAAGTAAAAGAATATTGGGAAATTATTTATAAGAAGTTGAAAAAAATGTTCAAAACAACTTTTTCAAAAAGACCGTAGTCCTTTTCGATGGGAATAATTCAGACAGAAGTTCCTAGGTGTCAGGAAAAAAATATTTATGTACGCAACAACAGCAGCTTGGGTTTGGTTGCTCAAAAATGGAAAGTGAGGGAGTTTCCAAGCAAAGAGGACTGGCAACTTAAGATGTTAGAATATGCAGAACTTGTAGGTTTAACATATAGAATAAGAGAGCAAGAAGAAGAAGAGTGGAAAATATTTATTGAGTATATGGAAAATAACTGTACACAGATGAAAATGCTGGTAGCATTAAGATAAAATCAACAGTGTAAGTAATTTTGAGTGTTGTAAAAGTGGAGAACTGATTAAAATGGCTAGAGTAAAATATGCAGGAACGAAAGATAAACAGAATGAACCATGGAAGGAGAAGGAGAGAAGTCGTTGGATATTTAACAGTATGTAAAATGTTTATTTTGAACTGAATAATTGAAAACTTAATTCAAAAAATGGAAAAAAAAATTGTACCCTGCATTTCCAAACAATCACTGGTGGACGAAGGGGGGGCGGGGTGAGGGGTCTGCCCCGGGTGCCATCACAGCTGTCCCTGGGACGCGTGCCACATCCCCGCGGGTGGCGCACCACACCCCCGGGAACCTGTGCCAGCCACGCCCCCGCCTGTTCTCCACTCCCGGGGCCAGAGCACGTAGCTCCGCCACGGCATGCAATATAAAATGATCCTAAAGCAAGAAGGTAAAAAACAAAACAATGACAACTGCCAGTTTTACTGAGTTGCAGACTTAATGTCTGCACATTCAAGGCTCAAATTCTGTATCATTCTACAATTCTTTCCCCCCCCCCCCTCACTTTTTTAAAAAAAACTCAATGCAGCCTGAGCAGGTTGTGAATCTGGGCAGAAGAATGGATGGAGAAAGGTTACGTAACCCACTCAGTGTCCTCTTTGGCTTACAATTACCCTTCCCAAACGGCTTCTTCATCTGGGGTCATCTTCCCACCCCAGGTGGAAATGCAGCTTGGGGAGGTTGAACTGAACACCATCCAGGGTCTTGCCTGATTGGACTTTCTTCCATGCAGGTTTCTTGCTTTACATTTAAAAAGCAAGGAGAATGGAGGAAAGCATCACGTCCAGGGTAGCAGAAAACAGCACAGAAAGAGTCAGGGAAAGAATGCAGAAAAATAATCAGGGATGGAAAGAAACCTGGGAAGGAACACTTACCGCCACATCGTTGTTCTTTGATGCTGCTGGTCCTTGCTACTGTTATGTCTGCAACAGCAAATAATTCAATTATGCAGAAGTCATAAAGAAAAACAGCCCAATATAATTCTTTAACATTTCTGTTCAAGTGTGAACAATATATATATCAGTCTGGTATGAATAATTCTTAACTCAGCAAGAATGCTCTTCACTATCAATCACACACTTTGCTAATTTGCTGTGGACAAAGAAAACACGCTTCATTCTGCAAACATAGCTGCTGTGGCCCCAGTTATTTCCAGTAAATGCTAGCAGGACCCCCGTTTGTGAGACTTCATTGTGAAGCTCTGCACACCTCCCCTTCCCACAAAGAGTTGGCAGAGCCCCACACACTGTAGGCAGCTTACGTTTTTGTAAAATGATTTGTAAAAATTACACACTTGCTGGATTCCAGATTAGAAGACAGGAGAAAGAGATAAGCAATACCCTTACCTGGTATGAAATTGGAATCGGAAATACATGGGTGACTCTCAGTGGTATTTCCAGAACACTGGTTACCCACAGGAAATAAAACATTGCACTGGCGGGTGCGGAACTGGACTCCGGATGAATCGCAGCCAGACCACTCTGACCAGTCCGACCAGCTATCTGTGACAGCCAAGAAATAAAGAGGCACATGAAGGGGTCAGCCCACACAGCAAATTGTTTTTAAGTGTTTTGTATACTTTTCCTATGAAATAATCCATTTTTATCGCAAAGTTGCCCTGATTCTGCAAGGAAAATCCATGCACACACAAAAAGGATTGCCTAATTTGAGGTGGTTACCATGCACAAAGGATGCTGTGAATGTTCAAGAAATGCACATCTAGATCTTGAGACTGCGTGTGGGGTGTCCTCAGATGGACCAGGACTGAGTCAAAGCCAATCACCAGCTTGGAGGGCTGGGGGCGGGGGATGAATCCAGCTATTCCCTCCTTCAATCAATAACAAGTCATCAAAGAGTACAGTGTACTGACAATTTGTACAATGAAGAGATGCTCACATCCAGCAACAAGCAAGGAAGCCACTGCTATGCAGGAGGTCACAGAGTCTGAGGCCCAAATGTGCATATTCTTTTGATGTTTTCTTTGAATAAGCAAGGCAGGCGGCATCTCTTACAAATCCTGTGGCTGCATAGCTGACCTACAGCGAAACCAGGGCTGGCACCACATCTCACATTCAGTACAGGAGGGCTGCTGTCACAAAAGGTACCTCTGTGTCAAGTTCCCATCCAGAAAGAATACGACCACAGACCCTACGACCTGAGATCAGCACACAAAGTTTCATGGCCACTTCTTTGCATCACTAGCAGAGGCTCAACGCATGATGTGACAACATCACAATGCAATGTAAATGAGCCCACCTCTACAGGGGGGCACTGAACCTGAGGATGCTCTTTGTGGTGGCAGCTCTTAGTGATGTGTGGGGTCGGTCTAGGACATTGCCGGTATCAAGGCAGAGATTGTTTTACAGCCTGGTGTGGAGACTTAGCACCACCACAGAGCACCTGGGCGCCTCAGCCTCACCATTTTCACAGGGTTGTGGAGATAAAATGGGGGCAGGGAGCTATTTTGTTCTGCAGAAAAGCAAGAGAATGAATGAGCTGGGCTTTCCTGTACCTGGGCATTGCTGTGTATTGCAGAGTGCTTCTTCGGTGTGGAGTCCTAGGCAGATATCACCTCCGTAAGCTGGCGCTGGGTTGCTGCACGAGCGAGTCCTCATATAATGGCCACTTCCACAAGTAGTGGAGCACTTAGACCACGATGACCAGCAGGACCAACCTCCATCAACTGGGAAATGACAAAACTACATTGTTTCTTTCCTCTCAATATGGAGATAAATAGTTGAATTAAGAACACAAGAAGAGTTTGGCAGACCAGGGGCCTTTGGGAACCCCATAAGCATGAGGGCTTCATCACTCTTCCCCCGGTAATTTCCAGCAACTGGTATTCTGTGACATGCCACCTCAGACACTGGAGGTAGTACACCAGGGGTCAGCAAACTTTTTCAGCAGGGGGCTGGTCCACTGTCCCTCAGACACTGGGGGGGGGGGCAGACTGTATTTTGAAAAAATAATAACAAACGAATTCCTATGCCCCACAAATAACCCAGAGATGCATTTTAAATAAAAGGACACATTCTACTCATGTAAAAACACGCTGATTCCCAGACCGTCCGCGGGCCGGATTGAGAAGGCGATTGGGCCGCATCCGGCCCCTGGGACTTAGTTTGCCTACCCATGTAATACAAACTCATCATGGCCAACAGCCAATTAGAATCGAGGGTCATCTAGTTCATCCCCCTGCAATGAAGGGATCCTCTCCACAGCCACCCCTGGGTGGGCTCAAACCACCAACCTTCCAATTCACAGCCAGATGCACCGACCCACTGAATCATTTTCATTTGTATTTCATAGCCAAAACCCCATAAGTAATGGCAAGAGTCTCCAAGCAAAGAGTTTCAGGCATTTTTCTAGATTCCAAAAATTCAATGTTTTAAAATTGCCCCTCTAGAAAGAGATCACAATATTTTTATTGATATAGGACAGAGGGACAAAAGCCCATCCCAATGGTACATTTTCCAAAGTAGAGGATGATGGGCCTAGTGGCATCTGACAGAAAAATCAAGGAAATTTGAAGCCCTTTCAAAAGTAACTTTTGTGCCTTCTTTCTACATCTCACTTAAAAAAAACACCCCAAAGAAACCACCACCACCAAAACCATCACAATTTAAATAATAAAGCAAAAGGAACAGTAAAACAAGTCAGCAATCCAACTGTAAAAATTAATATTTACACAGTGATTAAAAGACAGCAGAGACAACAAAGATACACCTCCTAATTAAAAGTCAATTGAAATAAAATGCTAAGCAGTTAGCTTGCAGTCCTATACACTCTTAGTTTGGAGTAAGTCCCACTGAAGTCAGTGAGGCTTACTCCTGCGTAGACATGCATAGGATTACACTATGTGTATAAAATCTCTACTACTGTCCTTAGAAACTTTTTTTAAAAAGAAACCCCTTTGTTCATTTCCTTGGCCACTTACCTGGGCAAGGGAGCATGTTGCATTCCTGGTATTCCAGGGATGGTCCCAGACATGGCAGCCCCCCATACTTTGGCTCAGGGTTGTTGCAAATACGCTTGCGGTTTCGAATGCCTCTGCTGCAATCGCGGCTGCACTGGGACCAGGGAGACCAAGGGGACCAGGCACCATTAATGGTGTGAGCTGAGTGACGCCCAGAATGCAGGAATTCACCTGCAAGAAACGGATGCACGTGGTACACAAAAATGTATCTACTAAGGAACACAATGGTGGTGTTTTGTTTTTTAAAAAATACTGTTCTGATTTAATTTGAATTCTCCCACCAGTAATTTTACTACTGAGATATTTAAAAAGTGTACACAAAAAATATAATTTGGTATCAAATCTGACTGTAGTGCAAAGCTGACAGTGGCATAGACCCAAAGTGGCCTTGCCAAAGTCATGAAAAACAGCAATCTGGAGGCAATTAAACAGGGCTGGGCTAAATACTGAAAAAACCAACTGAAGCCCAACAAAAGCAGAATAGATGTATAAAATTCAAGAGAGTTAATTTTAGTCAAATTGATTCTTTTCCAAAAATCTACTGGGCGGAGTATACAACAAATATGGGGACCTGCAAGGCATATTTAATGAACCCAAAGTCCAGTCTACATTTATAATCAATTCTGTGTCCTTTTTATGAGATATTTCTGATGATTATTTTTGTGTAGCATGATTTGTGTATGACTCTTATGAAATGTGAAACAAGTTTTATTTAAAAAAAGGTTATTAACTGATTGATTGATTGATTGATTGACTGACTCTCTGCACAACCTACATTAGATAGGTAGGTAGGTAGATGCAGTGCTACCTCGAGTTACAAACGCTTCAGGTTACAAACTCCGCTAACCTGGAATAATTACCTCGAGTTGAGAACTTGCCCCAGGATGAGAACGAAAATCATGTGCCGGTGGCGCAGTGGCAGCAGCAAGAGGCCCATTAGCGAAAGAACGCCTCTAGTTAAGAACAGTTTCAGGTTAAGAACAGACCTCTGGAACAAATTAAGTTCATAACTAGAGGTACCGCTATAGATAGGAAACCTTTTTTTATCACAGCCCTGTATACCTGTTTGCTTAGGGGCAAATCTCATTCCTCTCAGTAAGGTTAAAGGTAAAGGGACCCCTAACCATTAGGTCCAGTCGTGACCAACTCTGGGGTTGCTGCGCTCATCTCGCTTTACTGGCCGAGGGAGCCGGCGTACAGCTTCCGGGTCATGTGGCCAGCATGACTAAGCCGCTTCTGGCGAACCAGAGCAGCGCATGGAAACGCCGTTTACCTTCCCGCTGGAGCGGTCCCTATTTATCTATTTGCACATGACGTGCTTTCAAACTGCTAGGTTGGCAGGAGTAAGGTTACTCCTATGTAAATGTGCATAGAATCGCAGCCTTATGTATCAGATCAACACCCCCCCCAACCTCTCTGAATGTATCTGTGGTCTGTACAGCGACATCCCTCCCTCTCATAGGAAACTCCCCCAGGGCCAGACGTAGGGTAGCACGGGTGGTTCCTCCACACAGGGCGCCAAGCTGAGGGGGTGCAAAATTGGGAAGATCCATTTGAGGGTGCCAAATTTTTGTACAGGGTGTCGTATTACGAAAGATAATCAAAGTTCCCACATGACACTTCCCAAAACTGGGCCTCTGAGAAACAAGAGGGAGGTGCTGTCTTGTTCAAGGAAACACCAAGATTTGCAGAAGTCAACGTGTTTAAAGGAAAAGGACCCTAAAGAGGCAACCCAATAGTCCAGCAGGGACTGAGCTTGCTTCCTGGACACAGAATGCTGACTGGACAAGGAGAACAAGGGCCTGGCTGGCTGACAGGAAACCTGAACAAGATCAGTCCACAGCATTAGCATTTTGTTGCAGGCCCCAGTTGTGTGGACATTCACATATAGCAGATAAGAGATGTTCTAAGGATCTCATGAACATTATCTCAATAATCCGTACAAAAAATCAGCAAGGTAGGCCAATAGTATTTCTCCATATTGTAAATGCTGGACGAAAAGAGTAGCTAGACTGAGACCACCTAGTGAGTTAATGACAGAGGCAAGATTTGAATCTTGGGTTTCTTGGCTCAGTCTCCTAACCTGCACATTGGTTCTTTTTCGCTCTCTTCCTTCAATCTTAGAACTACTTTCATTTGCAGACTCTCAACCGTTGCAATTACCAGGCCATTTTTAATTAAGAAAAAAATCAAAGTTAAGGGAGACAATGATAAAAGCCTTTGGATATTTGGGATGCTGCCAGAAAAAGGAGCGTCTGCTATTGTTGTCTCCTGGCCCAGAGTCAAGGATGAGCTGGAGTAATGGACAAGTTGTAACAACATAAGTTTGGTGGAGCCTTAGGAAATGCTGCACAATGGCTACAATGTTGCTGCGGTGAAAGATCTGTCCCTGGGAGATTGTTTAAAAATGGGGCAGGAAGGCACTGAGATGAAGAATGTGGCAAGAAATGGCGCCGCAAGCATTTCAAAGCAGCCATTTTTCCGCCTTGTACTTAAGCACTAGGTGAGAAGGAATTCCATGTGGGCAAGAGGACAGACTGGAAGTGCTCTGTCCTCCTCTGGGCTCAGCTAAGAAACCCAAAGGACTGTCAGAGAAGGAAAGTCCCCTTCTCTGGGCTCCTTTTGGCAACCTATTTATTGAGCATTCATTCTTATTTACTTGCACAAAGCTTATGCAGAGGTCATATTATATCGAACATTTGTTCTGATTTGTTTGCAGGGAAGTTAAGATGACAATGAGCAGCCATCCTGCGCTGCTCACACGGCGGTTATACATCTTCCCATTAATCATTTGTTCATTCCACACTTTTCAGTGCCTGTTTCGAGCAGCAAAAGGGTGCCAGAGAGAGTGCAAACCTATATTTCCCAGAATGTGCTTGGATTCATCCCACAAAATAGTGACAGTCTTGAAGGGGCCTCTGTTTGCAAGCTGCTATACTATATTCTGAATTTTGCTTCACAGGCACATCATGCTTCCATTTTCACCAGAAATTCACCTGCCTACCTCTACACACATGCAAACAAGAATCAGAGAGCAAGGGAGCTCTAGCCAACACCTGCATGTGCTGTGGCAAGCTGCACTACAGCAATAAAAAACTGAGGGAAAACAGTGAGGATAGACTAAGCCCATTCACTTCACCTGTCTCAGTCTCTGGCTTTTAATAGCACAAAAAAGTACTACGGCTGTGGCTGATTTCAAAGGAGGGTTTGATTGAGGGATAACCTGGCTGAATTGCACCTGGCAGTATTGCCACAGCTTCCAAAATGGAAACTACACATTATCTCAGGTTCCCAAACTGAAGGGGAAGCTTGAAATCAGTGGTTGGGGGCAAAAGGTGATTATTCTTCCTCTCTCCAATCTTCCCAGCTGTTGTCCCCTCAGGCTTATTTAATATTTTGCCATCCAGCAGGAGATATGTGATTTTTAAACTCCAGGCAAGTAGCACTGGTGACTCTCCTAGAAATCTTTTTTAAAAGGTAGACTTCATGAAGCTAAGATTAGGTGGACGCATGACATGCAACTGACTGACATGCTACCAAAATACTGGACTGGAACTAGGTACCAAATGCTATTTTGCAGGGACTTGTGGTGGGTGAAGCAGCATGTGAAAGAATGGGCTGCACACTCATCAAAGGAAAGGATGATATAAAAAACGGGGGAACTGCCAACTTTTTAGAGGTTAAGATACAAGTTCAAACCAATCTCAGACTTGACAGCTGGGCAGACAGTATTAAGATGAAACCTATTAAGGGAAAATATAAAGTATTACTCACAGGGAGCAAAAATCAAATGCACGAGATGGGACATAACTGGAAAAACTTTTAAGTTTGCCAAGAAGGGTTTGGGATAAATAATGAATTACCAGGAGGCTGATGTTGTGGCAAAAATGGAATATGCCACTTTAACTGGGAAGCACCATCATCTCTGAATTCTGAGAAATTTCAATAAGATTCTATGAAGTACTGGCAAATTGGCACACAATGTAAAGTTCTGGGTACCACAACAGAAAGAAGCAGAAAAAACATTGAAAAAATGCCCCGTTCAGATGAGAGCAATGAAGATGATTAAGGGGGAAAAAATCTAGACTGAAAATTGTAAGAATGAAATCAGAAGCCTGGTTATATTTAGCTGTAAGGAAGGAGACTGAAAGTTGAGAGGTTTCAAATATGTAAAAGATGTCAGGAAATGAGGAAGAGCTATAGCTCTTCCTCAATGTTAGGAAAAATGTCCCAATGATAAGAGCTGTTCAGCAATCAAATCCAGCTACCTGGGAAGGTTACAGAATCTTCTGTGAGATTTTCAAGGAGAGGCTGAGCAGGCAAGAAGGCTTCCAGTGCATGATATATTGCATTACGGAAGGAGGCTGGGGAAAGGAAGGCACCAGATTCTGCCCAAAGTTCCTACCGTATATCATCACACTTTGGGACATGGTCTCCCCCGCAGCAGCATTTTCTCCTTTGCCACAGAAAGGAACGGCACCCGTTGACTGTGCAGTGCGCGCGGAAGAGATGTATGTGCCACAGGAGTCAATAGCTAATTTACTTTCTTAATCAAAGAGCACAATGTCAAAGGGGAGCCACTAGAGATGGCAAATTCTGCCACACTACTGATACTGGAATCATCAGTATCTGACAGAGGCAGTATGTTTGATCCTCACCTGAACTTTGTCCTTGAGAACAGCATGTGGTCCCTTAATCAGTATCAGATTTCCTGCAGTAGCAGGAAAGGTCTCAGCTGATGACCTTTGAGGACCCTTTTATGCCTAGGGACCCAATTCAGGCTGATGGCAAAGTTGGTGACTTCTTGGGGCGGGGGAGGTTGCTCCTGGACTGACGATATTATTGGACGCACCTCATTATGATCTTCCACAAAGCGTGTCCTGCTTTTGCCCACTGTGGCAATAGGTGCTTTGCTAGTGGTTCTATCAGTACCAACAAAACCAAAGTCACCTCCAGCCATAGCAATGGCAAGAAACCTAAGATTCTGATGCACATGGCTGCTTACCATCTGTTGAGCATCCAGTGGTCCCGTCGCTGGAACAGTAACGCATTTCAATCCTCTGCCTTCCCACATCTAACAAACTTGCATCAGGCAGCCGTGCCTTGCAGGTGTATCGGAATCGTTGTTCATAGTGCCCACCGTTGTCGGAGATGTTCACCGGAGTCCATGGGGTCCAAGGAGTTGTCTTCTTCAACTCTGGGCAGGGGCTGGTGTTGCAGCCTTGATACTCCTGAAGGAAAGGGGTTGATTACTTCTATTTAGTGTCTAGCATGGCCCACAAACACCTTGAAACTTTGCATACACTCTCTGGGCCAAAGGGGTTTAGAAACTATAATATCATTGTTTAAACATGGAAATTAAGGTTATTTGGGTGCTCCTATACTCACAATGCCTGCATTAATAAAGCACAACCTTACTATAATATTCATTATGAGACAAACCCAAGAACTAGACTGTAGGATTCCGAGGCAGCAGCTGCTACGTTTGACGATTTTTAGTTGGTTTATTTCTTTATTGGATTTTGTTGTTTTTTTGTTTTTGTTTTTTAAATAATATTTATTACTTTTATAGATTACAAAAAGAGAGAAATAAAAAAGCAAAAGAGAAAAAACAGAAGAAAAAACAGAGGGGGGAAAACAAATAGAAGAACAAAAACAAACAAACACCATACAATACAATATATAAACAATACAGAACACAACCTAAACTCAAAACTAAACACATTAAACTAAACTAAACAAACCCCACACCCCAAAACAAAAACAATTTAAAAACATACATCCTCTCTTTTCCATACTCTATCTTTCATTCCCTTGTTTCCTCGACTTCCTCACACCTCCCTTTTTGTGTTCCACTTCTATAAATTGTTTCAGCAAATCCTTTCCATCTTTCTCCATTTTCTGTGATTATTGTAAATAACGTATTATTTTAACCTTATTTTCCATTAAAACTAAATTACTTATATGTACTTAACTCCTTATAACATTTCTATTAAGCCCATAAAAAATAAAAATAAAAAAATAAAAAATCATTCCACCATTTTTCTATCACTCATTAGTTTTACCATAAGTCTATATAAAAAGTTTAAATTTTCCAATCTTCTTCCACCATCTCTTCTCCCAGGTTTCGGATTCTGCCAGTCCTTTCCGTCAATTCCATAAAGTCCATCAACCTGGTGACCTTATGTCCGAGGCTCTTAATTCTTTTCCAAGTCCCTTCTGCAGGTCTTCTTCATTTTCTTTAATGCTAAAGAGCCGATCTCGGGGAAATTCCAACCTGTCAATCCTTTTCTTCCTTCTGGAGAAATCAGCTGAGTTTCCATAGTTAAAACTACAGTCCATAAAGTATTTCCGAGTATATTTCAAAGTTCCTCCAATTCCAAAGGCCCCCAAAATTAAATCTCCTCCAGGCCCGAGTCCATGTCCCAAAAGTCAGTTAGTCCCTGCATAGAGGGCTCTTTCCAACTTTCCTTCTTTAATCCATTCCTCGGAGTCTGACTTTTCCTGAATTCAATCATAGAAGGCCTCAACTTATAATCTCCAATTTGCTTCTGTAAAACCACAGATCTCACTTGTATTATTTTATGTTGAACAACAGCTGCATTCTCCTTCTCCTCCTTCTCCTCCACCATTTGTCCTGCCAAAATGGGTTCCTGTACCAAGTCCTGAATTATTTCTGTGTTAGTGTTCGCTTTTTGACTCAAGTTGGTCACTTTCTGTTCCAAATTATCAACTTTAAAAGTCATATCATCCATCTTCTTGTGAAGCTGTCCCAGCGAACAGCTTATCTTACATAAAACAGTCACAATGGCCTCTCCTATCAACATTTTTAAATAGCCCAAGGTCGCTCTCTGGTTCCCAAACTCCTTCTCTGCAGCTGGAAATTCCCCAGTTACAGTCCTGTTACAGTTTCAAAAGCTCCCTCTAGAGGGAAACAGTCTCCACTTGTATCAGTTCTTTTAAGCACAATTTCAAACATTAAAGATAAAATTTCAGTTACTTTTCCTCTTTTTTTTAAACGCAGAAAGGGACAATGGAAACAGTATCTTACTCTTGTTTAGCTAACTGTCAAATCCGTTCTGTCAAAAGCACTCTCTTCAATCATCATCTGGCAGCCCGTTTCCAGGTTCAGAGCAGTGGTAATCTGATTTCTTCACTCTCTCCTGCAGGCTCACTAGATCCAAAATTTTCCCCTCTTCTCCTGCTTCCCAAGGGGGTTTTGTGACTTTAAATCGGTGGAAATTTAATCCTTTGCCAAAAACTTTCAAAGGCTTTACTTGTAACGTCTTTGCTTCAGTCTATTTACAAAAACGGAAGGCGGACTTCCTGTTTGTGACCTCCCGCTTCAGTGCCGAATTAAAGTATTTAAAAATCCAATTTTCCGATTTACTCACGAGTAGTTGTTTGAAATCCAATTGCCCACAGGAAAAAGTCAGCGCTCCCCGGCAACAGCAATGCGGCTTCACTCCGTGAAAAAAGCAGTCGATTCAAAGCACCGCGCCACTCACCCCACGTCGCTCCGGATCCCCAAAACAGGGTTTCCCCGCGAGTAGGGGAGGCGCAAAGGTGCCAACCGAATCCCACGTCCACAGGCTTCTCCCGCCTGTGGTTTTTAATGGGTCTCCGCCTCGCCGTGGCGGTTCAGACTGTTTTTCACGGAGCGGGTTCCTCCCGATCGGAGGAAATCCGCCATTGCCAGAGGCGCCAACCCGGAAGTCCTATTGGATTTTGTTGTTGTTGTTGCTCCCAGAATAGCTTTTAGAATTTTTCTTGGCACCTGTCTGTCTCGAGGGACAATGGAGTGTATCCCCAGTGTGTGTGTGTGTGTGTGTGTGTGTGTGTGTGTGTGAAATCACAGCACCTGCTGTGGCTGCAGAAACTGGTAACTCATAACTGTTGCCTCCTGTGTTGTTTTGGCTGCATTACCAGCACTGAAGTGACCTCCCTGGGGTGCAAGACTGGGCAGTGTATATGAAAGTCCTGGGCTGCCCAGACAGCAAGACCCTTCTCTTGGCCTCACTGATGTGGTCCAAAGAAAAGCAGAGCAATATGTTTGGCACCAGCTTGGCTGCAGGAATTGCCGGAAGGAGGCGTACAATACGCCATCCAACTGTCTTAGGGACTCCACTCCGAATTTGTGCAGGATTTACTCCTTAGTACTTTCTTCTCCCGAAGATTTCCCCTTAAGGCGGTGGGTAAGTGTTTAGAATGCCTCTTACATAACAGAATGGCAGCGAGGCTCTGAAAGGTTGGCTGACTCTTTTCTAGATTCCCACCCCCCAAAAGAGTTGCTTTATTGGGAAACGATGGATGCCACATCTTTTGTAAGCTCAGCCTGCCCCAATCTGGTGCCTTCCAAATGTTGTGGACTACAGTTCTATCACCTCAGGGTTCTGCTGGCTGGGACTGATGGGATTTGCAGTCCAAAACATCTGCAGGGCACCAGGTTGGCAAAGGCTGGCAAACCACTTTGTTCGAACCAGCAGCCACTGAACCACTCACATTTTACTACAAAGTCTTCTCATTTTTAGGCCCTCGGGTTAATGCTGCTCAGCACATAATCTCTGGCTTTTCCTTCTAAATATACAGTTAGCATGAACAAGCTATAACGCAGCTTCAAACGAGAGTCATAATTACAGCAGCTAAAAAGAGAAGCATTTCCCCCCTTCTACCCTGTGCACTGCCATTGACTTTTCATGGGTAAATGCCAAATCACACCCTTCAATATAAAAAGCCACGGCAGGTCAACACAGGTCTTTGCTTGCGCTGTCTTACGACATTGCACACTCTCTCTCTCTGACCTTTTTTTTAACCATTCGGAATTAAAGGTTCTCCAAGGAAGATCAAAGTAACCCTTTCCACTCCGAAGTCTGAAAGGGCACCATTCCAGAAGCCTGAATCTGCCATTCCCAGAGGCCACTGAGAAGAAGCGAGGGGATGGGGAGCAGGAGACACTGGCTTGAGACCCAGGTTGATCCCAGTTTTATTTATTTAATTTATGGGTCACACTTCAGTAAAACTACAGGGAAAACATGCAAGTGAAACAACAATGAAAACAAGGACACAGAGTAGATCAACACAGCAGTGAAACTCAACAGAGCAGATCAAACAAACATTAAATCCAGCTTGCATCCCTTGCTAGAATGCCTGGACAAATGAAAACATCTTTCCCTGGTGCATCACGGTTGGCCCCAGTTGAGCCTCCCTAAGGAGGGCATTCCAGAAGCAGGGGGCCATGACCAAAAAGTCCTTCTCCTTGGTAATCACCCAGCTCGCCTCAGGTGCAAAACAGAGCCGGTGCCGAGGTCTCAGGCCACTCCAGATGTTAGAGGGAAGCGTCAGGGCTTTGTGTTTTGCCCTGAAATGGACCCGCAGCTACCAGCATTGTTTAAGAGCAGGTTTTGAATCATCAGTCCCAGTTAGTAATCCAGGCTGCATTCCTTGCCCTCACTCCCCTCCAGTGGGACTTTGCAGGGTGGGGGAGTCACTGGAGCAACCACAGCCCAGCTGTTAATCGTGGCTGCTATGGAGGGTGGTGCTGCGGAGAATGACCAGGCCAAATCAATGCCAGATCCTGGCTGATACAGTGATCAGCTCTAGGTTGGTCCCAGTGCCTCACCCAACAGCCAGGAGATCAGCTTAAGAGCCATGGGATCCTGGGCCAGCTCAGCCCCAACCCTCCTCCCCACCCTGGATAACCCCAGCATGTGTCCCTCCTACACAGTTGAGCAGAAAGACATCTCTGCTCAATACACATACACCGTCCAAGACAAAGGAAGTTTGGGTTGTTCTGCCAGTTGCTGCATTGTGTACCAACTGAAGTTTCTAAGAAGTCTTCAAAGGCAGCCCAACAAGCAAGGAATTGCAGTAGTTTAACCCAAGAGGTTTCCACACCTGGTCAACACAGGCCAGGCTCTGACTGTCAGTATACATCTATCTATTTATCTATCTATATATCTGTATCTATAGGTAGGTTGGTTGGTAGGTAGGTAGGTAGGTAGATATTAGGTTTCACCATTACCAGTTTGTGTCAGTATCTCTGTCACAGCTTAGTATGCTACAAAATCACCTCATGAATACATATTAAGGTCATAAAAATATAAAATACCATATTTTTCGCCCTATAGGACACACTTTTTCCCCTCCAAAAATGAAGGGGAAATGTGTGTGCGTCCTATGGGGTGAATGCAGGCTTTCGCTGAAGCCTGGAGAGCGAGAGGGGTCGGTGCACACTGACCCCTCTCGCTCTCCAGGCTTCAGGAGAGCCCCACCGCCAGCCCCGCAAGCTCGGGGGACAGCGGGTGGGGAAATATTTTTTCCCCTTTATTTCCCCCCCCCCAAAAAAAATCTAGGTGCGTCCTATGGGCCGGTGCGTCCTATAGGGCGAAAAATACGGTATGCATATACACATTTAGAGCAATTAATGTGTGACTCACCACGCTACAGCCGGGACAGTCAGGGCCATTCTCACAGGTTCTGTGGCGGGCCTGGATCCCACCTCCACACTGGGATGTACAACGTTCCCAGGCACCCCAGCCAGTCCAGAACATGTGTGGAGAGCACAGCAGGTGCTCATTGCAATACCTGTGAGAAGGGAAGCAAAAGAGAAAAGAAACAGTATACCTGGTCACAGCTATTTGCATTATTTAAGAACAGGGTTTAGTGCTTTCACTATCAAGAAGGTACACATACATTTCTGAAGACCAATGTGAAGCCGAATATGATTGTGGTCTTACCATAATATTTTGTGGTAATATATAGGACTGGTCTCTGCCTCAAAAAGGTTACATTCAGAATTTTGAAAAAAAGGGCAAGATGGAGGATGGGGAGACAAATGGTAACAATAAGGGATGCATGTGAACAAGTGTGAGTAAAAGAACCTACATACACACATGGTGGGACTGTCGTCTTTTGAGAAAACACTGTGTAGTTATTTTACATATTTTATGTGCCATAACAAGGAACTTATTACCACATGTACCAGTGGTACAGTGGTACCTTGGGTTACATACGCTTCAGGTTACTGACTCCGCTAACCCAGAAATTGTGCTTCAGGTTAAGAACTTTGCTTCAGGATAAGAACAGAAATCGCGTGGCGGTGGTGCGGCGGCAGCAGGAGGCTCCATTAGCTAAAGTGGTCTTCAGGTTAAGAACAGTTTCAGGTTAAGAATGGACCTCCAGAACGAATTAAGTACGTTACCAGAGGTACCACTATATTCCTGTCAGGATATATTCAAGAGACCGTGACCCATCTTGATTTAGTTCAATTTTTGCTGGTAGCAGCTAAGATCTGACTTGCTAGATTTTTGAAACATGCAAATAGACCAACAATTTTAAAAGGTTGTCTGAGTTCTAGGCTATTGCAGCTATGGAAAAGAGGGAGTCTGTTCCGCTGTCAAACAGCTCTTACTGTCAGAAAGTTCTTCCTGATGTTTAGTCAGAATCTCATGTCTTGTAACTTGAATCCATTGGTTCAAGTCCTCCCCTCCAGAGCAGGGGAAAACAAACTGGTCCATTGTCTATGCGACAGCCCTTGAGATATTTGAAGATGGCTCTCATATCTCCTCTCAGTCTCCTCTTTACAGGCTAAGCATACCGTACACAATTCCCTCCACCGTTCCTCATGAGGCTTTGTTTCCAGAACCTTTATCATCTGGATTGCACACATTCCAGCTTGTCAAAATTGACTATGAAGGCCTTTTCAGTTGTGGATTTTTCAGCTGCCAAAGTTTTTGCTGCTGTTTTTTTCCTGCTTTTTTCTATGTATTGTTGTTTGTTGTATGGCTTTTATTGTAAAGCATTGTTCTTTTCTCCTGGTGCTATGTTATGCTTTATTTTCTTATAGTTTTGTAAGTTGCTTAGATACTTTTTCTGTAGCAACCAACTTATAAAAATTAATAACATGATACCTGTTAGATGCGGGTGGTGGTTGCTCGTGAGTAACCAGGCAGGACTCCAACCTGTCTTTTACAGGTTTTATTGGTGCAAACTATTTACAGTGCAGAACCAACAAGTTCATGTCCGTCTTAGTCACTTGCAGGATCTGGAAGTGGCCTCTTCTGGCTTCTCCCCAGCATAAGAACTTAGTCACCCCAAATCTCCTCCTCCCCTCCTTGCGTTTCACCCCCCTGCGCAGGCTGGGCGATGGAAGTGGCGTGTCTGCCTCCTGGCCAGCCGGGCTAGGTGAGGCGCTTGGGCTCTCAGCAGCATCTTCCAGCCCTCTCCTCGCTTGGCTGGCCCTTCCCTTTCTGCCCACCGCTGGACGAGGAGCTGCTCCTCAGAAGCCTCATAGGCTCTCTGTATTCCCCTGCCTCCCTCCCCTGTTCCGATGGCAATCCCCTGACAATACCTAACCGAAAATTGCCCCATATCAAGCACTACACGTTCAAGGATATTGTCCCTACTGGCAGTTATGGAACTTCTCTTTCTCTCTCCCTCTCTCTCTCTCTCCCTCCCTCTCTCTCTCTCTCTCTCTCTCTCTCTCACACACACACACACACACACACACAAGCACAGCAGACAACTCAAGCCCAGTACATGCACACGACTCTCGACTGCAGCCAGAGAGTTTGTAAAAACTGCTTTGCTTTTAATAAAACAAAACGAGACATGAAGCCAACTTCACATTTTCCTCCCAGTCAGAATGAGCCACGGCACACATGTTAAATTGCTGCACCAAGCAGACAAGCCCCAGAAGCCTCCAAGTCTCATTGTGGGGGTGAATCTGCTGGAACGCAGGATTTTGAGCAAAGTCTGATTAATCCTCTTTCTGGAAGCATTTCAAGCTAGCAGGAAGTGCTTTTCCCCAGCTGCTCTTCCCCTGCCTGTTAATTTCTTCTTTTCTCAGGACCCAGAGGGCTTATGTTTTGCAGCGATTCTGCAAAACAAGCAATGCAAGGGTTTTAGATCTGTGAAACTGGAGACCTCTGCACTGACCCTGCGTCTGGAAGTGATGAGGGCAGAAGTGAGAGGGTGACATGGAAAAATTGCCAGGCCAGTGACATGACCCTTGATGCATCGACTGAGGCCATAGTCAATCTCCCCAAAGATAGCAATTGCTATTTGAAGGTGTGGAAGGGAGAGGGGGAGGAGCGACAGATGATTAAAAACATGCACACAAGCTGGTCCCTTCCCCCCAGTGACTCCAAACTCAAGCTTGTTTCCTGGAAAAGAATTCATTGTGCTCACACAGACTTCATATTTCCCTCCATAGAATGGGAACAGATGCTCGTTCTTGTGGTGACTGAGCACCTCACAAATACAACACCAGCACACTTACAGGGTTGGGGGCAGCAATACTGGTGGTATTTGGTGATGTAGCTTAGTAATAGTTATGATGAGGCAAAAGGAATTAACTACAGTAATTATCTCCACGTGTCCCAGGGCTGGGAGAAGACTGGCAGTGACCTGCTCCCTTGCCACACCATTTACTTGCATGAGCAGTTTTTGCTTCTTTCACAGCGGTCTGGCTAGTTGCATTCTGCTTTTCATTCCACAGAACTTAGAAGATACCATCAAAGATAAAAGCCTGCTCTTTTCCACGCAGCCTGATCCTTGGCTCCCCTCCTTGGTCATTATACCGGTGGGAAGTTTCAGACTGCGCCCAGGAAAGCCCTGGAGCTTCTGAGAACTCAGCAAGAGTGGACAGCCTCCCCAAAGGGCAGCTCTTCCTGCATTATTACAGATCTTCCCTTGCAAAGCACATCTGCAAGGAAGCCTTGGGCATGTTCTGGGTTGCTTACCCTGAAAACATGCTCCAGAAGATTTTGCAATGCCCCAGATTTTTGTTTCAGATGTGCTGGGGTCCGGAAGCAGACAGGTCAAGTTGTAAAGAGTATCCTGACAGCAGGAAATTTTAAAACCTCTGCTTTAAAGTGTGATGGAGCCTGTGTGGTGGAAGCATGAGGAACCCCAGCTCTGCCAAGCTGGAAGAGGTGAGCTTTATATAGCAATTAAAATACTTTTTAAGTATAGTCTGCTTTAATGTAACAATAGATTGTTAGGCAGCTACAACCTTGAAAGCATTCTCTAGAGCTTTACAGAGCCTTAGAATACTCAGTGAAGAAATCAAAAACCAGCTGGCTAACAATCCAGTGCAGAGATCATACACTTTCCCCTGAATTGCAGGTTTCGAAGGCAGTCATGTGCCAGGCTAAAGGCACTGCAGGGAGTGGCAGAACTATGTGGCAATGCTGATTTGGGGAGATCCCAACTAAGTGAAAACTGCAACTGAATTTTTATTCCCTCAGTAACTATAAGGATGCTACAAGCAGAAATAGCAGAAATAGCAGAAATTGGAGGAGCAAAGGCTGATTGACACAAAGGAGGAGAAATGAAAGAGGTTGATAGAATCAAGGAGACACCTAAAGGTTAAGTCAATGACGAGGAGAAAGCAGCTTACCTTTCTTCCCGGTTCTGTCCCACACACACACGGCCTCCATGCCGAGGGCTTGGGTTGGTGCAAGAGCGCTGGCGGACTTGGAAGCCTATCCCACAGGAAGTGCTGCAAGGGGACCAGGATGTCCAAGGAGTCCAGCCTCCATTTCTAGAAGAATAAGGGAGCAGAACTCTGAACCTACGTGGGAAACAGCTGTTTGGAAGGGATTGTGGAAATCTGGACTGAGGGGAAAGGACAGGCAAGGAAAGAGTTAAGCACCCCTTTCTCCCACTACTCCAGTGATTTTTTCTTTAAAAAATTACATCCTATACACGTCCATAGTTGACATTTTAAGGTTTATACCGAAAAGATCCTACATTTACACCTAAAACATGTATGGAGTGGCCCAAAGTGCGACATCAATACCCATTTGCAGAAAAGTTCCCCACCCCTTCAAGGTCCCCTCCTCTTTCTTTGGCTCACCTGGAGCAGTTGGCCACTTCTAGACTTGGCCCTTCACACTGCCGCCCTCCGCATTTTGGAACTGGGCTGTCACACGAGCGTCTTCTGCAGAGGCAAAAGCCGACACTGGAGCCGTCCACGTGGGAGCAAGCCTTCCACTCTGACCAGGCTCCAAAATGGCCATCCACAGTCAGATTCCTTACCTAGAAAGCAAAAGGCAAAAAGACAAGCTCTGGTTGCCATAGTTAAGGTAATAATCACAGCAGACATGGAGCTCAGCTCTTGCTGAATTATACTGCTTTCATATGCTTGAATATTTCTCATTAAAAAAAACAAAAAACACTTCTGCATTTCAAAAATTAGTATGCCTGGGGAAAAGGGCTTTATTTCCCTGATGTGACAGCTTTCCATACGCAGGGAGTTTTTGCATATGGGGAAAATTTAAACATGGGACTTCCTCACTTTCATAATGAAGTGATACAGTCCTATGAGGACTGTACTATGATGCGATTCTGCTGGCAATGTGTGTCAATCGCTGTCATTTTACCATTTCCTCAAAATTCTAGACCAAAAGGCTTTCTCCATCTTTTCTACAAAAGGGGAAATTATCTCATTGCACACAAGACATTTTTCATTATGCATGTTGAGTATTTTTGCCTCTTCCAAGACCCAGCATGTACAACTGGAGCTGCTGCATCATGGCCACAGTGTGCCCAAAACTTATTACCAGCTGTCTCACATACCAGCAGTCTCTTAGCAGAGGCAGCCAGGGTTCATCAAGCCATTCAACACCCCGAACAGCTGTGCTATATGCAGCAATCTGCAGATACTATGATTGTGTATCAAAAAGACTGGCTTCCTGCTGCCATCAACATTACCTTAGGTTCTTCGGGGAAACTGTTCAGTTCACAGTTTTGCAATTCAGTTCATACATATAGACCAAAAATAAATTGAAGTAGATACTCGGTGCATTGAGTTGAAACACAGGCTTAAAAATAAATAGGCTGAAAGTAGACAGCCATTTTAAGTGTTGTGGAAGTTGTTTCAATACACAATCTCTACCTTAAAAACCAAACACTTATTGAAGGCAGTGAATGCATGTCAGAAACCCTTCAACCACCCAACAGCATGCCTGTCTCCCTTCATTGATAGTCCACTAGCTGTAATCATTGATGATATATGATTATGTGAATGACATTGGTCACCAGTGCAACATACCTCAAGCTTAGAGAAAAGCAGCATATCCAACTAGCATTGACACAGATAAAAGGCTATCATGCAGTGCAAAGGTGTAAGAATGAAAGAAAATTAGTCTGGACTCAACAAACCCATCAGGCAGATCACCGGGAGCAAGTGTGACATTACCAAGTCCCATGAGCAAGTTAAACAAGGCTGGGAGCAACAGGCTCAAGAGTCCTCCAGCCTTCCTCCCATTTGCCTGGCCTGGCATTCCTGCCTCTCCAACCCACAGCCCTCTGGGGCCAGCTTACAGCATCACTTGTCACTGGGCCCCATGGGAGGCTTCCTGGCAGTCTTCCTCTTTATCAACCTCTCCTTTCACGGAGCCCCTTCTCCTCAGACTCGGGCTCGCCTACCTAACTTGCTAGATTTTGACTGCTCAGCCCCCTGCTTCCTGTCTGAACTCTTCTGCCTCAAGACTCCCTTCTTCCCACTCTGCTCCAAACCTGCATTTCCCTGAGTGCCCTGCAGCACAGCCTTGGATTCCTTCCCACTTCCTGCCAACAGCACACATCTCTTGGGATGTCCCAATCCCTGTGCGAGGCTTCCACAGCCAGCCTGACGTTCCACTTCTCTGCAACAACTGCAATTGCCAGCATCCTACAGCTGCAACAGACAGATCTTCTCTTGTTATGCATGTGAGACTGTTGGTGGATAACTTAATGACTCAGACATACAAATCATGCTGCGTAACAGCTTGCAGAGGAAAGAAGAAAGGTTCAGCCTGTAGCTCAGATCAGAGAGACAAGAAGGCTTGAACTGACATTATTTGTGCATAATCACTTCCTTGACCCAAATACTCAGACTTACTTCTGCGGGAATCACTTGGACTCAGGGAAAAGAAGAATCTGAATTGAACTTACTGGACACAATGAGATGCTTTGCTCCCACTGACTCATACTCAGGCTTTCTTCCAGTGGTGTGCACTTCTTGAGCACCAGGTCCCAGCCGCAGTAAGGATCCTGGGATCCAACACATGCGCTGGAAACACAAACCCAAAACATCAGACTGCAGTATAATCGTGCACCAGGAAGGGCTTCAAGTGGGTCCACGCTCAAGAAGGCATGTGCTGTAGAGGGGCACAGAGGACTTGTCAACCTGGGAAGGGAGCCCATCTAGGAGAAGGAAAACTCTGATCCTAAATCTCTGCTGCCTTGTGACTATATTCATTCATGAGAAAGGCTTTGGGAGTAGACCCTGAGGAAAAACCTGTACCACCTGCCTTGTGGGACACATTAAGGAGAAGAAAAGGCTCAGAGTGAACCCTGCACAAATCCAGAGTGGAGTCCTGAAGGCAGCTGGGTGGCACCTTGTACACCCCCTTCCGGCAACTCCTGCAGCCTTTTGCTCTGCTTCCGTCTGGACATCAGCAAGGCTGAGAGAGGGGTCTTGTCATCTGGGCAGCCCAGGACCTTCATACATGCTGCCCAGCCTTGCACCCCCGAGGTCACTTCAGTGCTGCTAACACAGCAGTTTGACTTTACCCCCGGAGGAGCACTCCATTGTCCCTCGAGACAGATGGATACCAACAACCTGTGCTTGAGAAAGAGCTGCTGTTTCTAGCAAAAGACTTATCACACTTGACAAGGAGGGCAGAGTAGGAGGGAGAATTCTAGCCCTTCCCCAGCTCTCCTCCCCATTCCAGAGAGGTCTCAGAGGTTGAATATCCCTACAGATAATCTCCATTTGTTGGAGCAATTAATAGTTTTCTGGAGATGTTCTACTTTGTCCCAAAAGGAAAAGCACTGTAGATTATATTACTGAGATTAGATAATTATTAAACCCTTTTATTGGAATATTAAACAACTAAAGCTTCAGCTGATTAATTGATAGGAGGCTATTTTGGATGGGTGCAATGGACCTCAACTGTCCTTGAGCACATGTGCAAACCAGAGAAACTGTGGCAACCATGCACATACCACAACTACATGCACATACCACACCACTTTCTCCTCAGCTAGCAGTAAGTCTCCCCCCCCCCAAACTCTTTATTTTATGGGGGTTGATCTTCATACATAATGCATCTTGGAGGAACCCCACCCCCCATTCAATTAATAGATTAAGTGGAAGTTGAATGATCAACTAAAATTCTTTAGGATTGGCTGGTGGCCCCAACAGTAATGCGTTTCTACAAATCCCTGATATCTTTGAATTCTGCACTTCTCACAGTCAGCCAGCCAGATACCTGTGTGTTTTGTAAAACAGACATCTCTTCAGTGGGATCTTCACCACACTTCTCTGAAGGCCCACATACAGAGCACTCTGGCTGTGTAAAATCTGCAGACTCCTGATGGGCTCCCACTGCTTCTTTGGGAATATGTCAATCTCCTCCAGCAAGCAGCTGCTCGATGTTTGATTAACTGGAGCAAGTACTTTCTTAATAGTGCCATGATCTGTAACGGCAAGAGAAGGGAGTTATTTGTGAAAACAACGATGCAAGTAGAGGATGCATGCATTCCTTGCAACTCAAAGGAGACCTACGTTGCATGAAACCAACTGACACTGAATTGGCCAAATGGCCCATCTTGCAAGGTGTTGTGTAATCTGACTGGAAACAGCTCTCCAGGATTTGGACTTTTAGGCAGATTTCACTCCCAGTTCTGTGGCTTACCGGTGCTAATTTAAGATGGATGGAGATGATGGGAGCCATAATCCAACAACATCTGGGGATCCAAGGTTGAAGAACACTGTTTCAGGTGATCTAGCAGTGAATTATTGCATCCTCACATATGCAATAATTGCTGCGCTGCGCAGGAGTGTAACTGTGCTCCAGAGCACTGATTGGCAACTAGTTTCAACCCAGGGCCTCTTAGAAGAAGGGATGGGCAACCTGACCAGGGTACTGCCCCAACTGGACAACCAGTAAATCTCACTCCTATGGCCACTATTCAATCCTTATTCTCCTCTTGCCTTAGGCTTCCAGTTGCTGATCCATGGGGGGGTGAACCTGCAGCACGGGTGCCACAAGTGATACTGGTATCATAGAATTGTAGAGTTCCAACTATAGAGTTGGAAGGGACCCCAAGGGTCATCTAGTCCAACCCTCTGCAATACAGGAATCTTTTGCCCAATGTGGGGCTCGAACCCATGACCCTGAGATGAAGAGTCTTTTGCCCCACTGGCTGAGCTATCCCGGCTGTGACAGAATCAGACCTGCACTTCTGCCTGCCTCTCCTGATGGATGCTCTCTAGAGCAACAGACTACAGGCAAAATCACCTCAAGGCATTGAAATGATTCAGTGTACACTAAAGTATGCGTTAGAATGCCACTCTCCCACCCTTTGGACCAGCAGCACACTTGACCAAAAGGTTAATCACAACTCTTGTTTGGAGTTCCTCTGGGCAGCCAGCCACTTTCCCTTCATACAAAACAAGACCAGGAATGCAATACATGTGCAGAGAGACCCCTGAACCGTGCAACGGACTCCTGTGTGCTCCTCCCGTGGCACAAGGGCAGCCAGCCATTCTAGGGGAGGGAGGCCTGAGAGCATCTCCTGTCCAGCGCCTCTTGTTGCCCAGTTAGGCCTGCAATTGTTGGATAAAATACCATGGGAATCATCTAGTCCAGTGAACAGGGACATAGACATAGATTAACTCCCACTCTTCTCTTTCCCAGCGCTTCCTTTGTATTGTGTGGAGGCCTAGATACCTAAGCTTAAGTCAAGGAAACATTCTGTTTGTTCTAATATCCCATTCTGTTCATTTCTGTTTCTGTAATTATTACCATAGATCATATTCTGTCTGGGGCTTGGAGGGAAAACTGCACTTTTTATGATTTTTCGATCGCTCAGATATGCTATCCTTAGACTATTACAAAGGAAAAGTTAATTTAAAATTAAATCAAAATGTAACACTGTGAAGATTAAATCTTCGTCAAGAAAATGCAACAGGTCTGGGCTGGAAGCAAAGTCATGAAGAAACACTGGAGTTCACCCCAGTCAAGCTTGCAAAAATCTATCATTTGCCTGACAACAAATGTTGGAAATGTAAAGAAACTGAAGGTACATTCTTTCACCTTTGGTGGACGTGCCCAAAGATTAAGGCTTTCTGGGAGATGATATATAATGAATTGAAAAAGGTATTTAAATATACCTTCTTGAAGAAACCAGAGGCCTTTCTCCTGGGCATTGTCGGCCAATTGGTGCCAAAGAAGGACAGAACTTTTTTTATGTATGCTACAACAGCAGCAAGAATACTCATCGCAAAGTATTGGAAGACACAAGATCTACCCACTCTGGAAGAATGGCAGATGAAGGTGATTGACTATATGGAATTGGCAGAAATGACTGGCAGAATCCGAGACCAGGGAGAAGAGTCGGTCAAAGAAGACTGGAAGAAATTTAAAGACTATTTACAGAAATATTGTAAAATTAACGAATCTTAGAAGGATGTTGGATAGAAACTAAGAGGTTTTTAGCTGTAATGCTTTAAGAGAGATGAAAAAAAAGGTTTACAATTGGGCAAAAGTTTAACAGTAAGGATTTGCTGAACTAACAAACTGAACTGGAATACAAAGAAGGGAGGTATGAGGAGGTCCGGGGAAATAAATCTAGGGAAGATAGGTTTGGAAAATTAATGTCTTTTTAACTGTTTTATTTTGTATGTTTCTTTTTTATTTTTTATTTTTTTGTTATATTTTTAAAAACTTTACTCTTTTTTCTGTATTTTGTATTTCTTGTATTTTTTGAAACTTTAATAAATATCATTCAAAAAAAAAAAAAAGAAACACTGGAGTTCAGAGCCAGGGATTTTAGCAGCAGCCACAAATAGGTGCAAGGTCAGCACACGATATCTAAAAATGGAAGGCAGGATGGGAGGCATTCAGACACACACCAAAAGTGTCCAGAGTTAGAAAGCATCTTCTTGACTTTTCCTCTGTATTAAATGTCTGGTAAGCTTTTGTCAACAGACCAATGAAGGTAGATGCTGTGGGGGTTTCTAGCTCTGAAAAATGTACCTTTCTTTTTCTTCTTCTTCTTAATAATAATAATAATACCGTATTTTTCGCACTATAGGACGCACTTTTTCCCCTCCAAAAATGAAGGGGAAATGTGTGTGCGTCCTATGGTGCGAATGCAGGCTTTCACTGAAGCCTGGAGAGCGAGAGTGGTCGGTGCGCACCAACCCCGCTCGCTCTCCAGGCGTCAGGAGAGCCCCAGCGCCAGCCCCACCAGGTCGGGGGGCAGAGGGAGGCGGGACGCCGCCCTCCCGCGGTCTCCCGAAGTGGTTTGGAGGCTGACGGCAGGGAGACCCCGCCGCCGGCCCGCAAGCTCTGGGGACAGCTGGGAGACGCAGCGCGTCTTCCTGCTGTTCCCGGACCTGATCTGAAGGCGGGCAGCGGGGAGAAGAGCGCTTCTCCCCACTGCCTGCCCCGCAAGCTCCGGGGACAGCTGGGAGGCGCAGCGCGTCTTCCCGCTGTCCCCGGACTTGATATCAAGGCGGGCGGCGGGGAGAAGAGCGCTTCTCCCCGCTGCCTGCCCCCAAGCTCCGGGGACAGCGGGAGGCGCAGCGCGTCTTCCCGCTGTCCCGGACTTGATGTCAAGGCGGGCGGCGGGGAGAGGCGCTTCTCCCCGCTGCCTGCCCCCAAGCTCCGGGGACAGCTGGGAGGCGCAGCGCGTCTTCCCGCTGTCCCCGGACCTGATGTGAAGGCGGGCGGCGGGGAGAGGCGCTTCTCCCCGCTGCCTGCCCCAAGCTCCGGGGACAGCTGGGAGGCGCAGCGCGTCTTCCCGCTGTCCCCGGACCTGATGTGAAGGCGGGCGGCGGGAGAAGAGCGCTTCTCCCGCTGCCTGCCCCCACGCTCCGGGGCCAGCAGGTATCCGCAGCGCGTCTTCCTGCTGTCCCCGGACCTGATCTGAAGGCGGGCGGCGGGAGAAGAGCGCTTCTCCCGCTGCCTGCCCCCAAGCTCCGGGGACAGCTGGGAGGCGCAGCGCGTCTTCCCGCTGTCCCGGACCTGATCTGAAGGCGGACGGCGGGGAGAAGGCGCTTCTCCCCGCTGCCTGCCCCCAAGCTCCGGGGACAGCTGGGAGACGCAGCGCGTCTTCCCGCTGTCCCCGGACCTGATGTGAAGGCGGGCGGCGGGGAGAAGAGCGCTTCTCCCCGCTGCCTGCCCCCAAGCTCCAGGGACAGCTGGGAGACGCAGCGCGTCTTCCCGCTGTCCCCGGACCTGATGTGAAGGCGGGCGGCGGGGAGAAGAGCGCTTCTCCCCGCTGCCTGCCCCAAGCTCCGGGGACAGCTGGGAGGCGCAGCGCGTCTTCCCGCTGTCCCCGGACCTGATCTGAAGGCGGACTGCGGGAGAAGCGCGCTACGCCCCGCTGCCTGCCCCCAAGCCCCGGGGCCACCAGGGAGCCGCCGCGCGCCTCCCCGCGGCCCCCGGACCTGATGTGAAGGCGGGCGGCGGGGAGAAGAGCGCTTCTCCCCGCTGCCTGCCCCCAAGCTCCGGGGACAGCTGGGAGCCGCAGCGCGTCTTCCCGCTGTCCCCGGACCTGATGTGAGGCGGGCGGCGGGGAGAAGAGCGCTTCTCCCGCTGCCTGCCCCCAAGCTCCGGGGACAGCAGGGAGACGCAGCGCGTCTTCCTGCTGTCCCCGGACCTGATCTGAAGGCGGGCGGCGGGGAGAAGAGCGCTTTTCCCCGCTGCCGGCCCCACAAGCGCCTGGGGGGGAAATAATTTTTTTTCCTTTATTTTCCCCCCAAAAAACTTGATGCGTCCTATGGGCCGGTGCGTCCTATGGTGCGAAAAATACGGTAATTTTTTATTTGTATCCTGCCCTCCCTTGCCGGAGCTGGGCTCAGAGCGGCTAACATCATATTATTAACACAATATACATAAAAACAAGCAATCAATTGATTAAAATGCATCCCAAAATTAATTCAAATAAATTAAAATTAAAATCAAACTAAACAAATGGCAGTCCTCAGGTTAAATTGAAAGCGGTTAATTCTCACCAGGACCAACTGTTTCCACTGATATTATAAGGACCTGTGAGCGGGCTGAGAAACCTCCTTCGTGCTTGTTCTTATACAAAGAGAAAATGAGTCAGACTGAACCCTGACCATAGGCCTGGCAGAACAGCTCTATCTTGCAGGCCCTGCGAAAAGATGTCAAATCTCGCAGGGCCCTGGTCTCTTTGGAGCGAGCATTCCACCAGGCCGGGGCCATGACTGAAAAGGCGCTGGCTCTGGTCGAGGCCAGTCTGACCACCCTGGGGCCCGGGATCTTCAGGGTGTTGTTATTAGCAGACCGTAGGGTCCTCCGTGGGACATACCAGGAGAGGCAGTCCCGTAGGTATGAGGGTCCTAGGCCGTATAGGGCAGGCTTCCTCAACCTCGGCCCTCCAGATGTTTTTGGCCTACAACTCCCATGATCCCTAGCTAGCAGGACCAATGGTCAGGGATGATGGGAATTGTAGTCTCAAAACATCTGGAGGGCCGAGGTTGAGGAAGCCTGGTATAGGGCTTTAAAGATTAAAACCAGCACCTTAAACCTGATCCTGTACTCCACCGGGAGCCAGTGCAGCTGGTATAGCACCGGGTGAATGTGATCTCGCAGTGAGGACCCCGTAAGGAGTCTCGCTGCGGCATTCTGCACCCGCTGGAGTTTCTGGGTCAGTCTCAAGGGCAGCCCCACGTAGAGCGACTTACAATAATCCAGTCTGGAGGTGACCGTCGCGTGGATCACAGTGGCGAGGTCAGGGCGAGAGAGATAAGGAGCCAACTGCTTAGCTTGGCAGAGATGGAAAAATGCCGCCTTTGTTGTAGCTGCAATCTGCGCCTCCATGGAAAGGGAGGCATCAAAGGTTACACCAAACTCTTGACGGAAGGTGCTGGCACTAGTTGTGCCCCCGGCAAGGGATAGGAGTTGGCTAGCTACAGACCAATCAGTTTGTTACCTATAACCAGTAAACTATATGCAAAGCACTTCTATAACAAACTAGCCGACTGGATAGACGATGAGGCTATTCTCACCGAAGAGCAAGCAGGATTTAGGCAGGGCAGATCCACTCTAGATCATTGCTTTGTTCTAGCACATCTCATAGACAAGTAAGCTAAGAAACCACGTGGTGTGCTTTACGCTGTTTTCATCAATTTGAAAGCTGCATTTGACTCAATTTCGCGAATAAGACTCTGGGATAAGCTGAACTCCTTGGGTATTGACAAAAGACTACTGTACTTGATCAAATGCTTATATGAAGATACAGTGTTGAAAGTGTGCTGCTCCACAAATGGACAACTTACAGCATCTATACAAGCCACAAAGGGAGTCAAGCAAGGCTGTATCCTAGCCCCGGCACTGTTCAACTTGTATATAAATGACATTGTCCAGTGTCTAACATCTCCACCCCTAAATTGGCCACAAAACCCATCTCAATACTATTATATGCAGATGATGCGGTTCTTCTATCCCAAACAAAAGTAGGCCTAAAAAGACTAATCAGAGCATTTTCAGGATATTTCCAGAGAGAACAGCTGGCCGTGAATTATCGTATTTTTCAACCTATAAGACGCACCGTATTTTTCGCTCTATAAGTCGCACCAGACCATAAGACGCACCTAGTTTTTGGAGGAGGACAACAAGAAAAAAAATATTCTGAATCCCATAAGCCAGGACAGCAAGCGGGATCGCAGCTCAGTGATCCCGCTTGCTGTCCTGGCTTATGGGATAGCTGCGCGCAGCCTCTCCCGGGCAGTGGCATGAATTCTCCCCCTGCCCGGGAGAGGCTGCGAGCGGCTAAGGCTCCCCCAAGAGCCACGCTCCCTTTAAAGAGCGCGTGAAGCGTGTGTGCGGCTCTTTAAAGGGAGCACTAAGCAGAGCCTCCCGCCTGCATTTGCTCCATAAGATGCACACACATTTCCCCTTACTTTTTAGGAGGGGAAAAGTGCATCTTATAGAGCGAAAAATACGATACAAGAAAACAAAAGTCATGGTTTTCTGAAGAAACTATAGGGCCCATAGATGGCGGATGGACAACCAGCTAATTGAACAGGTCAAAGTTTTCAAATATCTTGGCCTTATTTTCCAGTCTACAGGGTCATGGGGAGCACACCAGAAATGTGCAAAGGAAAAAGCATCCCAAAGCGCCAAAATTCTGACACGCTTTTTCCACACAAAATGTGGTAAACATATACTCTCAGTCCTGGAAGTGTTCCAAGCTAAACCCCTAGCACAATTGTTACATGGGGCTCAGATCTGGAAAGGCACTCACCTTCCATCTACGGAAGCTGTCCAATCAAAGTTCTTAAGGCAAATTTTCTCTGTACCACCCTGTGCCCCAAGCACATCATTGCACACAGAGGCTAATCTTCCCTCAGTAGAATTATGGATCTGGCCTAGGACACTTAACTCTTGGCTTCACCTAAATTCAAATCCCCCCAGTCTAATATCCCTAGTGCTGCAAGATTGTCACAAGAGCGCCTGGACTAAAATTGTCTATCAAAAACTTCACTCTTGTGGTTTATCACCACAACAGCTACTCACTTTGGGTTTTAGTAAAGCAAACAGTCTAATTTGTCAATGCCTAAATGATATCGAGTGCCAGAACAACTTGGCCTCAATAAGGAAATTTTGCCCATGGTATGCCTATTTTCCACCTTCCTTCCTATTTTGCCTCTCTGGCACCCTATCTGCATAACCTAGCAATTCTAAAATATAGACACGCTTTTACTCTCACAAGACTGAATGTATTGCCCTTGGCTGTACTTGAGGGATGATTCCAACAGATTCCACATGAAAAACTCTTATGTCCCTGTGGAGATGGCAGTCCCGAGTTGGTGGCATGTGCCCTTCTGGCTTGCACTCTTGATTAAGACTTGAGGAATGAGATTATCATCCCTCTTTTATTGTCCATTCTAGGTCGCTCAAGCACTGCCACAGGGTCCTTTCTCTTGGCAGATCAAGATGAGCAGGTGATAGCAAAGGTTGTAAGGTTTTTAGCTGGGGCAATCAGAATAGGATCCACTATTTGACTATTGATTCAAAACCCTAAAATGTATTTTAGATAACTGACTTTTTATTTCTATTCTTTGTATATTGTATTGTTGTTTTATTGCTATGGCCAATAGCTGACGCAAATAAAGATTCATTCATTCATACCCCAGAAGCTTTTGCTCCTTACAGCCTTCTAAAACAGGTTGCTAGAAGCAAGCAGCCAAGTGGGGGCCCTTTCTTGATTGATTCTGTCCTTCTACAGTACCGAGGGAGAAGGCATTTTAAGACTGGTTAGGGTAAGGCAGAGGGAGCCAATGTGATACCGTCGAGACATTATTGGACTCCAGTTTCCACATCTTCCCCAGCCAGCATACTCAATGCCCAGGGAAGACGTGAGCTATGGTCCAACAATATCTGGAGGGCCCCACACTGGGGTATGGCAAGAGGATAATGACCTCTGTGACACTGAGGTATTCCTCCAAAAGAAACCTTCTCCCTGCAAATAATGGGCTTTGGCAAGACAAGTTGCAGCCTGTTCGTCTTCTGCTGCCAACCACAGATACTGGGCCCTTTGCCCATTCCCCAAACCACATGAGAGCCACTGTCCCATGGGGCTTCCATGGAGCTGGGATAATGTTCAAGTGACCCAAACACATAGACATGAACGGACGCCATAGTGACTTTAGCTTCCTATGGAGTTTCTGAACAGTACTCACACACTGTCCAGCTATGCCATGTTTAAAACTGCTTTTAATACTTCCTTCATTTTCAAATGTGATTTGCTCAGTGGCCCAGGAGGTCTCGGGTGAGAAACACTGGACCAGAGGGTATGAGCACAAAGTGCTGTTTTGTAGCCATGCCATGTATACTGAAGCAGAAAGAAAGAGGGTGCAACTCCACAAAGGGCTGATGCAGGAATATATACTGATGCTTCAAAAGTAATTACTATGCACCTTTATGGAAAACTGGAGACTACAGGATAAATCTCTACAAGAAAATGTGATACTTAATTTTCTTATTTTAAAAAATCCTACGAGACTGTATTTGAGCACTTGGAAGGAGAGGGAGAGAGCGAGTGAGGAACAAGGCAAGACAGATAGAAATAGAGAAACCGCTAGTAGTGGCTCTTTCAAGATTTTTGTCAGCTCAAAGGTTCACTTCTGATTCCTGCCCTGAGACCACACACAGACTAGAAACATCCCTGATCCACATATCCAGACTTGCACATGAACTTACGGTAAGTATGCACAGTCCAAGCACAGAGAGATTTATTCTGCTGGGCTGCGTGATTAATTGCTAATGGGCCAAGGCACAGATTTATATAGCATAGCAAACAAGTACAGTGGTACCTCTGGTTACGTTTTTAATTTGTTCCGGAGGTCCGTTCTTAACCTGAAACTGTTCTTAACCTGAAGCACCACTTTAGCTAATGGGGCCTCCCGCTGCTGCCGCGTGATTTCTGTTCTCATCCTGAAGCAAAGTTCTTAACCCGAGGTACTACTTCCAGGTTAGCGGAGTCTGTAACCTGAAGTGTTTGTAACCTAAAGCATCTGTAACCCGAGGTACCACTGTATATGTATTTGTGGCTGCAGAGGTGAACAATGGGAACCTGTCTCATTTTACCTAAGTCTGGCACTAACACCTTCCAAGCTTACCTCTTCAGGGTTAATTTCTCTTTTTTTGCTGCAACTCCCAGCCCCCCCCCCCCGACCATTAGCCATGCTGGCTGGGGCTGATAATGGGAGCCACAGTCCAACAATAACTGGAGGGTAAGGTGTTGGCTACAGAGGCAGTTTTAGCTCAACAACTTTGGGTCTATCCAGAGTGTAAATGACAACTATCCAGAGTGTAAATGACACACCACTGTGTCTCCAGATACTATGGGCAAGGACACTGTGGTTCTCCTAAACAAAAAACATCCCGTATACGAGGGTCAGGGAACATTCCTATATGATACAATGGATGAACATTCTTGAGCTCTGTCTGCAATTAACAGCAGCCAAGTTGAAAGAAATCCACATAATTACAACCTTGCTGCTAAAAAGACTTCTGCAACAGACACACTTTCCCAGCTAAACACTTGCTGTGCAGCTCACTGTTGTTAGTTATAAATAAAAATGAATGGAGGGAGAAGTTTTGTACACTACAGTGGTACCTCGGGTTACATATGCTTCAGGTTAGACTCCGCTAACCCAGAAACAGTACCTCGGGTTAAGAACTTTGCTTCAGGATGAGAACAGAAATCGTGCTCCAGCGGCACGGCAGCAGCAGGAGGCCCCATTAGCGAAAGTGGTGCTTCAGGTTAAGAACGGACCTCTGGAACAAATTAAGTACGTGACCAGAGGTACCACTGTATTAGTGTTTTTAAAATCTTCAGAACTCAAAAGACATACAAAAGATCATCAGTTGCATCTGAGTAATTTCTGTCTCTTAGCTTTTTCCTGGCTCCTACTGCATCCCTTGGCCCTGTTTCACTTGCTTCCTTTGCTTCCCATACTCTTTAATGTTTCGAGGAAAACATGCAATATGCAGATTCAAGGCTCTCCACTATAAGTCCTGCCTCCATTAGTGCTGCCAGGTAGGAGGGTAAATATCTGCAACATTACACTGTCTGAAAGTGAAGAACTCTGCAGGGTAAAATCTGGTTTAAAACTACTAAGCTGTAAATTATATATGACATTGTATTTTTAAAGCCCTGTTTTATGTATGCACACAAAGTGTGATGCATCTACAGTTATGTACTCATCATTTTTATGAATGTTATTTTATGAGTCATTTAGTGTGCATTTTGAACAGCTGGTTTTAAATTGTTGTGTTTTTATCATTTCATAAGCTATGTTGAAGGAGGGGGGTTGTATATCCTATGAAGAAGAATTTAAATGGGAAATAAATAAGTAACATAAGATAAGGTACCATGTGGTTGCTTTGAATGAAGCACTTCAAAATTGTAAAAATATAAAAGCTGCAGCACACAGATAAACATGTAAAATTTGAAATAATATGTGATCCACATCTACCTGTCACAAGCAATGCCATGAAATTCCTATGGGGATTTTGAGATGGATAATGAAATCAAGGAGACTGCAGTAATGGAAGACTTCAATTACTCCAATATAGGCTGGGTACATATGTGTTCTAGTCACAACACAGAGATTTTTTTATTTTTAAGATACCCTAAATGATTGTACCCAGAACTTTTGGTGATCGAACTGGCCAAGTAGGTGCACGTGTGTCAGGGTGGAGCACACAATCCTGGACTTAAGTGGTGTCCGGAACCTGGTGTGAGATTTAAGCGTTGTTGTACCAACCGGGAACAGTGACTACGCGCTATCAAATGCAACATGTATGAAAGTGGACATTTGCTGGGAAGGTCAAACATGGTCACAAGTGATTTGAAAAGAGGAACTTTGTAAAAAGGACACTGAAAGGCAAAAACAAGGGAGTGAAGTTTCTCCAAAAAGCTTGGGGGTTATTTAAAACCATGGTAATAGAAGCGCCATTAACATGTATTCCACAACAGATCAGAAAAGGTACACTGGGGCCAAGAAGATTAACAAGCAGAGTCAGACTGGTTAATGAGCAGTCCCTCCCATCAAACACCTCCACCACCTCCCCCCCCCCCCAAAAAAAAAATCTGAAGCAGGGGATTTCCCAGTGCTGTTAACAAAGCATTTACCTGTGGCCAAATAGATGATGTGAAAAAGCATGTCCTTGCCTTGGACCACGTCCACCACCACGTGGGAAAAACGGCTGTTGTCTTCCATGAAGTAAGGAAAGGGTGAGATGGGCTGGATCACTTCATGCATCAAAATAAATTTCTGGGCATCTTGGAGATTCCTCTCTGTCAGATTCAAATATGCACCCTGGTCCATGGTGCCACACTGAAAAGGCATAGGTTTTCTACTATTGTCATAATAAAAGATTTAGCGAATGAAAACAAACCCTTCATATCCCTAGATAAGAGAATCCCCAAGCTAGTTCTTACATAAATTTGTGCGGTAATGACTGGTCATTGAGCTACACAATGTACTTCAAAGAAAAATGTTTTTCCACACTGGCAAGTCATTCATACTTCCTCTGCAAATATATGACAAAATAAATATAGCAAATAATACAATTAAGGGCAATGAAAGAAAAAAGGCAGGAGGAGGTTTTTTGGGTGGCCGTATACATGTATCCCAAATATATGGGAAGAGAATGTAGGGTTTTGACAGATGCCTCCTCCTGCAGCTGCAGCAGCAACTCTTCAAGGGTCCTCTTTTCTGCCATGGGGCCTCGCCTGAGACAAAAGCCAAGGTGGAACAGGAAATTCCTTGCCAAGCTCCATCTTGCCAGACCGAAGAGCGCTGGCCGGAGGCAGACCGTCTTGCTGTGTTCTCTCAGGCTGATTAGGAAGAGGATGACCTACATATCCTCAAATTCCAAAGGGTCTAAAATCATGCTCAGGTTGCGGGTAGATTTGTCTACATGTTTCCACACCACCTTTCTCCTGCCTGTACAAAGTTGCCTCCTTCCTTTCCACACAAGAGGCATGCAGAGGAGGATAACAAGCAGAAGTAATTGTTTTTCCCCTCCTGTTGAGCAACCTCAAGGTTTCCCTGCCTTCATGTTGCCTCTGGCACTCGTACTTAACAGCCAATTAGTCACTGATGACTCTGATGGCTCAGATAGGACATCTTCCTTTTTTATTTTTCAAAACTGTTACTGGTGAGTTAGTTTAAAGTTATTTTTTTAAGAATAAAATGCTGCATGTGGTTACATTTAAGCAATCTTTTCTTTTTTTAAAAAAACCAACAACCTACTTTAAAGAACAAAATCAAGTTGTGACGTTGGTCTGAGGAGGGGTGGGGTTCATGATGTCATAAGGCAGCAGCCAACCCACAGTTTGTCTGAAACAAGACAACTGTTTCATAAAATAAAGTCTTTAAGCTCTCTTTGGCTTTTAATACTCAATCATTTTGTTCTTTAAATGAGGACTGGGTGTCTTGTTCGACATCTGAAGGGGAGAAATTATCGAGTTCTGTATCTACTTGTGACTTCACTTGTGTTTGGACAGAATAATTTTGTCTCCATAGAGATGAAGTTGGGGAGAACTTGCTAAAGCCTCCATAATAAAAATGGGCATTCTGCGTTTGCACACTGCCTACTCAGATTCAATGATATTTTTCTAAGGACATTCAAAGAGTACCAAGTCCTTTCAAAGTTTTTCTTGCATTCCTGAGTGGGGGCTGGGAGACACTTGCAGAGAAAGAGTTGTACTACTGGTCTCATCAAGCCTCATTCTATTGCTCTTAACCTTCCTTAGAGGCTTCTCCAAAGCAGGAATTTCCAAGATTACCTCATGATTTTAGGTGACTTTTGATGGCAATTCTAACCCCAGGTCTTACCAACTTTGGCCACTGTTTTACCAATCCAAGACTTCCCAACCGGACACCCAGTGTATATAAGCAGCAGATCCTGAAAGGGCCACGGGTAGGCAAACTAAGGCCCACGGGCCAGATCCAGCGCAATTGCCTTCTCAATCTGGCCCACAGACGGTCCAGGAATCAGCGTGTTTTTACATGAGTACAATGTGTACTTTTATTTAAAATGCATCTCTGGGTTATTTGAGAGGCATTGGAATTCGTTCATTTTCCCCCCCCACAATATAGTCCAACCCCCCACAAGGTCTGAGGGACAGTGGACCGGCCCCCTGCTGAAAAAGTCTGCTGACCCTGTGCTAGGCAGTGCTTTTTTCAGGGGGTACTCAAGTGTACACAGTCCTGGCACCTCTTTTTTGTTGTCAAAAAGTGTGGCACTTAGTGTAGCGACTTCATGGTGAGTGAAGTTTTTCTAGAAAAAAGCACTGCTGATAGAGCTATGCCACAACTTGACCCATTTACACCTTTGGGGTCAAAAATAGTGCTTTTGGTGAGACAGAGCTTTTTTCTTCAGTTGTGAGCATGTTCACCCCTTCCCAACCCATTAACTATAATTGTTTCTCTGATTTTCTGTTACTTTGGATTGATTTTTTATTTAAACATGTTTTCTTCCTGAGGACTGTTTTGAGGCTCTTAAATATACATATATTTTTTTATTGGCTTCAAAGCTTAGCTCTAAAGAGAACTACACAACATTGCAACTTTTCAAACAGATTCTATTGAAAATTAATGGATTTGGTTCCTGACCTCAACTCAGGATAGGTATGAGAAACAAGAACATGGCAAGTACACTGATGGAGAACAGTGGCTCCTCTTTTTAGGGCCATTTGTATGCACCCACACGGATGTCAATGTGTGACACATGTCACTCAAAGTACCCAAATGAAGCTGTTTTTTAGCAGCATGTTATCATTAGAGGTGTACATCAATGCATGGTAAGGACAGAGATCACAGCTGCAGTTGGACAGAAATATTTCCCTGTAGTCATAATGAGTACAGGGCTATCTCCACTCTTGCAAAACAACTAATCCCATTTTAAATATCATTTTTATAAATTTATTCCCCCTTATTTTTGATCTCTGGAGTACACTATAGTTCAGAGTTAAAACTGGATGCACATTTCCAATTTAATGAAAAGATTTACTTGCAGGGTATTAAGGGTAATTAATATAACTAATGAATAAACTGAAGTGATGCAAACCAGTAGTTTTTGCTGCTCTAATCTTGCTCCCCTGATCACATACTCCATAATGCCCAAGTTGAAACATGGCAAAATCACCAACCCTCGGGGTGGTCACCTGCCATGTGTGATGTGCTGCTTTGGATGTGCTTCCTTCTTAGTGCAGAAATGCCCTCAGTGATCTCTGAGGATGGGACATTCTGGAGCTTGTTTGTATCAGGTGATAACATATCATTCATTCAACCAATGTAGAGGCAGGGAAGGTAATTACAAGACCTCAGAGGATGCTGCTTGGAAGGCCATTTGCTTAGAGCCTCACAGAATATTCATCCACTTATCACTGTACACTAACACACACTCTCAAGTCACATTAGTGGGAATGATGGCTTGATTTGCTCATGTTTCATTCAGTCCATAGCCACATTGCCCATGACAATGGTCTGCTTTATTCCCTGGTCTAGATTAATGTCACCCATAACCAAGTGGCTGCTTAGGAAGATTTCTGCCAATTGGCTCAAAGTGAGGTTGGGCACACCACCTTCTGGTGAACCCTCACAGGGGCATTTCCTATAGCAATTTAGAGAGAGCTTCTTCCTAATCATCCCATCATGACAAGGAAACTGGAAGTATGCTGGGCTGACACACAACAATCCGCCCATCATCTCAGCTACTTTTAAAAATGCAATGGCAGTTTAAAGACAATTCATATGATTCAGTACCTCCCCCCTGCCCCCCCCATTTCCCTCCAAGTACCTGAAAGTTGGGGTTAGGGTTGGGGTAAGGCAGCCAAGCAGAGCGGGAGTTCTCTTGGAACTTAAATGGCCCACTGAAGACCTGAGTTATTGCAGTCATGTTGAATACACAAACGGCTGAAACTGCTATGCTGTTCCTTAAAAAAGAAGAAGAAACACACACAAGCAACACCACACACAAACAAAAGATGAAGTACTTCAAGCAGACTGAAATACAACTCTTTCCCTTCATAGCTATAAAAGGGCACTGCTAGCATGTTAACAAAGAGGTGGGAAACCCAAGGTCCTCCTCCTGCTGCTGGACTACAGCTCCTGATCAACAGTTGGTTGGCAGATGCTGATGTGAGATGGAGTCCAACGATATCTGAAGGGCCACAGGCCACCCCTGTACTAATAGCCACATGTAATTCATCTGTGAAAGAAAGAGGCAAGAATGGTGTGGTTTGCTCATTGTCAATTTAGGGGTTGGCAGGGAGAAAAGGCATGCTTGCAGGTGCAACATCTTACTTCATTTGTTTGTCCAAACCCCTCAAAATTCTGGATCTAAGGAGGGCTGAAAGCTCTCTCTACTTATCCAGGATTTTTTTAAACAACTATCACCCACTAACATAAATTGAAATAATGAAATCTGCCACTCTGAAGCTAATAAAAAACTGTCTAGGTGGTGTGTTGTTCGATAAGAGATTGAGTGTTTTTTTTGGGGGGGGAGGCTCATTTAATTTCATTTTACACAGGTTGTACAATAACAATAAAGGTGTTGTTGTTGTTGTTGTTGTTGTTGTTGTTGTTGTTATTATCATTATTATTATTAGCTTCCATTTAGTTCCAGCGTCACTGCAGAACAGCATCTCTATGCTTCTTGACTGACTAGCCTGTGTGTATCTTAAAACACATTAAACATTTGTTTAAGATCATCATTGCCCTGGGTCGGCTAATTACCCAAAGGTTCTGCCCTCCAGGGAAAGAGATGGCACAATGCAGAGCTCCTAAGCAGCAGCGCTTTCAGTTGAGTGGCTCAGATACAGGAGCAAATTACAAGCTGGTGCTGTCAGAAAAGCACAAGGAAAACTAGCTCAGCAGAACAGCAGATTGAATTGGAAGTTTTAAGAATATTGATAAAAAGTTTAGCTGAAGCAAGATAAAAGATCTTCAGTGCTGAGTGGAAGCAGATATGGAAGTACTTCAACTAAATAATTCATGGGGTAAAACACCAGCATTATATTTCTTTCTAAGAAAAGATGTAGACAGGAGTTGGTAGACTTTTACACAAAACATTCTGTTTAAGTGAAACTGTTAGAGTGATCCGACTCCCTAAAAAAAGTATTCCACTACCAACACTGGGGCTACCACAACTACCAGAAAGAAGTTGATTTATATAAATTGCATTGGCTTCCAATTCAATTCAACATGTTGTTCATTGCCTTTAAAGCCCCTCCCCCCAACCCCCAACTTAGGACCAGACTTATTTAAAGGACTGCCTTCTCCTGCATGACCTTGCCTGGACACTCAGATCTTGGAGGACGGTCCTGTTATTACAGAAAAGGTCCTGAGCTGCATTCTCAGCAGGTGAAGCTCAGCTGGTGGGAACAGAGGACGAGATCTTCTCCTTTGCAGGCTCTGGAACTTTGCACCCTGCCTTGACAGGCCCTCATGGGTCCTCCTTGAAGACATCTGAACAGTATTGCTCTTCAGGGCCTTTGGCCTATTATCAACTGCTCTCCCACACTTCCTTGCCTGCTTGTTTTTATGCTTCTTTTGTTTTTAAAAAAGGATCTCATGATTGTTTTTAATGGACTTGTTAGTAGCACTGAAGATTCTTGATGAAGCCGAAAGCACAGGAGACAAATATTTCAATTAATAAATAACTGCTCCCTTAGACATATAATCACAGCCTCATAGAATTGCAGAGTTGGAAGGGACCCCTGCGGTCATCTAGTCCAACCCTGCAATGACAGGTGGCCATCCAATCTCTGCTTAAAACTCCTTTCAAGGAAGGAAGTTTCCATTTAGTTGTGTTAAACTAAAAACTCCATCAACAAAAGTTTTCTGGTTTGAGAAGTTTGCCTGCCCTCAGGTCCTGCCCTCCTATAAGCAATGGACGGATGTATTTCCGTCAACGCTTCCTATTCCGTTCCTCCAAGAGCCCTTGTCTCAGAATTTTTTCAGTATCAATTCTATTTCCCAGGAGGAGCAGGCAGCACAACTCTTTTCTCTAATTCATCCTGAATATTCTAGAAACAAAAATATTTCATAAACTACATACATATTAGTGGTAAAGATCCCGTAGATTAAGTCCAGTTCTGGCAGGAAGAACGTACTCTGTAATTCATTGTAGTAAAATGGGATTTCTCCAGGGCGGGAGCAGTTCAAACGAGCTTTCATGAACGTGGTCCAGGTGTCCTCCAGCAGGAACCTGCCTCCAATGTCATTCTTGCAAACTCGAGCAGCTCGGGAAAAGACTATTTTGCCACAGTCATACTCCACTGCGTTCTCTCGGAAGAAGAAATAGACGAAGTTCCCAATGTCATAAGAAGACACAAAATTTGGTTCTGAAATGCATCGATAGACAAAATATCAGAAAACAACTATTTTCAAAAGGAGAAACAAATGTTACACTGGACTGCTGTTGCTGTTTAAAAGCCACATCTACTTGTGATTGTGACAGTACCTATCTGTACATTTAAATTGTTGATGCTTTATTATTTTATCCCTGTTTAGGGAAGCTTTTAATGTTCAATGCATTATTGTATTTTAATATTTTGTTGGAAGCCGCCCAGAGTGGTTGGGGAAGCCCAGCCAGATGGGCGGGGTATAAATAAATTATTGTTATTGCTGCTGTTGTTGTTATATCCTGCCCTTCCTCCTAAAGAAGCCTAGGGCATGACTTGAGAATATTCCAGCCAGGTGGTGCTTACTCCTCCACGCTCCGCTGCCTTACAGACACCTGCTCTTTTAACTGGTTCCATCCATTCACTCTTCAGGTCCTTCCTTTGGAAAGGTCTTCCGCTGAGTCTTTTAGTCCTCATCCCCAATTGTAATCAAGCTGAAGCACAGCTGATGCATTTGTACACATTCGTCCCTTGCCATCTTTGTCTCTCTCACCATGTTGTATTCCTCCATTTCCAGTTCCTTGGGGATCAAAGCCTGTCTTTTGTGCTTTTGCTCACTCATCTCTGTAAATTGCCATGTGCATTAAAATAATAGCAATGAATTTAATGATGCAGTCCAAAGACTGAGAAGGAGTCCATGTGCCAAGGATCTTTATAGCTGACAGTGCAGGAGACTGAATCCATGACCTTCTGCTCACAAAGCAAGCCCTCTGCGACTGAGCTGTGGACATGTCCCTGCCTCTTCTTACACTCTCTCACCTCCTCTCTATGTTTTCCTCTCCTTTTCCTCCCCACTCACCCCCTCCTTCCATGCTGAACTGCCAACTTTAAACCATTAGTGGTTGAAGACTTTCCCAGAGTCCGGAGAAACAGGCAACAACCTTTTCAAAAGCACCAAGAAAGGACTTGTGCTCCTTCAGAACAATATTTACTCATGTAAACAACCAGTTGTCTCTGCACTTACCATTAAGCCACTTAGAGTTGTACTGTGCAGTCCGGAGAGGAGGAAACACCCCCAAGCTGCGATAAATTGCAGGATCCCTTCCTGGGAAGTCCATGACTGTTGCTGCATATAGCTCACCAGTGCTTGCAAGCAGAGCGGTGGAGTTGTGCTGGGGGCTGTATGGACAGCGAGCCATGCCGCTGATCTGATCATGCGTCTCTTCCAGATTATTTAGCTGCAGCGGAGGGAATTAAAACCATATTACTGAGCAGGAAACCATAAATCAATCTACAACATTACGTGCCACAACAGAGCGTGCATCTCTCAGTCCTCTCACACAGAGCAACAACCACTTTCTAGCTCTGTGGTGAGTATCTGAAAACAGAAGGCAGCACTCCCACTTGCACACTTTGCAATCGAAAGAAATCTAATAGAAAATCACTAGCATTAACTCTAATTGCATTGCATGGTCTCCCTGTTCATGATACCATCTGTGCATCAAATTCAAACAGTAAGAATGCAAAGAAAGGTGTTCTAAAAGGAACCTGCCCCATTAACTGGAGTACACTAATCTCAGCAGCATTGTGGGACTAGCCTGTTTCCAGAGTTAACCCAGCAGAGATATGATGGGATATGGTTCTCTTTTGCTTTCATTACCAGCCTCAAGCCTTCAGGATACAAGCAGCTTATAAATGAATACATAAATGAGCACAAAAATAAATAATTTATAGCAGAAAATGAAACCAGGAGCAGAGTGATAGATCTCTTGGTGTAGGAGGCTCTGCCATCAAACATGCATCCAGAATCTATGTTCTGCTATGTTATTTTTCTTCCCAAGTTCTAGACATTGCTCAACGCGAGAGGCACAGTAGTGTAGGAAGCCCCCAAAGGACTTTTTTTAAAGCTCCAAAAAAGTTACATGTTGCATTTAATATGGGATTTCTAGTGGATCCAGGGTCTAGCAAATCATCACAGGTACTGAAGGTATGAGAGGAGATGCTATACTGGGCCATCCTTAGAGTACTTATTTTTCTACTCTTGCTTCATGCCTGTCAATTTTCTGACTTCTGCAACATATTCAGACAAAATATGACTATTTATGCACTTTTCAACCCGATACCTAAAAACATTTGCCTTGTTAACTGCCAGTCCTTTACAGACATTCTGGATACTTACAACATGGTTGTTGGATCAACTAACTGCTCTTACTTAATATCCTCACAGGTATATAGAAAGAACCGCACACAATTCTGCTCCTTGTCTCTGAGTGGGTATAATTCTGCAAGGCATACGCACATCATGACCAAAAGGCTTATATTGTGCTTCTAGATAGCATAAAGACTCCATTTGGTTGCAAGCCAAAATGACTTAATTGTGATAGAAACCAACTATAAATACAGGAACTTCAAAAAGGGGAAATCTTAATTTAAATTGGCCTTATTTCTCAATTATTATTTTAAAATAATCTAAATTTGCTTAATTTAAATTAACTAATTCTGACAACAATCAAACTCAGGGTCCTTCTCACCATCCCAACAGAACAAAATTTCAGTCCCTTTCCCTTTACATAACTTACATAAAGACTCCTCCCCACGACTCATGAAACTCAGTGCTGGCTTGCAGGCTGAGGCTTAAGTGGGGCTGTAACCAACTGCATGACCAGGGAAGGGGTTGATAATAATAAAATGAAATTGCATGAATAGTATTCAGGTTAGCCCCAATATTAAAGCAAGCTCTCCCACAGATTTCATCTAATTCCAACCTATGAATTGCCATGAACAGCATCAGCTAGGCAACCACCAGATATTTCCAGTTACCTCTGCATCTTTCCTCCAGCAATAATCATGACTGCTTACCTACTTTATTTGTTTCTATTTATTATATTTTATTCTATTTCTATAGAAGCAACGCCTCCCTTTTTATGGATGCACATGTTGCAGCTACAGCAAAGAGGCATTTTTCCACCTCTGGCGTGCTAAGCAGCTGGTCCCTTACCTTTCTCGCCCTCATCTGGCCACAGTGATCCATGTGACGGTCACCTCCAGGCTTGATTATTGTAACTCGCTCTACGTGGGGCTGCCCTTGAAGCTGACCCAGAAACTCCAGCGGGTGCAGAACGCTGCAGCGAGGCTCCTTATGGGGCTCTCGCCGCGGGATCACATTCATTCAGTGTTTTACCAGCTGCACTGGCTCCTGGTAGAGTACAGGGTCGGGTTTAAAGTGCTGGTTTTACCCTTTAAAGCCCTATACGGCCTAGGACCCTCATACTTAAGGGACCGCCTCTCCTGGTATGTCCCACAGAGGACCCTATACGGTCCACAAAGAATAACATCTTGGAGGTCCCGGGTCTCAAGGAGGTTAGTCCAGGGCCAGAGCCTTTTCAGCTGTGGCCCCAGCCTGGTGGAATGCTCTGTCACAAGAGACATCTTTCCGCAGGGCCTGCAAGACGGAGCTGTTCCGCCGAGCCTTTGGTCTGGGCCCAGTCTGACCCCCTTCTTTCTATGGGACCCTGTATGTAAGTGGCTTCCTTGGCTCTTTCTATCGGCCCATATGGGACCAGCACGAGTGGCTGGGCCTGGTGAACTTTTAATTTTATTTTGATTTTAAATGTGATTTCAAATTGTATTTTAACTAATCATTTGATTTTGTGTTTTTAATGTATTAATATATTTGGTGTTAGCCACCATGAGCCCGGTCTTGGCCAGGGAGGGTGGGGTATTAATATTAATATTTCAAACTAACTTTTGTATTGCCACCATGCACTCCTCCTATCTTGGAAACTGTAGTTTGGTACACGCGCTGAAAATCTTCTCTTAACTTGCCAACAGGACCAGAGCCTAGCATGTAAAGAACTGCAAAAAGGGCCTCAGGTGGATCTCCCCAGAAAGGGCGTTCTCCCAGGCAGCCATAGCACCCTTCCACCCCACACAATCCCAGTATCCAGGGCTCCCTGAGAAGAAGGAATGAGTTCTGATCCAGTTTAATTCTGTAGTGTGGATTTGTCCATATTCTTACCGTCCGATTAGTGCAAATGGGCGTAAACGCATTAGTTCCACATGCAAAGAGTCTGTCCCCACCAATGAGAAGGACACGGATATAATTCTGGCACTCTTCCTAACATCAAAAAAGAAAGAGAAAACAGGATCATCAATGTCCCATAAGCAGCATATGCTAAGCAAAACCTGACCTGCTCTTCAGTATCCTATGGTATGAAACTATGTATGAAAAAAAACAGATAAACTATACCTGAAGGTGTGTGCAGATTACCTTAATTTCGCTCCATAACACACAGTTTTTTCCTCCTAGAAAGTAAGGGGAAATGTCTGTGCGTGTTATGGAGCGAATGCCTACAGATGGCGGGGGAATCTGCTGCAGTCGTGAGCAGTCCGTGGCTCGCTTTGAAACAGCAAAGCGGGTGTAAGCGGCTCCTGTCAGCTAGCGGAGCCGGGGAGGAGGGAGAGAAGCAGAGCGGGAGTTGGCTGCTTTAAAACAACCCCTGCTCTCTGTCCCTGCCTGCAGTTTTTTGCTGTCCGATTTTGGATTAGCCACTGTAGGGGCTGTGTGTGTGTGTGCTTGAGCTATCGGTCTCCTCCTCCTGCTTCCCCTTCACTCTCCCAGCGCCCTGCGACTTTAGGATTGATATTCTGTGTGTCTGTGTGTGTGTGTGTGTGTGTGTGTGTGAGGGCTCCTTCTCCTTCTCTTGCTTCCCGTTCACTCCCCCAGCGCCCCTGCGACTTCCAGCGCCCTGCGACTTTAGGGCCAGTTCTCTGTGTGTGTGTGTGTTCTGACCTCACTGCGCTTGTTGGGGGAGAGTGTTGGTCGCAATTTTTCTTGATTTGTCTCAGAGTGGTTACTATCGTGGTTTCCTTGCCGGGGAGGAGGGAGAGACGCAAAGCCTGCTTGTTTTAAAGGAGCAAAGCCGGAGAGGAGCCTCTCCTGCATTATTAGCAGCATCCTTCTCCACACCCCCCATGCGTGCTCCTTGTCCCTTGAGTGCTTTTCCTTCCCTCCCCACTTAAAACGTGGTTACAAAGCACGGATCCACATGGATCCTCAGGATTTTTGCACTGGGTCACCCCAAACTCACCGTCAGATCACATGTCTGTGGCCACAGCATGAACCACAAAAAACATACATCCACTGTTTCGTTTAGAATATTATTTTCTTGTTTTCCTCCTCTAAAAACTACGTGCGTGTTATGGTCAGGTGCGTGTTATAGAGCGAAAAATACGGTATATTTACAATCAATTCCTAATTACAAGAAACCCATTGATCCTTTTGAGAAGCTCTGCTGCATCACTTTCTCTATGCTTTGTTGTAGCAGTTGACTCAACTGTGGCAAGGGCCACTAAAAATGCAAGTAATTCAGGCTCTTTTTTCCTCCAACCTCCAACAAACAATGCAGTACTCCATTCTTTGCTGTATTGCACATTGAATTTTCTAATACTAAAATGTCACAATGGTCCTCTCTAATTCTACGATTCCTTTCGTTAAATGCGCTCACATTTTGCACCCTGTAACTCTTCCAGGCATTTTGGATTTGGTACAGTGGTGCCTCGCAAGACGAAATTAATCCGTTCCGCGAGTCTCTTCGTCTTGCGGTTTTTTCATCATGCGAAGCACGGCTATTAGCGGCTTAGCGGCTGTTAACGGCTTAGCGGCTTAAAGTAAAAGGAAACAAACTCGCAAGAACTCGCAAGACGTTTCGTCTTGCGAAGCAAGCCCATAGGGAAATTCGTCTTGCGGAACGACTCAAAAAACGCAAAAACCTTTCGTCTAGCGAGTTTTTCGTCTTGCGAGGCATTCGTCTTGCAGGGCACCACCGTATAACTCTTTGGGGCCATACTATCTCAGGTTCATAAAGGAAGCTGTATGAAGCCCACCCTTCCCCGTGAAAGAGGGAGAGATGGGGAGGGAGAAAGGGAGTATTGTGGCAAACTCAGTTATTGATATGTGGGGGTAATTTCAGAGGAACAGACACTCCTTGGAGCAGGCATTGCACCATCCACACCTGGCGATGCAGAAACTGTCAAACATTCGTAGAGTTGGTCAAAGGAATCAATCAATCTCCAAGTTTTTCTGCCTCTTTCAAAAGTATGATTCAAGGGTGCCTTGGCTGTGACTGTGCTCATAATTGTGCAGCTGGACATTTTTGTGGAGGTCAGCTTGTCCATACAAGAACTGTGTGCGTTGTGGGCAATGCCAAGGCAACCCTTTGTGGTCTATATATGCAGCTACCATTATATGTGGCATGAAACAGACCAACTGCAGTCACAGAATGCATTCAGCCCATAGCTTTGGGGTATGCAGAACAAAGAGTATTCAGATTTCTACCTTGAAGTACTATCTCAAGGGGAATTATGGATTTTATAAGATTTGTAAACGCCAAATAATCTCTGGTGTCTGTACTATATGTTGTCATGCAAGCAGGAAACAAATCTGGTAAGGCTTGTTTCTATTTTCATAGTCCTAGTGTTTTAAAATTGCATCTGCAGATTTTTAAACCTCCAGCCTGACTTTTTCCAGAAGTAAGACTGCATTATGATTGGTTGTTATAACTGCAAAGATATGCTTCCTGCTTTTATCACTCTACCCCCCTCAAAGGACTGAATTTGGAAACAACAATAAAGGTCTATTTGCTGTACCATTCAGGTGCTTCCAGCACCCCAGAAAGTCTGCAGACAAGGCTGAGTGAAATTCAGTCTGGTTACCGACTTTGTCCCAGGACCAAAGAACAAAGCCTAAGGAGTTCACTGTAACTCAAAAACATGCACCCAACATGGTATACACTAGCAGGTTCCCATAATAATATAGCTCCAACTGTTCTGCTGTGGTGTGAGAGCAACCACAGTACAAAGACTCTTGAGTGGGACTTTAAGCATGCATGCACAAAGGCGAACCCTCCAGTGCCTAAGCCTGCCAAGTGTCCATGCACTGGATGCAATATCTGCATGAGGTCTGTGTGTCTGGGTCCAAACTGGAGTTAACTCACATAGGACACTGCACAAATGTGCAATCCAGTAAGCAGATCCCAACAGGTCTTTAGGCAGGAAAGATGCACACACTGAGCAGTGTGGTCTTGTTCCTTCACTATGTACAGATGCTAACTTGATTAGAACCTTGCTTGAATGAGTCTGCAATCCTGTGAACATTTTCAAGTAAACATGTATAGGCACAAGTGGACAGATGAACTTTCTCACTCGGATCTAGGAAATTATTTAAGAAGGAGCTACTCACCTTTGATTTGCCTTTACTGTAACAAGCCTTTGTAGTAGCTTCATCACAAGACCACTCCACTCCCTAGCACACAGAAAGAAATAAAGATTAGATGCAGAAAACAACAAGCAAAATGCCCAGGAGCAAGCTTAGAGATCGTGTGTTTCCACTGAAATAAACAACAATGATTTAAAATTGCATGGGAGAGAAAATATAATGGCTGTATTTGGGCATCACGGTAAACCATAAATCATGGCTTGCTGGGCACGAGTGAATCATGACTGTTTCGCTTCTCCACACTAGCACTGGGAGCAAGCAAACCGCAAGCCCTGGCTCAGCACTGCTTCTGAACCAGAAGTCGTGGGTTGTTTGGCTCCAGATGATGGTAACTTGCAGTTTGCTTTTGGCTTAGCAATAATGGTGTGCTTCTTCTGCACGCAAGAGGCAAGGCGTGAAGCAAGTAAATTCATTCACGCACAGGATGACGAAAGACCAAAATATAACTATGGAGAAATTAATTCAGGGCCACACGTAGCCACATTTGTTCACCTGTTTCCCTTGTTCATGTATGAGGTGTGGCTGGGGTGGGTGTGGGGTTCAGGGTCTTGTTTCAACATCAAAACCCTTAATGTGCTGAACAAGCACATTAAGAAATAAACATGTTTTTTATTATTTAGAATGGCCAAAATGTTTACGTGTTTATTTAAAAAATCTGTATGCTGCCATTCACCAAATGATTTCAAGACAGGACAGCATACTAAAAACCATGAAATACTATAAATAACAAATAAACACCATAAGGGATTAAAACAAAACATGAGAATGCAGGATGGATAAAGACGCACATTAAAATCAAAGACATTTTAAAGACCCAGGTGGAAAAAAGCAGTACCTTGAAAGCCAGGGAGATGACCGCAATTTAGGTTATATAGGGCATTGCTGGGAAACCTCCAACGGGTCATTTCCCCCAAACCACGTCCCCCTGCTCTACATCTGACATCATATAAGGTAAGGCTCCCTGTTGAAAGCAGAATTTGCAGGAGCCTCTGATCAGCTGATGCCTGCAAATCTTTGTATCTTTGCCTGTGCAGTATATTGATTTCTGCAGTACTGCTGTTGAAGTCACAGAGTAGGCCATTTACCTCCCTGTTCTATGGACAACCTTTGAACATTCATTCTCTGCATTCCTTGCAACCAAGTCAGTGTTTATGTGAACCTAACCAGTGTGATGTCATAGTTAGAGCACCAAACGAGGACTGAGGAGAACGGTGTTCAATTCTCTCTCTCCTGAACCATGAAGCTCACTGAGTACCTTTGGAGCAGCCAGCAACACTCACCCCACTTCACTGGGTTGTGAGGATAAGATAGGGAGAAGATAGTATGTGTTGCCTGGAGGATATAAATATTATATTTATATTTATATATTTATTTTCAGGGTTTCATTTTCCTCTCTAAAAAACCTTACACTATTCAGTCAGATATTAAAAGTACATAAAATTAGTATATTATTAATTATTTATCAATAATGCATTCTTAATGTATCATTCTATATGATTAGAACTTCCAAATTATACTAAAGATTATTATACTAATAATCCAAATTATACTAAATCCCTATGTGGGACTGATATACCACTGTACTGCTTGACAAAGGGGAGAGTTGAAGGAAGAGTTGAAGTCATCAATTCTTTGTCTGCTGAGGGACCAGTTTCCATGGAGACACAGCCGTCAGCTGAGACAGACTGGAAGAGGGAGGGAGACCCACAAGATGCTTCTCCTTTCCAGGCATGGGCTGGAAATCTGTAGAACCTTTGCAAGTTTTCACTTGACTTGGCTAGTGCAATTGCCTCTACCTGACTTCAGCAACCCTACAATTGGCACAGAAACTAGAGCTGTGACTTCTTGATTCTTGTTTAAATAAATTCCCAAAGCCAAGAATCAACACTTGGCACATAGCATCATGCAAGCAGCTTTTCTTGGAACCTGTACTTAGTTTGCTGTGAAATAATAGGCGGGGGGCGGGGAGTATTTAACAGCAGGGATAATAGCTCAAAGATAATGTGATTTTCCAAACTTTCTACTGTCAAGCAACCTTGTTCACATTGACTCGCATGCAAAGTAATCAAGCTGTGATTGTCCCATGTGTTGGAGAAACTGCCCCATAATATTCCACATTTCAGAAGGAATTGGTCCTGATTTATCACTGCATCTGAAAGAAACTCATTGATGTGCTTCATTGTAAGTCGGGGAAAGTGTTTCCTGTGGTTTGGAGAGGGCTCGCCCTGAAATGTCAGCGCATCATTTTAAAAAAGTCTCCTTGAATCAGGGAGGGGAACAGCAAATTCTGGAAGCATATTAAAAGCAGACTTTCAGATAAAAGTCAACAACTTCACGGTTGCGGGTTCGTCGGGGAAGGAGTAGGACGTGTACCTTGCGGCTGATAGGAGCGGAATTGTTTTTAAAGGCTCCGTTCCTGAAAGTGTAAAAAAGTGAAGGGAAATGGCCAAGCATACCAAGCAGCATAGCTGTCAAGTGTCCCTTATTTGGCGGGACAGTCCCTTATCCCAGCGCCATGTCCTGCTGCTGTCCCTTATTGATGATGTCCCTTAAATAAGCTACTGAAGGTAATGGGGCCCTTTCTATGTCCAGCTGTGCTTTGTCAACAACAAATTGTTGCTGTTTTTTTTGTGTTGAATATATGCTATATGGTAATTTATGGACCTAATGGGTATCTAAAGCCATTTGCACGCAACAAAATATGTATTTTATCAAAGTAATTGTTGATCCCTTAGTTTGGCTGCTGATCCCTTATTTTCAAATCTGTAAGTTGACAGCTATGCCAAGCAGACTGCCCGTACGTCCACTGGTGGCAAAGCTCCACGTAAACAGCTGGCTACCAAAGCTGCTTGGAAAAGCGCTCCCTCTACTGGTGGAGTCAAGAAACCTCATTGCTACAGGCCTGGTACTGTGGCGCTGCGAGAGATTCGTCGTTACCAAAAGTCCACGGAACTTTTGATGCGCAAGCTTCCGTTCCAGAGGCTGGTAAGGGAGATGGCTCAAGACTTCAAGACAGACTTGAGGTTCCAGAGTGCAGCCATTGGTGCTCTGCAAGAGGCTAGTGAAGCAAATCTGGTGGGTCTCTTTGAAGACACGAACCTGTGTGCCATCCATGCCAAGAGAGTCACCATCATGCCCAAAGACATCCAACTGGCTCGTAGGATATGGGGGGAGAGGGCTTAAGAGGAGGAAGTTTTTATGGTGTTTTGTAGTAAATTCTGTAAAATACTTTGGTTTCAATTTGTGACCTTTTTTTGTATGAAATTGTTTATAATATGTTACATTTGTACTTAAATCATTCCATCTTTCACCCAGGATGAATGCTAAAAGTGACTGTTCACATAAAAACGCAGTGATGTGAGCTTTGTTGCTCAACAGTGACAAGTTGCTAATATGCAGACGGGATGGGTGATCTTTCTTGCTTTTCATGCATGTTTCTGTATGTTAATAACTTGTTGGGTAGCTAAAATTGTAAGGTACTAGAATTGATATAAATGTGTACAGGGTCTTTTTGCAATAAAACTGTTTATAAGGTAAAGGGACCCCTGACCATTAGGTCCAGTTGTGACCGACTCTGGGGTTGGGGCGCTCATCTCGCTTTACTGGCCGAGGGAGCCGGCGTATAGCTTCCGGGTCATGTGGCCAGCATGACTAAGCCGCTTCTGGCAAAGCAGAGCAGCACACGGAAACGCTGTTTACCTTCCCGCCGGAGCGGTTCCTATTTGTCTACTTGCACTTTGACTTGCTTTCAAACTGCTAGGTTGGCAGGAGCAGGGACCGAGCAACGGGAGCTCACCCTGTCGCGGGGATTCGAACCACTGACCTTCTGATCGGCAAGTCCTAGGCTCTGTGGTTTAACCCACAGTGCCACCCGCGTCCCTAAAACTGGTTACAACTTGATCCAAAAAAAAAAAAAAAGGCAACAAATTCTTAATTCAGGGCAAGCATACAAATAACCAGATTTAAACAATTATTTAATTCTGGTTCTTTTATTTTCTTGATTATGATTACTGGATTATTTATACAGTGGTACCTCATGTTACAGACGCTTCAGGTTCCAGACGCTTCAGGTTACAGACTCCGCTAACCCAGAAATACTACCTCGGGTTAAGAACTTTGCTTCAGGATGAGAACAGAAATCATGCTCCGGCGGCGCAGCAGCAGCAGCAGGAGGCCCCATTAGCTAAAGTGGTGCTTCAGGTTAAGAACAGTTTCAGGTTAAGAATGGACTACCGGAACGAATTAAGTTCTTAACCCGAGGTACCACTGTACAGTCAAACCTTGGTTGTCAAATGTAATCTGTTCCGGAAGACCTTTCAATTTCTGAAACGTTTGACAACCGAGGCGCGGCTTCCGATTGGTTGCCAGAGCTTCTTGCACTCAAGCAGCGAAAAACATGTGTGTGGGAGGCAGACCCCAGAGACAGCTCTTGAGGTTTGTTACAGTCTTCAACTGGCCTTTGTCTTTGCTTTGATCTGCAGCAATTAGCAGGTGATAGCATGTATCTCCGTGCTATGAAAATGTTCACCTGCTAATTGCTGAAGATCAAACACTTTTAAAAGACACAGGAACCAGGGCTGGTTGAAAAGTTGACAACCGTGCCCTGTTCTGTTTCAGGACTTCTGATCTTCACTGTTCCACATGGTTAGGACTAGAAATCAGATAGATCGGCTTTTTCCTGCTTAACCTGCTTCCCAATTCAGTGAAATGCCAGATTTCAACATGAAAAGTTTGGTCCAGCTCTAGTATACACTCTTGCCTTCTGTCTCCTGCTTTTCCCCAAACCCCTGCCTGCTCTAAGCACCAAATTCAGTTAACAGCAAGCCTGGTTCGTTTCTTTGTTTTTTGGTTTTTTTACCACCAGAAAAATACACATTTTACAGAGTAACATAAAGAAAAGGAGGGGGGGGGAGACAGAAGCAGATCTCTGCCCCAAGGAGCTTACAATCTCAGTTTAGACAGAGGAGAAACGAAGGAAGGAAAGAAAAAGGTAACTGGATGAATGGAAGAATATAACTGAAGGCAGTTCAGTGGGTGGAGTCCAGCAAGTGGAGGCTATTTATTTATTTATTTTTATTTAATATTTACAATACACTTATACCGAAGTATACAACACCACCACACTTAAACTTATAAGTATTGTTTAGGCACCTACTTAGGAGAAACATCAGTCATGTCAAAGGTGCCGCTGACCCCGCTGCCGCATAGCACCTCAATACAATACGTAACACAATATTTTAATGTAAGAGTTAATTTCGTGCGCATAGCGCCGTTGAGTCTGACAAGCCCCACTGTTGTGAATGACAAGCGCTGCCGCTGGCACGGCGTGTCTTTGGTAAATGACCGCAGAAAGACGAAAGTCTTTTGGTGAAACAGTACGTATACATTTCAGTAATACTTAGGTATATATGTATTTTGTTTTTCTAGCTTAATCAAAATTATTTATTACTTCATAACAGGTAGATAGTTAAGAGCTTAGGCGGCTTCAGCGGTGGGCGTCCCCCAGAATTCAGCGCCCGGGTGCCCCGCACCCCTTGCACCCTGGGTAAAGACAGCCAAGCCCATAGGAGCTTTGGAGGAAGAAGAAGGAGGAGTTTGTGTATGAATGAAGTATTGCGCTGTTACACCCATTATGACACACACCAGACAGATACAGCAACAGCATCTACCATCGCAACCACTTCATACCAACAGAAATACATCTCTTTTGAGCCCCTTCCAACTCCACAATCCTGTGACTCTATGAACTTCTATAAACTAAAAACAGAAAACAAACAGAAAAGAACAAAACAAAATTCCAGACAGATGGCAGAGCATGCCTTAGGCAGATGGCTCTGGTAATTAGACACTGGCAAAATATATTATTTCCAAAGGTGGTTGGATTACACCGCCTCAGAAAACAGCTACATAATTTCATAATTCCATTTAGTTGCGTTTTTACTATTGTTATCTGTTTGCCTTCACATCTTATGCCATGTATTCAAACACCATGTTTTTCAAAGGTGCAATGCAACCAAGAATATAATTTGACAGAACAAAATGACAGTAATCAGTGCAGGCTTCAGGTTTGCAGGGCTGGTGAAGGGGGGCTCTGGCAAAAACCGTCATCCTCCACCCCAGGAGTTTGCTAGCTGATCAGGGAGAGAGAGGCAGTGGGGAAGCAGCTTCTCCCTCGCTGCCATTGCTACTCACTTGCTCCCCCCTCCAGGCCTGGGTTTGGTGAGCACATGGGCAATGACAGCCAAAGGAGGAGAAGCATCAGGGGCAGAAGGTCCTTGGCAGAGAGCCTCTGCCAACCTCTGACAGACACAGATTGACCGTACCCATGCAACAATGGAATAGCATCACTGTGCATCGTCCCAAGATGTGTTAGTTGTTGTAGCTACTGACTCATAGTCAGGGAACGGAGTTTATTGCTTACTGAAGGAACCAGGGGCGTTTTACCCACAGAGGCTAGTGGCGCGGGGCACCAGGGCGCCACGTTCTGGAGGGCACCAGGGAAGAGGCGGAGGCTGGACGCGGCGCCTCCCGGCATCAGCTCACCGCCGAAGCAGTGCCGCACCCGGCGCCTCCTTCTGCCGTGGCCACCACAGCACAAAGCAGCCAGTTGAGCCGGGAGGCACCATGTCCAGCCTCTTCCCTGGCACCCTCCAGAACCCTGGTGCCGCCCTCCAGCCGCTGCCTGCCACCTCCAGCCCCACCGGCAGAGCCATTCTCCCTAAACGGGGAGGGGGGAGTGGGCGCTGGAGGGAGCTATGCACCATGGCGCCGGATATGCTTAAGACGGCCCTGGAAGGAACACATGTGAACATGAGAACTGCCTTGCTAGATCAACTCCAGTCATTTCTCCAACAACTGCAAGACAAGACAGCTCTTGAAACTTAGAATCATAGAATCATAGAGTTGGAAGAGACCACAAGGGCCATCGAGTCCAACCCCCTGCCAAGCAGGAAACACCATCAGAGCACTCCTGACATATGGTTGTCAAGCCTCTGCTTAAAGACCTCCAAAGAAGGAGACTCCACCACACTCCTTGGCAGCAAATTCCACTGTCGAACAGCTCTTACTGTCAGGAAGTTCTTCCTAATGTTTAGGTGGAATCTTCTTTCTTGTAGTTTGGATCCATTGCTCCGTGTCCGCTTCTCTGGAGCAGCAGAAAACAACCTTTCTCCCTCCTCTATGTGACATCCTTTTATATATTTGAACATGCCTATCATATCACCCCTTAACCTCCTCTTCTCCAGGCTAAACATGCCCAGCTCCCTTAGCCGTTCCTCATAAGGCATCTTTTCCAGGCCTTTGACCATTTTGGTTGCCCTCCTCTGGACACGGTCCAGTTTGTCAGTGACCTCCTTAAACTGTGGTGCCCAGAACTGGACACAGTACTCCAGGTGAGGTCTGACCAGAGCAGAATACAGTGGCACTATTACTTCCCTTGATCTAGATGCTATACTCCTATTGATGCAGCCCAGAATTGCATTGGCTTTTTAGCTGCCGCGTCACACTGTTGGCTCATGTCAAGTTTGTGGTCAACCAAGACTCCTAGATCCTTTTCACATGTACTGCTCTCAAGCCAGGTGTCACCCATCTTGTATTTGTGCCTCTCATTTTTTTTGCCCAAGTGCAATACTTTACATTTTTCCCTGTTAAAATTCATCTTGTTTGTTTTGGCCCAGTTCTCTAATCTGTCAAGGTCGTTTTGAAGTATGATCCTGTCCTCTGGGGTGTTAGCCACCCCTCCCAGTTTGGTGTCATCTGCAAATTTGATCAGGATGCCCTTGAGTCCATCATCCAAGTCGTTGATAAAGATGTTGAATAAGACCGGGCCCAAGACAGAACCCTGTGGCATCCCACTAGTCACTCTTCTCCAGGATGAAGAGGAACCACAAGCAGAGCACAAGGGTTATGGCCAAGCCGAGGTTTAATTTAGCAGTAGTGGTTAACAGCAGTAACAGCTTCATCCTCCATTTAAAGCCATTCTGCTGCCTCCTGTGTCTCTCATGGGGACAGAAGATTCTTCAATCCAGTGGAGGTTTTACTCAGTGGAAAGGAGACTGAGGTGAGTTTTGTCAATTGGTTCTCTCCTCTGCAAGTCCCCCTTCCCTCTGAATCTTATGTGCTGTTCTGAAGGGTCCCCCATTCAGGAATAGATGGGGGCTGCAGTGAGGACAAACTGGAGAAAATCTCCTCCTTCCTGGTTCTGCTAAAGCTTCTGCTGGATCAAAGTGTCTTCTGTCAGCAGACGGTCACCACTGTATGCAACCCATTTAGCTAGTGGCGACTTGTCACATCTAGCCAGACCCCCAAAAGGAGTTACAGTGGTGCCCCGCAAGACGAATGCCTCGCAAGACGGAAAACCCGCTAGACGAAAGGGTTTTCCGTTTTTGAGTTGCTTCGCAGGACAAATTTCCCTATGGGCTTGCTTCGCAAGACGAAAATGTCTTGCGAGTCTTGAGATTTTTTTCCGCTCCCCCCCCCCTTTTCTAAGCTGCTAAGACTTTAATAGCCTTTTAGCAGCTAATCCACTAAGCCGATAAGCCTTTAATAGCCGCTAAACCGCTAATAGCGCTAATCCGCTAAGCCGCTAATAGGGTTGCTTCGCAAGACGAAAAGACCGCTAGACGAAGACACTCGCAGAACGGATTAATTTCATCTTGCGAGGCACCACTGTATGCACTTGAGACTGGTGAGACTTTGCAAAATAGGGTGGCATGAGCAAGTTCTTTTTACCAGTTCCAAAATACTCTCCCTAAGACCTGGAAGAAGTGCTGCTTTCTCTGTCGCAACAGCTCATGAGGAAGAAAGGAAAATATCACAGCCCACGTTCAGAGAACCTGCGACGTTCTCTAGCTGCATGGTAATCTCAGAGGGAGAGAAGCCACTGCCTGAGGAGTCCTCCCAGACTACCCAGGCCAGAGGATGCACTATTGTCAGACTCCATCAGATCCTCCAAGTGTCCCTCGTTTACAGGGACAGTTCTGGATTTACAGAAACTGTCCCGGTTTCTGATTTGATCCCGGAATGTCCCCCTTTTCCTTAGAACATCCCTATTTTCATTGGAGTAATGTTGGAGGGTATGGAGTTATCTGACCCCCGAGCCATCTGAAGGGAAGTTTTTTAATGTCTGGAAGTTTTTTAATGTTTAATGTTTTATTATGTTTTTATATATGTTGGAAGCCACTGTGAGTGGCTAGGGCAACCCAGTCAGATGGGTGGGATATAAATAGTAAAGTTGCTGTTGTTGTTATGGACGCCTCTATTTTCGTCACAGAAATGTTGGAGGGTTGTCAGCTGAGGACACCCCTCACTTCCTCCAGCCTGCAGGAGGCAGCTTTTACAGAATAGGGCGATGGCCCTTTAAAAGAACAAACCATTCTCCTGAAGGGGTAGAGCAAATGCAGGTGGCTCCGGCCAGCCAACCAGCTTTTATATGACTTCAGGATGCTCTTGAGGTAGCAGCTCTCCTGTCTAAGACGTAGTCAAGATGACTGAGACCAGGACAGGCAACATGGCAGCCTGCAGGTATTTTGGACTACAACTCCCATTATCCCCGATCATTAGTCATGATGGCTGGGGCTGGAGGGCACCATGTTGAGAACCCCTGACCTGACTCTGTAGGACATTCCGAGTTCTGCCTGGATATGCCATTACTAGAACTTTTGTGTGCAGTGCATATGCTCTGCCAGCCAGCAATGGTCCTTCCTCTTTCTCATTCCTCATAATAATTCACATGGTGGTTGTCTTTAAAAAAACACACACAAAAAACAGTACTGCACATATTTTCATGGAGCAGCCCCCCCAGAAGCCAGCATCCCTCCCAGCTCCTCTGAGCAGCCTGCATTTAAAGTTACTTTTTCAAACGGTTATGGTACCAACACATGGCAGCTGAGGGCATCTTAAGAGATGCAATGAGCATTATTCAAAACACTATTGAGAAGCAATTATGAGAAAATTCTTCAAGCTGTGTCAAAATGCGCTCAAACAAATTTGGCATTTATTTCCAGCCGTACCCTTTAGCAATGCTTGGCAGGATTTTTGGAATAATGCTGTCGAACTGGTAACATGTACTGTGGTCTTCTGTCAGACAAATTCTGTAATCAAACTGAGGCAGAACTGAAAGGATAGTGGTGCATGCTTTAAAATAAAAGCCAGAGTGTGTATGATATCAATAGCTGAAGAATCTATATGGATGGCTGTAGAGAAAGGTTAGTGAAATATATAATGTGTTGTGCTATGCAAGCAGTCTTGCAGGGAACCTGGCATTACAGCAGATAAATAACTGTCAGGCCAAAAATCCTATGAATTTTAGTTTCTACATTTCTGTTTATTACAATTATAATTCCAACCTCTTTGAACTTCAGTCCTTGGTAAGTAGCACATAGCTGCATTTGTTCTTACCTGTGCACACATTTAAAAGACATGTGGACATGCATGAATATTACCCATAGATTTATAACTCAGTCCTGTACATGCCTAATCTCCAGTAATACCCATTAATTTCACTCGTCTCTCTCCTAGGCAAGTATCTATGGGAAGCACTGGTAACCACACAACAAAAATTTTTGCCTGGCAAAGGGTGAAGCCGCCCTCAATAAATACCCCATATATGCTAGTATTTCAACTTCACTCACCATTAACCTCATTAATGCAGGGAGTAAAACACCTGCACGGCTATAGTGCATGACCGTGTGCCTCCTTCTCCCCCTTTCTAAAAAAAATTGTAGGTGGTTAATTTGGACACATTGTGCCCCAAGCGCACAGTGAAAATGGCCCTGAGTAGGCAGACAGACCAAGTTCCTCTTGTAGCGGGGGTGGCTTCTAATATAAAGGCCTTTGGCTGCCAAGGCAAGCAGGTGTTTTGCATGTTTTTTAAAGGCATCTTTACAAGATGGACTATAAAGGCAATTCAGTAATAGCTGAAACCCTCTGTGCAATAGGAATACAAAATACAAAATGCAGACTCAGGTAGGGATCATACGCACAATTAGTTTCCATGATTATGCTTAGCTTATGGGGAATTTCTGTTCCCCACAAGCAAAGAGTTGAATGCCATCCACGTCATGGCTTCACAAATTAAGAGCCAATTTATATGTTAGATTTTGAAGATAATTCACACATGACCTTTTTAGGTTAAGAGGAACATGTTTGGGAAAGTATTAAACACAAGGGCGTATTAGCAAAGAGCCAGGATTGGCTATAGTTCTCTCTGACATACTTGGTTGCCAGCCCAGGTTTTCTGTCAAATAATGTGTGGCAGAGGTGCTAAGTTGAGCCTAACATGGGGAGGGGGGGAGGCACGCAATACAGGTGCGCTGGGCTCCTCAAAGAGTTGCACACACACACACACACACACACACACACACACACACCTTACCTGGCTGCATAACATATGGAGCTAAGACATAATTAAACCTTATCTATCTATAAGAAATGTAAATACAAACCATCAGCAGTAGCAACCATATTGTGCATGTACAAGTCATGGTAGATACATTTGTATATAGATCACTGTAGGTTGTACCCACTTCAGACTGCAGGTGGGAATTCACTTGATGAAATGCCCTTCCGTACCAGAGAGAGAGAGAAAACCCTCTGCATAGAAAACTAGGTATCAAGGACAGAAGGCAGCAGAACCACATGCTCATAGTCCCTGAAATGCTAATTGCTAGAAGAAAGATGTATTAAAATAAGCCTACACAACTTGTCCCAAAAAGCTGTTCTGAGATTTATTTTAAAATACTGTATAGTGAGAAATAAAATATACAAGAGAAGCCAACTGTGCGGATAAAATTCAATAAAAATGCTTTAAAGGGGACAAAAGAAGGGGGAAACAAAACAAAAGTCAATTGCACCATTTGACATCCTGAAGCTTTTTCACATCTTCACTGAAAACGTTTTAATGTCCATTTGTTTTGCTTCTTTTTTAAAAGGGGGGGGTAAAAGTTAACTGCTTACCTGGATGAGAGAAAGATCCTCACTATGTAGCCTGAAGAGGTAGTTTCTAAAAGAGGGAAAGGAGAAATGGCATCAGTTATGCAGGTGAACCAGGAGACCATGGTTCTTGGATATTCTTGATTTAGAAGCTTAAAAGCCTTTGTCACAGTAAACCTGGATTTGCCACTGACAGTGCACTTGACAAATAGCTGCAGCCGCCCCTAGCTCTTCAATAAGGAGTAAACCTATATAATGTATCTGTTAACCACACATTGTGTTTAGCTTAGCAGAACCAGGAGTTTGGAAGATTTCCTATTGAAATCAAACAAGCCCCTGCAATTTTGGAAATCTACTGCCTGCTGAAAACGTTTCTATTCTGCAAAGAAGTGTTGGCCACTTGTTCTGTATTTCATTATCTTATAGTTTTATGATGTTTCATGATTTTATTGTACACTGCCATGGTATTTTTCAATGAGTTGTCAATTTAGAAATACTCTGACAGAGAAATAAAACGTTTCAAAACTTGTTTGTATTGTTAGGCGTTTCTAAGTGTACACTGAAGGTTGTCGAAAGCAGAGATGTTTGATAATTTTACTGTAGGTATCTTACCTTAAGCAACTTAGGATATGAGATCTACATTTTCTTTCTTAGTTTCTCTAAAGTTTACTCCCACTGGCATTTTGAGTGACTAGGAGGAGGATATACAAATATCTGTGTGTCAGTTATATATCAAATATTTAACTCTATAGACTCTTGACATGTGGAGCATAGACAGAGAGGAAGTCCCAGAGCCCAGGGTTGGATTCAAATAGCACTAAGTAGGAATGACCTAGGCTTGTACAATGTGACTCTCCTCCCCTACATCTTCCCCTTCAGGAGCAGTTTTGGGGACAGTGGGGGGTGCAGGGAGAGAAGGGGAAGGGAAGGGGAAGTCCCATTGCACAAGCAGAAGTCTCTCTGTGCAATTATTTGGTTGAATACTGCAAAGGTCCTTTAAGGACCTTCCTTCTTTTCTTTCTTAATCTACAGGAGCTCATCTTTTCATACATTTTACATGAATATTTCTGTAGACTTTCCTGCAGCAAGCACAAAAATAAAATATTCCTTTAGTCAGCAACTAGATTTGCAGGAGAAGCTTGATAAAGATGGGATGAAAGTTGTTGGAGCACCTTCCTCTCTCCAAAGTGGACTGTCAGTGACTATCGGCTCAACCCTACATATCTTGCTTCTGAGTTGGCCAGATAATAGTCCTCAGAGAAGGGCAGTTTGGCCTATGGGCCTTCAGCTGCTTATCCCTAATTTATGCAGAATGGAAACCCCGTTTTAGGAATTGCAAGGCTGAAGGTTTTTTTCAGTTGGACAGCCTCTCTCAGATTGCCTTCCTGTAGCAGCAGAGCATCTGCTGTTTTCTATTTGAGAAAAATGAAGAGCCAGCCAGGAAGTAACGACCTTCCTTTCCTACAGTAGCTCATTGTCAAAAACTTCTTTGAAATTTTCACCCTCACTACTGTGATCTCCATTATTAAAACTCCTATCTCTCTCACACACACACATTTCCTCTGACAGCATCAAATCTGCAATGTGTAAAGACAGGACATCTCTAATGCAGCCATGAAGACCTTCTTATACAGGCATCCATATTCCAGTGGCACTTTGGATCTCCCATTTCCAACTCTCACTCGCTCTTGGTTACAAACTTTAATGAAACATCATAAAAATAAATGTACTGTTGTGGCTGCTGGCTAACCATTATTTTTGTTAGGTGGTTGCTGGGTAACAGCCCAAGATAATCTGTTAGTTTCATTAATTAACATGAATATCAGAAGGTGGTCTTTATAAAATCTGTAATAGGAGTTAGGGAGGTTTTTTCTGACTTTGAAAACTATTCAAATTCAGGTTTGGCCATCATCTTGAACAACTGTGGCAATGATTAATGAGAGGAACTATTGCTATCTCAGTACCTATGAAACCAAATTTGAATTCATAAATTATTTTTAAGAGGCATTGCAATAACCTAAAAAATTCCTTCACCTTTTGATGAGCAGCTGTTCCATTGTTTGAAGCCGTAAGGATTTAGAAACAAAAAACCAAAGCAACCTGCTTCAGCCCAGATCTGAAAAACCATATTTTTCTTCTCTGCAGAACCAAACCACCACCACCTCCACAGATCTCTTTTGGTTGTTTTTACAGCCAGGGCATGGGTGGTAGAGCTATATCAAAGGCAAACCAGGAGAGTACAAGCTGGGGAGGATTCATGGAGTATCAGGGCGGAGCAGGCGGAAAAATCAGCAAGCAGGTTCATGGCACATTCCAGGAGTTCCAAGTGAGAGCTTTTCAGCAGCCTGCTAACATTCTCTTCCTACTTCCTTCTAGAGGGGCTGGTAGGAGCATAGCTGTCAACTTTTCCCTTTTCTTGCGAGGAATCCTATTCGGAATAAGGGAATTTCCCTTTAAAAAAGGGAAATGTTGACAGCTATGGGTAGGAAGCTCAAATGAACTGGCATTGAAAGGCAGGACTGGGCTAAGGAGCAATGTTCACCAATTTGATCAGAACTGAATTTTAACAAACGTAAGAAAGAACTTTCATCCATGCACACTGCAGGTGGTGACATGACATGTTTTATTTAAGTTGCATTGCTTCATCAAAACAAAAACAACACTTTGGGGGTTCGCTGTTTCAATTTTTTGGGCAACTAATAAAACAAACCACCAGTCATCATCTAAGCCACTTCCTTAAAGCAGTATTATTATAGCTCAGTCTGACCCCAGAAACCCAGGACAGTCAACATCTGTAGATAGCTGGAATCAAAAGCAGGATAATAAAAAGGGCAAAAATATTGCATGCTTAGGGCCACAACAGTTGTATCCCAAATTAAGATATTGCTGGGCAAGTTTAAGCATGTTTGACTCTTAACTGTTTGCAAGATTTGTTCGTTGGGCTGATTTGAAACTAGTAAATTCTAGGCTCATAGCAGAGTGTCAAGATGCACTCTACTGCTAAAAAAATCCACTCTTGACAGAAATACAAAGAGCAGTAACAGACAGTGCTTTAACCTGTTGTGAGTCAGCTTCACAATTTGCATGAAAGGGAGAAACACCCACAAATCAAATGCTAATTCAGCCACTCCCTTCCTTACTGTAACAGTCTAACCAGAACTGTATAATATGATTCTCTTGGCTGCATCACTGAGCTTCAAGTCCTAAACACTGCAAGGATTGCAGAATCTAGTTTTCTTAAAAAAGTGGTTACCAAGTATCACAGCTAATTTTGAAGTCCATAGCTTGTTCACATGTTAAGGTAAAAGTAAAGGTACCCCTGCCCGTACGGGCCAGTCGTGACCGACTCTGGGCTTGCGCGCCCATCTCACTTAAGAGGCCGGGGCCAGCGCTGTCCAAAGACACTTCCAGGTCACGTGGCCAGCGTGACAAAGCTGCTCTGGCGAGCCTGCACCAGCGCAGCACACGGAAACGCCGTTTACCTTCCCACTATAAAGTGGTACCTATTTATCTACTTGCACTTAAGAGTGCTTTCGAACTGCTAGGTGGGCAGGAGCTGGGACCGAACGACGGGAGCTCACCCCGCCGCGGGGATTCGAACCGCCGACCATACGATCGGCAAGTCCCAGGCGCTGAGGTTTTACCCACAGCGCCACCCGCATCTCTTGTTCACATGTTACATGGATATAAATGATGCATTTTAATCAAATATGCATTCAAACAAGAAAAATTAGCCATCTGATAAGAGAGAATTTTTAAAAAGCATTGTCTCACCTTGCTCCAACAACAAGTTCTTTTTGTCTTGGATCAAATGTTATCTGAGAGAAGTCGACAGCATTTTCTGCTCTGAATACATGTAACCAAGGAGCAATCTCTATACAAACATAAATTTGATAAATACATAAAATCAGATTATTAGCATTAAAAATATTTAGCATTTACATAGATTTTTCAATGCTATCAAGGAACTTTGCCTATCTTATTTCATGAATCCTTACAACAGCCTTGTAAGCTGCTGTTTCTTTAGGATAGTGCTAGCCTAAGGCAGTCCTTTGACTGAGAGGTTTCCAGGCACAGACTCATGTGCTTCTTTCTGTCCATTTCTCCTCAGAAGAACTGGAGGTGGTTTCAAGATTCACACGTTTCCTGGTTTTGCATGAACCTGGTCCCCTTATATAGCTACCTGGAAAAGCAACTTCAAGCTATGGTTGTCAACTGTATGGTTTAGGGTGGATTTATGGTTCATGTAGGTGCACATGCATTGTGAAAATATGGTGTTAAGGTTATCAGACCTCCCCATGTCCCGGGACAGTTCCCAGATTTACAAATCTGTCCCCAGACAAAATCCATCCCCGGATTTCATTTAATGTCCCTGGATTTATATTTTAAGTGTTGCAGATTTATTAGTAGGGAATGAATGTTGCGTGATTGGTTCAACGGCACAAGACACATCATATGGGGACTTCTGGCAAGGCAAAATGGCGGGCGCCACGGCAGCAAGCAGCTCCAGAAGCCAGCCAGAGTCAACTGTGCTACCGCTGCTGCTGCCACTGCCAAGCGGGAACTGGGGACGCCGGGTGCATCAACTTGGAGAGCCACTAACCGCCCCCCCCCCGCAACCCAAATCAAGGGGCCAGGAAAACCATGGAGCCGACGCAGGGAGAAGGGGGAAAGGAGGAGGAGGAGGAAGAGAGAGAAAGAGGAAGGAGAAAGAAGAGGGGAGCCCTGACCTTGCCGCGCCACCGCCGCTGCTGAGGAGGAGAGGTAGGAGAGAGCACTGGGAGGGCAAGGGCACGTGACCAAGCCCAGACCCAACCCGAGAGAGCAGGCAGGGGCCCCGAGGAAGGCCAAGCAATAGAGGAGAAATATTACATTTTTATAATGTTAACGAAGAAGAAGCCATTTGCGTTCATGTAAATGCAATACAGTCCAGAGTTAACACAGATTGGTGTTCCTGCTTTCCTTCAGTTGCCCAAGGCAATATTTGCTTTTGTCCTTCTTATTATGTGTTTTGTATTCCAACTGAAGTTGAAAAGTGTCCCCGGATTCACTGGAAAAAAATCTGGTAACCTTAGTCATGGTTCTCATACACCCTTTAGGCAATTCAATGAGAATGCAAGGAACTGGGTTTTCATTTTTTAAATGGAAAGGCCAACCATGTAACAATCAGAGGAGAGAATAAGAACAGACAAAACCCCCTTAGCAAGGGGGGGACATTTAGCAAGAGGACATGGTTTGTAAAATTACAGTGAGCAGGTTTTGGAGGGGTGTAAACAATAAAAACAACACTAGTAGAGATGAAACAGAAGTTGCAGCTGAAGACTGTGACCAGTCAAGACATTCAATAAATTTAGATGAAAGAGAGGGGAAGATAGCAAGAATGAAAGGATCAGTGAAAACAGGGAATATTGGAGATTGCTTACAGTTAAAAGGCACCCAAACAGACAAAAAGAGAAAAGGTTAAAATATAAGAGGAGAGCAGCAGGGTCAACTGACACCAAAAAATCAATAGGATTCAGAACATAGGAAGAGCCCTGCTAGATCTGACCAGGCACATCCTGCCCATTCTCCGCTTCACACAGTGGCCAGTCCCTGGAATGCCTCAAGAGAACAAGGAATGAGCTGACCATTACTTTTAAGAAAGGAAAGAGGAGGAGACATCAATGGAAGGTAAGTGGTGGGGGTGATAAGGGAGGCAAGAAGATGAGACACATGAAGATGATGAAGAAGAAACAAGAAGAGATGAGTCAAGAGTGTGGTAGACATCATTGCTACCTTCCTGCACTCAGCTACATTCCTAGGTTTTTCTGTTTTGTTTTTGTTTCTTTGCTGGGCCTGCTGTTTTTTTCTGTCTTTCATGAAACTAAAAACAAATATATTTTTAAAAAAGAAAGGAAGGAAGGAAGGAAGGAAGGAAGGAAGGAAGGAAGGAAACTTTATGCATAAAATAGTCAGCAGACAGGGGGAGAAAATTACATGGAAGAAGAAGGGCTGGGAAAGGAGATGAGAATTAATGTGGGGGGGGGATACAAGAAAGAGGAAAGGATTGATGGAGGGGGGAAAGAGTGAAAGAAAAAAAATGCAGTTGAGGGAAACGCAGAGATTAAAAATGAAGAAAAAGCAAATGAGAACGAGGTTTCTGCCAAAGATGCTCAAAGCTGCAAGAGATCACAATGGGTGAGGCAGTCATGAGCAGAACCTTGAACTGTGCTCTGCAGGATGCATTTATTCAGTGCATTGACAAAATAGTTAAGACACCCCCCCCCCCGAGGAGATGAGCTGGTGATGCTCTGCCCCAGCTGAAGCTTCTAAGCAATCTTTGAGGCATGTGGTACTTGAAGAGTATGTGGACGCAATCTTCTCAATCTGCTGTTTCCCCCTCTAATTTTCTTGTGGCATCCATTTATATTCCACTCCTGCTTTATCTGTTATTGTTGTTATTGTGTTTTTTGGTTGTTTTTAAAATAAAGCTGGAAATTGAGCGTGGATGTTCTGTAACGCCAAGAAACTGAAGTGAAGTGGAAAGCTAATGCTTGGCACTCGGAGGATATGCAAACCCCCTTCCAATATAACAGAATGTTCTGCAACTACAACATGAAGAGTCTAATTTATCATCTTCGTTAAGTCTATGTGCTCAATCAAAAATTCTGTTTCAAATGGGCAATGAAACAAGACACACACAACCGCATTTCAAACTACTCTCCCTTTCCATATGTCACCAGGGCAATTCCAGGAGGCTTGTAAAAGTTTTGCTACATTTGTTCTGCCTTCTGTTGCCGGAGATGCTCATTCAATTAATCTTCATTTATGACAGACTGCAATCAGCCCATTTGTTGTGGACTTCATAAGGATCGGAGGCCTGAGAGAATCTTTTCCCCCAAAAGGCCTTCTGTTTCTGCAAACTAGGATAATGCAAGTTGATTTACAGCTCAAAGAGGAGTGTAATAGGGCTTCCTCAAGGTAAGTGTGCACAAGACTGTAGCCTGTCCGGTTTAAAGGGAGATGATGGAATGATATCAAACTCTGAATGAAGACTTCAAATTATAAATTCGAGGTGACTAAATGGGAAATCATTCTTTTATGATTCTGGTCACAGCCCCTGATCCTGTGTTGGAAGCTGCACCGGAGGTTGTTCTGGTCCAAAGAGTAGCTTTGGGAGAAAGATATGGGAAGATGCTGTAGGGAGGAAGAGCCAAAACAGGTCCTGGTGCATGCGGAGGCAGCCTTGCGGTTCTCCAGATCCTAGCCAGAACCTGCCCTTCAGAAAATATTGTTCTTGTGCTGAATTTCAGATGGCACAATCAGCGGCTCCATTGTTCTTCCACAAACCCTTTTTTAACCCTTGCCTGGTCTGTGCCCTCCACTGAATTTTACAGAGCTGATTTCAGCAACTATAATTGCCAAGTAAGTAAATGAATCTATTTCAGCAGATTGTCATTACAGTTGCAGCAAGCAAGGGAACTCAGCTGTGTTTAGCAGTTACTTGCATCAGATTGTTGTGGTTTAATTCCTTGGGGTGTATGCTAGTTACGCAAAAAAAAAAAAAATACTGCAAGAAGAAATTGGGGCATTATTTATTTGTTCGCCCTGCTGACTTCCTATCATCCCACTGAGTAATCACTGTTTACTTTTAACAGCATCTGTGCTGGTTACTCCCCTCATTCATACATTCTAGTATGCCCCTTCTCCCGTCTGTAGCACCATTGCTAACTTTCGTAGCTGCTCAAATTGCCAATATGTTCACTGCTGGTACCCTGAAAGAACACTGGCAATTATGACAGTCCCTGTGGAGAAAAGGAGGCTGATTAGCAGCAAAACCCACAAAGACATCTTTAAGTCTGGTCATTAAGCAGTCATACGTCTGATCAGAATCGATCAGAAAGAAGAACAAGGAGTCTCAAGTACGAAGAATAAGGCCTCACACCTGAAAGCAGCTTACAACCACAAGTAAACACCACCTTTAAGTTTATGCAATGTTCTTTCTCTAGCTCCCTTTCACCAGGATTTAAAAGAGGTTATGGAATTATTTTCAGCTCCCTGCAAATGGTGGGAATGCAAAAAGCAATATGGTTGTCATGAGGAGCAGTAGCTGAGTGGGCTGATGAATGCCAGCATTATTCTCCCTTGGTTTTGCCCTATTTTTGCTTCCCTGAGCCCCTGCCTCATCCTACTCTCTGTCCCTTAGGATCAGATCTCTGTCTGCTTCCCCATGTTCCTCTGGCACTATCACTTAGTTGCATTTCCAGAAAGCAGTTGTGCTGTTTCTTGCTTTCATAGCCCTGCCTTAAACCTCAACATTTGGCTTCTAAGTCTGCTAAGTATGGCAGTCTGCCCCAGCATGAAGTGGGCTGGTTGCTAGGCATGCAAATAGGTGTTAAACGGGGGGGGGGGGGGTGAGGATCAGAGTAATGGCTGCTGATGTCACAAAGTAAAAGTGCTGTTCCCATATGCAATCCCTTTAAAAAAAAAGTCCTTTGACATCTCAAATGAAAGCTTGCTAGTTTCTCACATACAAGTCTATCATCTTCCGCTTCCTCCTAAATTTCAAATGGTCTTGGGTCTTTCCTGACCACACCAGCAAAGAGGTTCAGGAAGAAAATGCAGTTAGGTTCATAAAGGTGTGAAATGCTATGAGTGTGTGTCATTTTCTTGGCCTAACAGAACGTCAGTGATTTTTGGCTACTGCTAAACTTAAATAGAACTATCATAATTGAACACAGTAATTTTGAAAATGTAATAGTAGTGCTTCCTTTTTATAGCATTATGAATATGAATACATATTCAGATGTAGTACTCCAAAATTTCCACTCTCTGTTGACTCTCCTTCTTTGTGGAGTAAAAACAGGCTGTAGCTTGGCCTATGAATATGTATTTGCATAACTTTTCTTGCAATATCTTTGGGGAGAAGCAGCTTCAGGACAAACAGATAGAGCTTTCTCTCCTGGTGCAGCAAAGCTCTGGTGCTTGGCTGTCAAAACCTGCTGGCATTTGGTCTTTTGCCTTCATTGCTCATTCCATAGGTGCCCCCTTTCCACCCAACTGAGCAAGAGGGCTGCAGAACGACAGGTAAGATTCAACGTAAGGGAATGAAAAGTGACGCTTACTGAAGCAAAGAGTCCTAGTTTCACATATATACTAAAGTCAAAATTGGCTATAGCTCCACAGGAGATGGAGGTCTTGGAATCAGATACAGATACAGGCACAGGCACGCGCACACGCACGCGCGCGCGCGCACACACACACGCAATACACCAGGAAATAATGAAATCATTCAATTCAAACCCGGAAATGGTGAGAGAGAAATGGAGAGTTCTTGTGGTTCGTGAGGAGACCCTCCCTGGAGCCCGAAGAGGACGTCAGTTTTGCCTGACCTTGTTCATCTGAACTTACCCTCTGCTGGGTTTGACCTTGCCTCACCGGAACCTAACCCATGCTTGACATGGCTCTGCTTCTTGGGTTTGGAAAGGATGCTAGCAGTATGTGATCTAGAGTCCCTGGACTCTGTGCTTGGGATAGGTCTCCCTTTGGCTAGAAGCCCATTTGCTGGCTTGGGCTACTGCCCCGGACAAAACAATAGCAGCCTTTTAACAATGCTGGCTTGAGAGATAATGACTGTTCTTGGGGAAATAGTGCGCCAAACATTTTGTGGACTCACAGCAGTCGTTGCCCGCCCCCCCTTGGTGAGCATTTATGAACTAGCCCACTGATTCAAAGGAGTGAAAATTAAAATGCAGGTCAATTATGAGCAGAGATTTCCAACCAATCTGTTGCAATCTCAGATTTTCTTAATACAGACAGAGGTCTATAAGGAAACTAGCCAAAGAACAACAAATCAGTGCCAATTTTGCTATTCTTTGCCAACGTGGTGTAGTGGTTAAGAGCGGTGGACTCGTAATCTGGTGAACTGGGTTTGCTTCCCCACCTGCACCTCCACCTGCAGCTGCTGGGTGACCTTGGGCTTGTCATACTTCTCTGAAGTCTCTCAGCCCCACTCACCTCACAGAGTGTTTGTTGTGGGGGAGGAAGGGAAAGGAGAATGTTAGCTGCTTTGAGACTCCTGAAGGGGTGTGAAATGTGGGGTATCAAGTCCGAACTCTTCTTCTTCTCTTCTTCTTTATTTGGAAATCGCCTTCTCAATCACTTACCTTCACTTGTAACAACAGGATGCTCCACCCGCTGGCACTGGGAATCCTCTGTGGACACTGTTCCGAAGTATATCATCCCCAGACCTGTGACCAGTATCACCATCCAAATGCCATCCTGCACGTTAGCCATGTTTTCCTGTGCACTGGTCACATCTCTCTTAGCCGGGAACTCTTCTTGTCTTCAGATGCGAAAAGGCCCTAGAGAATGTCACAACATAATTACAACTAAATCAACAATGGCCAATCTTTGGTGACAGTTGACTCTTCAGATGTTGGCCCAAGGACCCAAAGTGTCTTTTGCCACTTCACTCAACCTCTTCAAGGGTGATCACCTGACACCTCCAAGTGTTAAGTGGTCCCTAATTTAGGCTACTCAAAGACAGGACAACAATTTATCTTCCCCTCTTATAGGAACTAATTATTCTTATTTTAAGAGATTTATAGTCTGCTTTTTTAGGAGGAAGTCCTCCCAAAAGTGGTTTACTACATGCGTAAAATACAAATCCAACTCATAAAATGTTCTTAAAATATACTATCAACAGTGACAGCAGAATCAAACACAACAAAGTAGCAACAATAAAACTTAGCCATGACCCAATAAGCAGCCACTATTTATGACCTTGTGGAGAAGAAATCAGCATAAGGGCCACTTTAAAAATGTGAGGGATGGGGCATGCCTGATCTCTGTAGAATGACCGCTCTCCCCATCAACCGGACGGAGCCCTTTGCGTGGCCACGTGCAGCACCCCCAATCCTTTGAGACTCCCGGCAGAACGCTCCTGGTCCACCTCCCCACGTCACAGCCCTTGAGGTTCCCGCCAAACCTCAGTTCAGAAGGAACCCATTGTGACGGGCGGAGGCGGAGCCAGGAGAGCGGACCAAGAAGGGGTAGCCATCACTCCTTTGCATATGAAGGGGGTGGAGCCTACTTGGGAGCCCCCAGTCAGCTCCAGAGCTTCACCCGCCCTACCCTCCCTTTGTTTATGCTCTTTATTTCAGGTTAACCTCTTTACAGGTATGCGGGCGCTGCTATGGTTGTTTGAAGGTTGCTGTTAAAGGACTGGGAAGGGATTTCCCCCGCATTGGCAGGTTTCTCCTTCCCCATAGCAAAATGTCACAACTTTGGTGGTTTTAGGCCTTGGGTGGAATCCTTTAGTCTATCTTCCCTAAGTGCGGGGGGGGGGGTGGTGTGAAGCAGTGACACATGCCTCCCCCCCCCCACAGCGGTGATCCCACGGTTCCCTGTTAAAGGGGCTGTGTTGATGGGAGTCACTGGCCATATGCTGAAAGGTTGTCAGTGGACTCCCCTGTGTTGTGGTGAAATGGGGGTGGGCTCTCTGCTTAAATCCCCAGACAGATCTGTTAACCCTGATGTGCCCCAGATCCCCGGCTGGGGACTGGAAGCGATAAACGCCCAATGCCTAAGCCAAGGTCTAAGCTAGCTCTCAGAGTATGGGCTGGAAACATGGGTGCAGTCCTTTGAATAAACTGGTCCCAAACGTATAAAAATGTAATTATATGAGTTAAGTTTCTATTTTCATCATGTATTTAGGTAAGAGCACAGCGAATAATGCTGCCTGCAGTGGGAGAACCAGAAGAGGAAGGAAACATCCATGCAGCCTTTTTCTCCAAGAAACAAGTTATGGAAGCAGTAGCGAAAAAAAGTGTTGCGTTTATACAAGTATCACTCTTCTTTTAAAATAGTCTATAGAGGTCCTTCAGAATGCATGTGTTCCAGGGCAGTGCATCTCTGCTATGAATATTCTATGAATCTGTGCTCAGAGTTTCCATGTGAGAGCTTTGTTTCATACATCTCTGTTATATATGTAGCAATGTTGTCATCCTTTTTATATAGATTGCCCAAGAGGAATATAAGAATAAATGAGACCTATTAGAGAATGCTGCTATTTGCACCAAGGCAAAGCTCTGTTTTATCTCTTAGCAGGAAATGATTCAATGTACTTTTCGTTTCTTTTTCTTTTTTGCTTAGCCACAAAGGTGGCAATTGTTATGACACTGGCTTTGGAGCAGCGTCCTGGGAATCCTGGAGTTGAGTGGAAGGCAAGCTTCTCCAAAAGACACAATCCCTTACAATGCGCAGGTGCACAAGGAACAATGGTGGGGCCCCCTCACCATGAGGTGGCATGCATCCCTGCTGCTTCCCAAGGGGGGGGGGGCGCTGAGTGCCAGGACTGAGGTGCGGTGCCAGTGCAGGGCCAGGAGCAGTGGCTTGGCTCTGATGCTTGCTCCCATGCTTTGTCCCTTCTCCTGTCAGTAAGCGGCAGCAGAGCCTGCCACTGGGAATCCACGGCCAGTATTATCCAAAGTGACTGGCAGCAGCTCTCCAGGCTTCATGGAAAGGGCCATTCACTGCCCTCCATGGAGGTGCCAAGAAATGACCCTGGACACAAAGCAGACACTCTACTGCCAAACTACAGTCTTGCTCAAGAAATATGAAAAATGACTCCGGAGCAAATCCCATTAAATTCAGTGGAACTGATGTGCTCAGGAATGAAGCCACACAACCTAATCCTAACCAAGACTTCCCACACCAGGCCACAAATATTTATTTGTTTGTTTGTTTGTTTTCATTTGTTTGATGGAGCACAATAAAGGCCATACCAAAAACATACCATCTTTGTGGCAGCATCAAAGGCAAATACTTTGCTCCAAATATAAAGGACCGGTGTGTAAAGTTTCCTTCACACATTGTGGTTTGTTTTTAGGTTTACACTTTTGCACCTAAAACCTTGTCTAACTGAGATAAGCAGAGGCTTCAGGAATAATTTTCAGATTGCATCAGCTGTTCTGACAGCAGACAGACTAGATGATCACCTATAAACAAGCAGTAGGAATGCATTTCATATACTGCCAAGGAGTTGGCTGACCTCTGAGGTCTTTCCCAACTCTATGATTCTGTGACTGAGTTAACTGTCAGCCTTCACTGGTATATATATCACCAAATGTCAGTGAGATTTGTTTTACCCTATACATATCAAACCTGCCTCCATCACCCAGCCCCAAAGGAAAAGCCTCTATCCCCATGGCTTCAATATTTCTGGGAATTTTGTATCTCTGCAAGACTATTCTCGGTTTGGCAATTATATAACATTCCAGCTTTACATGATACGGACACAACATTCACTGCACTGAACTGAAGATGACTTAACAGCCAGCAAGTTCTTTCACCCACACATCCAGGGTAGCCTCTGCTTGGAAATAAAAGGCTACTCAGACTGATAAACAGAACAGGGCAATCCCATAAAGCAGCATGGAAAAAGTCATGAGGCAAATAATGCTTTCAACAAATGCTGATCACTGAACATAATTGTTTTATCAAGCAGCAGTCAAGCAAAGATTAATTGCTGTGGTCTTCCTAGAACTGATGTGCTAAACTCATAAAGTCTTCATTCCCCACCCCAAAAAGGTTAAATCAGATAAAATATATGGGCTGAGAGGTGGGGGGGTGGGAGAAAGGGGAGGGGGAGAGAGAGAGAGAGAGAGAGAGAGAGAGAGAGAGAGAGAGAGCTAATAGCCTTGGAAAGCTATTTCCAAGATGTCAACTTATTCTTTAATTATGCACAATAGGTTGACAGCCTGAGGAAACATTATGAGTTGCCTGTGAGAGCCGTATGACGGAAAGTTTACTTCTGAGAAAACTCCACTGACTTCTTCCTAAGCCTTCCACAGGAAGTGCTCAAAAAGTGCAGGGTCATCTAAGAGAGACCAGTCCTCTCCCTGAATTACAACTCTCTTAATGTGAAGAACTGGCACCTGAGTTTATTTGCTTTCCTCTTTCCTCTTCATCCCTTTTTTTCCTTTTGTGTAACCTATTTTATTTTATAAGCCTGAGAGCAGGGACCATTTTTGGGTTGGTTTTTTTTATCTGTAAGCTGCTCTGGGAGTCCTGTCTGCTGAAGAAGGAGATAAAATACTTTCAGTAATTTATGTGCGCAGAGAACTGCAATTTGACTGTCTCCATTCCACCAAGTATTACATTAAAAACAGAAGGTCTGACGACACCGTTCCCGAGAGTCTGCCTTCCTCTGAATGCCACATACACCAGTCCCTGGGAATCACGTGTCCGGTTACAGTCTGGTTCTGCTTGCAGGCTCTCCATGTGAGAACCAGGTGCTGGAGCAGACAGGGCTCACCTTTTGCTATGTTCTCAAAGCAACCTTTGAGACCAGGTATTTGTTCTAGAGCAGCTAATAGGAACAGGAGTCCACAAACGCAGCTGCCCAGCCACCAGTGGCAACCACAAGATGAATTCTGCCAACGGCTAATACTGAATGTCCACGCACAGACAACATACCCCTTCCAAAGGAGCCTCACCAAAATTTGGGGCAAAGTGGGGAAACGTGGAAAAGGTGTTAGAAATAAGCCAGGTGCCAGGCGCATTTTACACACGCATCTTCTTTCCCAGGGCAGGAGCAATAAAACACAATACCAAAATGTGTGGATTTCTGAATAGAATCATAGAATCTGAGTTGGAAGAGACCACAAGGGCCATCGAGTCCAACCCCCTGCCAAGCAGGAAACACCATCAGAGCACTCCTGACATATGGTTGTCAAGCCTCTGCTTAAAGACCTCCAAAGAAGGAGACTCCACAAAACTCCTTGGCAGCAAATTTCACTGTCGAACAGCTCTTACTGTCAGGAAGTTCTTCCTAATGTTGAGGTGGAATCTTCTTTCTTGTAGTTTGGATCCATTGCTCCGTGTCCGCTTCTCTGGAGCAGCAGAAAACAACCTTTCTCCCTCCTCTATGTGACATCCTTTTATATATTTGAACATGGCTATCATATCACCCCTTAGCCTCCTCTTCTCCAGGCTAAACATGCCCAGCTCCCTTAGCCGTTCCTCATAAGGCATCGTTTCCAGGCCTTTGACCATTTTGGTTGCCCTCCTCTGGACACGTTCCAGTTTGTCAGTGTCCTCCTTGAACTGTGGTGCCCAGAACTGGACACAGTACTCCAGGTGAGGTCTGACCAGAGCAGAATACAGTGGCACTATTACTTCCCTTGATCTAGATGCTATACTCCTATTGATGCAGCCCAGGATTGCATTGGCTTTTTTAGCTGCCGCGTCACACTGTTGGCTCATGTCAAGTTTATGGTCAACCAAGACTCCTAGATCCTTTTCACATGTACTGCTCTCAAGCCAGGTGTCTTGAATAGGCAAGACTCATGATAGATCTGAGATATAAATTGGAGGAGGGGGGTTCCAAAAGTTTGTTTTAGGGTGAAGAGACCATCAAATGCTCATTTTCTATTCAGTTATTTTATAAACCACTTAACAGACAGTATCTCTAAACATTGCATATATCCTCAGCATCTACAAGAGTTTGGAACTGGAAGCTGATTTCAGCCATGCTTTTGACTTTATTTCTCTGTGTCAGGCAGGGTTCAAATGGGACCCTCCAGGTCTCTCTCTCTGCCCAGGGCACACACCTTCCTCAACTGCTTTTGTGTGGCTGGAATGTATCAGAAAACTACAAAATAATGCCTCTTGCTTGCCAGGATGGAGAGACGTGCAAAGATTGTGTGGGGCTGGACGGCAGCCTAGTGCACAAATGAAAGAGCTGCACCTGTTGCTCTCCCCACTTTTGTCCATGGCTCCACCCACCGGGGACATGCGGCCCCCAGGAAGTTTGCCCATGAATCCTGGCCAGTGGCTACTAAATATATAGGCTGTGGAAAAGTCAGCGAATTTCCCTCTTGCATTGGACAAACATGCACTACAGTTCCATGCACGCACAGCACCAAAATAATTCCACCTCTGCTCCCCCCAGCCTCTACTATCTGTGCACATTTGGCGTCAAGATGGAGTGCAGTCATAGCAAGCAGGGCTGGCTCCCTCTAACCTCCACTCCCCGTTTGTCTGTTTCCACTGTCTTTCCAGTTGATTTTGTACTCCTTCCAGCTGGAATTAATCCTCCATATAAGACACGATTAGATAGTTTACAGTTTATGCTATGAAAACTGAACAGGGAATATGAGCAACCTCAGGCAAATCAGTCATTATCATCTATTAATCTGGAAGGCCACACAGAATGACTAAATCAATGAAGAGGCATTGAATGGTTATTTAACTCCTTCTATTCTCTTTAACAGCATTTCACCCTCTTCTGAGTATGAATCACCCCTCCTGGTCAACATTTAATCACGAGATCGGTAAAGAACATATTTGTAACCCTAATGTGCAAAAGAGGTTCACAAAACAAGAGGCACTCAAGCTTTGACTCGGGAAATTCGTTTCTAAAAAGCTTTCTCATTTACATTCTCTCTGCCTGCACTCCTCTCTGGATTATATTGATGGTAGATGGAGAGACACAGTAGTTAGCAAAGCCTGACCACACAACCTTAATTAGTCATTCCTTATGCACAATTTCCCTAATCTCTTGAGAGACAGGTCAAAGTTATACTTCTAAAAATTTATAATCCATCAATTTGTGCACAGATTTTAACTCTGGCCACAACTGATAACTCAACTGTAGAGCAGCCCCATTAAAATGGAAAATACTGGAGAAAGTTGTGAATTCATCCTCTGCTGTTGCAAGCATTTGATGTCTTGTTTTTATTCACAAAATCATTTGTTCTCCACCTTTCTGGTTCAAAATGAACCACCAAAGGCCACTAAAGAATAAGATAAATGCACGAGAATAATACAATTGAAAACACAAATGGCAGACCTGGCTTTTCATTGAGAGCAAAACCACATCTAATATAGGCGGCAGCCCTATTGCTGAAGCAAAAGATTTCCTGACTGAAAGCATTTCAGCCTTGTTTAGAATGTGTGTTTGTTACTCTGTGTTGCACTCCAGGAAGGACTGGAGGCCCCAGGGAAACAATGGCCCCAATCTCCATTCTTGTCAGGTGATCTAAAAGAAAGTCATAGTCAATGGCGTTAAAGCCACTGAGAGAGAAAGCTGAAGAGAAGCACACTTCTCCTGCCCAGCTCCCACGGCACATCATAAGCCAGGACAACCAAAGTTGTCCCAATCCCAAACCTGGGAAAGAAACCAGACTGAAACAGAACTAGCTAATCAGTATCATCCAGAAATACCTGAAAACTGGGTCACCAGCCCTCACTTTAACTCCTTGCCCCGTCTTGGAATACTGGCGACTGGGTGGTAATTATCCAATAGAGCACCATCAAGAAAGGTCTTTTTAAAGCAACTATCTTACTCTTGCTTCTCTGCTGCCCTCATAAACAGAAATGTACACTTGCTCTTTCAGTTATTTAGTAACAGGAGACATGCACACCCATGCTTCAGATCTGCATAATGAACAATCAAAACAAAAGCCAAGCAAAGATGGAAAGATTTAAAGAAATTTTGTCCTAACGAATCAGTTCAAGCAAACCAGCAGAAATCAAAATCCGGCTATCCATTTTTGTTGAGATGTTATTATCACTCTTTTAAAAAACAAAACAAAAAACCCCAATAAAAATAGGAAGGGGTAATGTCAGATTCTTTCATTTAACCCATTTGTATGAACGATTGTTAAAAAGCAATATGAATTCCACACACACTGAAACATGTTTAGCCCCATAAAGTATAATGACATTTACCACACTAATATCATTCACATCAATGGATGGCCCATAAATTCCACAACTCCCCCTGCCCATTTTGACAACCTTCTCCAAGGAAGCTCATAAAAGAAGCTGATTGTTCTCTCCCCCAGCCCTTTCCAATATCACTTAATAGGTCTCTAAGGACTTTTACAGTCTTATTAAAGGACCATCTAGGCTTTACCATAACCGAGATGTAACCTGTGATTGATTAAGAACCCAGAATGTGGAAAGCCCTTTCTTTCTGCAGTGTAGTACAACTTCTGATCTCCAACAGAAAAAATACATAACATTTTTTTTAATTCATCTAAAAATACAGTAAACTAATTTTATGTTTCAACACAGGAGCACTTAAAGCAACATAAAGAGCCCATCAGACAATCCAATCCAGGGTTTAACAGCCAAATACTTATTCCTCTGGAATTTTCCCCTCACACACAAAATATAATATACTTAAAGCAGCTCTATCCATGCTACAATTAAGAGGTGAGACAGCTCCAGTGATGTTTTTAAGATTGTGCTCCCATATTTCATCTTGAAGATTTTAAATATGATTTTGGTTTCACAGTCCCCAACCCACCCCATAGTTCCTGGGGCAAACATTAAAAGATGTTGTGGTTTTACTTCTCCATCTTTCCTTACGAATACAAAACAATGTACAGTGATACCTCAGGTTACATACGCTTCAGGTTACAGACTCTGCTAACCCAGAAATAGTGCTTCAGGTTAAGAACTTTGCTTCAGGATGAGAACAGAAATCGTGCTCCGGCGGCTCAGCGGCAGCAGGAGGCCCCATTAGCTAAAGTGGTGCTTCAGGTTAAGAAAAGTTTCAGGTTAAGTACGGACCTCCAGAACGAATTAAGTACTTAACCCGAGGTACCACTGTAATTCACAAGGAGTAACAAGGCCAGATCAGGAGTGCCAGTCCTAATGAGCAGGCCAACTCTTCTCGGTAGGTCTTGCCCCAATGAGGCAGTTGTGGAGACTAAAGGTCTCCCACAGCTGCCTAAGCTTCCCCCTCTCCCACGTCCTTCCCAAGCAATCTGAGGCTGTGCTGGCACACTTGTCTCTGCTCCTCCCGTTTCATGCCTCTCCTGGTCCTGGGAGACCAGGGGAAGAGCAGCTTGTCACAGCAGGAGGGGAAGACACCCTGGCTTGTTCATCAGTCGGACTCATCTCTGCCTTTTGGCTTCCCTCCTCTCCTGCTTCTGGACTTCCCTCTGCCACAGACTCTCCACCGTCTCGGCTTCAGACCCCTCCTCCTCCTAGGCGTCTCCTTCTTCTCCCTCGGATCATTTGTAGTCATCCTATCACCAATCCCTGGGCTCAGAGCCTTGGTTCCTGGGTGGTTCTCCAGCTGTTGCCTCCCACTATTCCACAGTGTCCAGCCAGTCCGTGACATTCGGCACTAATGGAACAATCTGGTTAGCACTATGTTGAATTCCTCCTACTATATTTTATGGTTAGCTGAGGTTTTGCTGAAGCAAGGATGTGCAGTATAATGGATGGACCCGGGACTGAAGGCGTGTTGAAGAATAAAATAAGAGCAAAACCGTTTTATGCGGATGTGAACTCCCTGCAGGAAGCAAGAAGCATGAATGAACCAGCCAACCAGTCCTTGGAAATCTACTGTATTTTTCCAAGTATGAGACACCCCCAAGTATAAGACTACCCTTATTTTTTTGAAACCAAAATTAAGAAAACAAAACCCTAAAATAGAAGTGAAAATCTGGATGATCTGCGGTGGCAAGCTTATCTTTTTTTGGGCAAAGTTTCCTGCATGAGGAGCACCGTGGTGCAGAAGCAGAGGCAGCAGCTGGGGCACCCCACACTCAGGGACGTAGGAAGGGGGGGCGGTCCGCCCCAGGTTCCATCATGGAGGGGGGTGACAAATTATCAAGGAACAATTACTGTCCTACTAGGGCGGTTCATAAAAACCTTTTTTTAAAAAATGCATGCTCCAAAGGTCTTATCTTGCTAAACTAGGGATTACCGTATTTTTCACTCCATAGGGCGCACCGGACCATAGGGCGCACCTAGTTTTTTTTGGGGGGGGGAATAAAGAAAAAAATATTCCCCCCCAGCCCCAAAGAGCAAAGAAGCCAAGAGCAAAGGATCCACCCCGCTGGCTGTCTTGGCTTCCTCTTTAGCCACGCACAACCTCTCCAGCCAGGAGAGGCTGCGCACGGCTTTGTTTTTAGCCGCGGGGCTGGGGCGGGGGAAGCCCAAGCTTCCACCGACCCCAGCCCCCAGAACAGGTCCAGGGGCGGCAGCAAGATTGCGCACAACCTCGCCGCTGCTCCCGGAGCTTGCGGGGCTGGGGGCAGGGGAAGCCCGAGCTTCCCCCAACCCCAGCCCCCAGAACAGGCTGCTATCCGCAAGCCTTCGGAGCCCGGCGGGCACTCCCGCCGCACTCCGAAGGCTTGCGGATAGCTTCCTGATGCCTGGAGAGCGAGAGGGGTCGGTGCGCACTGACCCCTCTCGCTCTCCAGTCTTCAGCGAAAGCCTGCATTCGCTCCATAGGACGCACACACATTTCCCCTTCATTTTTGGAGGGGGAAAAGTGCGTCCTATAGAGTGAAAAATACGGTATATAGCTATATCTGAAATTTCACGCATATCAGTGAATTTCTTGACCCTGCTCCACTGAATTGAAATTTTAGCCTTCACGACATAGGAAAACGGCCAAGTAAACAGCTATTTTCGTGGAGGAGGGTCAAGATATTGGCCCTACTGCCCTACCCTCCACTGGGCTTCCCTCCCCCACCTCCAGTCCCCATTGTTGTGTCTTTATCCGTTGTGTGTCCTGGCTGAGGAGAAAAACAGAAGAAGGATGGCCATCGGACAGGGATGGTCTAGTTGAGATTCCTGCATTGCCCCAGGGGGTTGGCTAGATGACCCTCAGGGGTCCCTTCCAACTCTACAATTCTCTGGTGCAGGCTTGTGCAGAGGTTTAGGTACAAGTTGGATGCAAAGGGTGCATAGGATTGCAGCCCATCTTATGCACCGTCGGCTCGGGAATGATGGGACTAGATAGATGTTGTGCAGTCCTGTTTTTTAAATAAATGTTTTCCTTTTCAGATAATACACAGCACGGTGAAATCACAATAAATAAAACCTCCCCTTCAGTAGTTTCAAGCACTACCTCAGGTTCCACATAGTATCTGTACTGCATTGTTTAGCGTGGCAGCACCTGCACTTTGGAACTCCCCGCCTCTTGCAACAAAGCATGCGCCTTTGCTAGACTCTTTTCGGGCACCTGCTAAAAGCATTCTTCCTTAGGCAAGCACACCTAGATGCTTTGGAAGTTGAAGTAATTTTAATTTTAATATTTTAGCTTTTGTATGTTTTAAGGTAGGATTGTTAATTTTTCTTGATTTTACTGCTGTGGTTTTTTGTTTTGTTTTTTGTTTTGATAAACCACTTTGCAGGTTTTTAAAATTAATTTTATTAAATAAATAAACAATAAATATAAATAAAATAACACAAGCCAAAACACAATCCATCCTGTAGATTTAAGTATCTGTCCATAGTCGCCTACTTGTTATCAGAGGCCCAGAATCCACACTCCTTTGTAAGAAAATATGAAATAACGTAAAACCATTTTTGCAGGCAAAAATAAAATAAAAATCAATGTGGGGGGGGGCCAAGAAATTTTCAGCACCGGGTACCACCTGGCCTTCCTACGCCTCTGCCCACGATCCTCCTCAGTGGCAGCTCCCAAGCAGGATGCCAAGGAAGAGCCGGGAAGGCAGCGACCGCTCTGCATGGGGCCATGCCATTGAGCAAAGTGAGCTGAGGAAGGGGGTGAGCGGGGTGGGGGCAGGGAGGGCGTCTGAGAGGGGAAGAGGGGGGAAAGGAAAGAAGGGCAAGGAGAGGCAGCTGCTCACGGTCCAATGTTGAGCCAGTGGGGGCTTCAGGAGGCGAGCCAGTTGCCAGCATGCAGCCCGGGGGGGGGGGGAGAAAGGGGGGACGGCAGCAGGAGGGACCGCCTCATCCTGCCCAAGCCAAAATCCCAGACATATGCTTAAATATTAAAAAAAAATCCCCCTGGATGCCAGTGTTCTGTGTACAAGATGACCCCCAATTTTTTACTAATTTTTTTTAGCAAAAAACCTTGTCTTATACATGGAAAAATATGGTATATCCTTGATATACAGACTCATTTGGCATTATGCCAAGCCATACACAATCTTAACAATGGTTTGGCATGGGTCTGAACTGAAAAAGCAGTAGTTAAGATTGTTCTTTCTCCCAAGGCTGTTGCACTATAAAAATAAGAGCTGACTTAGGAAGCTAAACACTGCAAGGATGAAAAACAAGCTGAGAAGCTGCTGTAAGCCAAGGTTTGCCCATTGTGCATTTGGAAACTCAAACCATGATGTGGTTCTAAGCAAAAACAACCAACCCCATAATTTAGCCATGGCAATTGTCTGAAATGCACCAGTGCCGCTATCAGAATGACTTGGGCTGATGTCAACCATACAGATCTTTCAGAAAAGTCCCTTTTCTATTGTTTGCATATGTAGGAGCACAAGTTCATATTCTAGCCATAGTTGGAATAATTGTATAGACCGACTGGAGCAATGGAATCAAGCCTTGTATTGCACTGGCAGTATCCTTAGTGATTTCGGGATACGTTTTTAAAGTTCAAAGGCTAGGAAATTGGAGGGTGTGTTTTCAATGTGGTAACACAGTACTTAAAATAGAAGGGCTGCACAAACACCCAAGATAATTGCTCTCTGAAATAACAGTGGCAGAAAACAACAGCTGCTGTTTGGACACATCAATGTTCAGTTTTTCTAGGATGTCCTCAATCTATGAAATGTTGAAATCAGCATTGCCCCTTCCCAAAAACATAAAAAATAATCAACTTTTTCTTGTCCTGTGATCAACAGCCATCTCTGCCTTGGTTTTCAATTGAAAAACTTTTAAGATGAATAATGCATTATAGAGCTAAAAGCAAACATATTTTAATATGGGGAAAATGTCATGAAAATGAATCTACATTTTTTGAATTGAGTAGAATTAAAGGAATTTCCCACTTAAAAAAAAAATCAGAATTCCACACCTGTATTCATGAAACTATTTTCCTTTGAAATGAAGTACATTAAATGGAAGGTATTTTTGTTGTGCCAAGTGAAGAGAAAACCACTCTAGATGCTGTACAGCTAATAACTAAAGATATTCATTTAACCCCCCCCCCCCCCATCAATAGGAAAACTGACTGCAGCAATGGGGAATTGAGATCAAATGCAAAATACCGGGTGGAAGCTATTAGGCATGACTCCACTTGCAAGAAATCATCCCTTTGCTGAGACCTTCTCTTTTTCCAGTAGAGCAAAAAGTCAACAAGGTCAGCACAACCCCACAACATAAAACCTACTAGTTGTTAAGATTTTAAGAAAGGCATGACCAGTATTGTGCATATAGCCAAAGTTTAACAAGGCAATAATGATGTGAACGACTGGTAACTGCTTAGATTCAGTAGGTTGGTCTGACACAGTCAAAACATATATAAAAAATAAAAAATTGTCCAGTAGCACCTTAGAGACCAACAAAGTTTGTTTTTGGTACAATGGTACCTCGGGTTAAGTACTTAATTCATTCTGGAGGTCTGTTCTTAACCTGAAACTGTTCTTAACCTGAGGCACCACTTTAGCTAATGGGGCCTCCTGCTGCCGCTGCTGCACAATTTCTGTTCTCATCCTGAAGCAAAGTTCTTAACCTGAGGTACTATTTCTGGGTTAGCGGAGTCTGTAACCTGAAGCGTCTGTAACCCGAGGTACCGCTGTATAAGCTTTCGTGTGCATGCATACTTCTTCAGATACCAATGGTAACTGCTTAGTTTGTAAGCCCACAGGCAGAGACAGCTTTGTTTTAATTGACTGTATGCAAGTCACCCTGGGAGCAGGATATGAACAAACACCAAACAAATCTCACAATAACTACTTGTGCAGCTTATGCACAATCACTGTGCAGAACAGGCAAAACAGTTACATGAAGCACAACACTGCTGTGATTTTCCACCTTTGTGTTAACCACAGAGAACACACAGTCCCCTTTTCTTGGTGTTATATTTTTGGTCATTACTGTGTTATGTATTTTTGTGTTTTTATATTGTAAGCTGCCCTGTAATCCTCGGATGAAGGGTGGTATAGAAATTTAACAATAATTTTAAAACCTAACATTTCCAAGACTTCCTCTCTTGGTGTTCCAGACGAGCTGGCTAAGTGTCCAGACTCAACCCAGGGCCTGATCAACTCGAGACCCAGGTCACCTAGGAAGAAACATTCTTGGGCGCACATTGTAGACATTTCAGCTGGGCATCTAAGCAGGCAATGCCCACCACATTTGGGGTGGGGGGACACAATTCATCAATATTTGACAATGAGTTTGGAAATGTGTCCAAGATCTTGAAAACCAAAAAATGCCGCAGCCCACACTTCTGGGTTTGTGGGCAAAGAACTTGGGGAGGGGAGTTCTGATTGTTGTTTCAATGTTAACAACCACAGTCTGATTTTTCTAACTAATTTCATGGCAAATGAGTTATCAGGCGTTATATTCCATCCAGCAAACGTGCTGTTGTTTTCTCAATGTCCAGATTCTGAGCACATTTTGGCAGCGCAAGTTAGCTAAATATGCACTAGAATCATAGAACTGTAGAGTCCTTAGGGTCATCTAGTCCAACCCCCTGAAATGCAGGAATCTCAACTAAATCATACATGACAGATGACCATACAAGCTCTGCTAAAGAAAACCCAGTTAGAAATTCAACAACATGTTAGAATTACTTCTGCTTATCTAACGCTCCCTCATCCAGCAGGTATATAAATCCCATTGATTTATGTAGTGCCACTAGCACATGACATTTTACAGAGTCTTAAACAAAAGGAAGTCTGGTCTCTGCCCATGAAGCTTACAATCGAAACTAAATTTCAGTAAAATACCAATATAATCAGAAACAGGTTGTAGGATCCATTGTATATTGCATTACACTTCACTGCTCACCAATTATATAAGACATCTTACTAGTTACCTATTCATTAAATGTCTTCTGGGTCAGGGGGATAATAAGGAAAATGTCACAGGAAGAAAGGTGAGTTCCTCCCCCCCCCCCTTGAAAGGCACAAACGTAATTCCCAGAACAAATTGCCCGCACAGGAACATATATAGGATGGAACGGGATAGCATAGGATGCTCTGTTCTTGCAAACAGCAATCTGTTATTCACATTTTAATATCTTCAGTGTCACCCTCCACCATAACATGTACAATTAAGAAGAAATAGAAAGATAATTTCCCCCCATGCAAATGTTAAGATGCACACAGCACCAGAAGAAATTGCGTCAACCACTCAACCAACTTTAAACATTTTCATTAATCTTCAACACCTTCCGTCACTATTCAAGTGCTAATTATGTGCAGTCTTTGTTTTTCCCAGCTAGCAGGAATTTCATCTGGAAATAGAAATGGAGTAATTATGAGAAGGGTAGCTCAGAAATGTGAGACTTGATACTTCTTGAGGACATGCATAGACCCCAAGACTGAAACACAAAGTCCAACCCCACCTGCAACATATCTCTGTGTGTCTATCTCAATCAACTTTCTTTTTCAACACAAAACACCCACCCAGGGACTTCAATCTTGAGGGGGGAACGAGTCAATTTGATGCTCAAAGTCTCTACTCCCCAAAGCTGCTTTTTGACTAACAGGAGGAAAGATGAAAATACCCAAATCTTTTTTAAAAAAACAACCACTCTCAAAGAGAAGCCGAGAGCAAACCAAAAAAGGGGGGGGGGCTCTGAATGGGAAAGCAGCCAGAGTACAAAGGGTTAAGGAGTGCCCCTGCATTCTCCTCCTCAAGACTGCAGCCTCCTATGGTTGCTTTCAAAGTCAAGGAAGCATAGGTGGAATCCACACACATATAAAAAAATGCTGTGAAAATGATTTTTAAAAAAAGTTTTGGAAAATATATTGAATTTGCCATAGCTCACCATTGCCATCTAATGTCACATTTGTATATTATACTTTACAACACACTTAAAACGTTTTATTCGCAGCTGTATAGCTGAGTCCATAGTTTCAACCTGAGAGGCTGTACTAAAATGGATCTTTTTAAATCACTTTTCATGGACAGAATCAGCAAAGCATAAAGGATCCGAAAATTATTCCGTCCAATCCACACCCTAAAGCTGACCCCATCAAATATCGATCAGTATTTGCTCCTCACTAAGCCCGTTGCAGATTATAACCAGGGTGATTTGGGGGTAAAGAGTGCCTAGATTGGACAAGGCATCCAGCTGCCTCAGGTTCCTAAAGGGATGTTGTTCTCAAGAGACAATGCAGTGCACCTCTGGGGGCGAAGTCAAACGTCTGGAGAATCGCAGCGCCTGCTGTGGCTGCAGAGACTGGTAACTCGTGACTGCTGCCTCTGTGTTGTTCTTGCTGTGTTAGCAGCACCAAAGTGGCCTCCCGGGGACGCAAGCCTGGGCAGTGTGTAGGGCGGTCCTGGGCTGCCCTGATGTGCTTGGCTGCAGGGGTTGCCAGAAGGAGGCGAACAAAACACCTCTCCAAATTTGTGTTGGGCTTACTCCTTCGCTTTTTCTTCTCCCAAAGGTGTCCCACAAGGCAGTGGGTGATCTATCCTATGGGGATAGTGTAGGAAAATAAACATGGCAGGCAAGTCACACGCAGCGTGTGCACCGTGGGATGTAATCCATTGGTGCAGTCAAATGCCACATTCCTTATTTCCCTAGCGTGGGCACAGGCAGGCGGACATCCAGTCAGGGTAAAGTCCTCTTCCACTGGTCTGGAGCATCCTCCCCCTGCATGTGACCTGGGAGATGCGCCTGGCTCTGGCTGACTCCACAAAAGAGCCGAGTCACGCAGCCATTTTCTCACTTGCAGTTTTGTCTTGTCTTGTTCTCTCTTTTGAGCCATGCTGCTTTCCTGCAGCCACTTTGTATTCTTAATGTAATTTTTCTGTCTGCTGGCTCTTAGCCAGCAGCACATGAGTTCAGTCTCCATACAGTGGCAGAGCAAGGGGGTGCAGTGGGGGTGGAAAGCCCCGAATGTCATCCCTAAGGGGGGTGGCATTCGGTGTGCCGCGCGCCCGCTGCACAAGCCGCCAGAGGAAGGGGGGAGCTGCGCCACTTTGCCAGCGGCCTTCTTGGCAGTTCGGGAGTCGGGGAAGGTTTGGGAGTCGCGGGTGGGATGCGTGTGGCCCTCTCGGCTGGAGGAGGCAGGCAGGCAGGGGAGAGGATGGGAAGGAGGCAGGTGAGTGGGGAAGGGAGAGGAAGGAAGCGGGGTCGGGGGTGTGCCTTTCATTCTGCCTGGAAGCCGGCGTGGTGAGTCCAGAATCGGGGAGGGGGCGTCATGGGAAACGGACCCCCCCAGAAGAATCCAAAATGGGGGGCGTGGGGTTGACCCAGCACTTTCTCCCCTCCCAGCCCGTCACTGCTGCCCTCCCGCCCCCCCCCCACTTTGCAGAGAGGAAGAGGGGCTGTTCCTGCTGCCCCCCTCCAGATGCAGAAGCTGGGCTGGGGGCGGGAGGTGTTTCTGTGGTTGCTGGAAGCATCAGAAACCATTTCATGTATTGCAATGCGGATGGTGTCCTTCTTAGTTTATTTATTATAATTAATTAAAATTGTATCCCGCCCTATACCTGTAGGTCTTAGGGCGGCTTGCAACACAAAATTGCAGCATTGACTTCCTTTACTGCACGTTCATTCTCACCATTTCCCCCTAGGAGCTCGAGATGGTGTGCTGTCTATGGTTCTCCCTCTCTTCATTTCATCCCCACAGCAACCCTGTGAGGGAGGCCCGGCTGAGGGGAGGGGCTGGCCAGGGACACCCAGGGAGCCTCAAGGCCCAGGGGGGATTTGAACCCGGGACGCAGTCCAACACTGAACTGCATTAGAGTGGGGGGGGCTGCAAGGGGAGAATAGGCAGCCTTCCAGGGGGAGGAAAGAGCGCGTATTTCAAACAGAAACCCTGAGCATTTTTTAAGTACAAAATGATGTTATTTGGACATCACTCAATTTTTAATTGTGGCATCTTAGCATGTTTTTTCTTGCACACCTGACATGGATTCAGGTAGGGCTGCCATACGTTCGGGTTTTCCTGCACATGTGGGGGGGGGACTTCAGGGAATATGGCAACCCTAATTAAGCGTCAGAAATTAACCCCACAATCTCCAAATCAAATACATACAGGATTAAATAATAATTATTATAAAAACGGTCCATTTCATTCCCACCCACTCATTGCTATTTTCAGCTACCAGGCTCCCCTCCAGCTCCCCCACCCCCATTCTCCAGGGATCATTCGTAAATCAAAAGTATATTGAAAGGAAAGTTACTATAATCACTGGGGGGTGGGGGTTGTGGATTTGCATAACATCTGCTCTATATAATACACAAATTGTTGTGCTGTTTTTCAGTTGGAGTGAAGGGCCCAAAAATAAATTGGTTCTCTCTCTCTCTCTCTCTCTCTCTCTCTCTCTCACACACACACACACACACAAATGCCTGAAAGGAGAAGCTTTCCCAATGTGAACAGGTGAAGCTTTCCCCATAATTGCATTTCCATGGGAGAAAAGGGCTTAACCTGTTGAATTTCTGCCTGCCACACAGTTCTAATAGGCACAAGAACCTCAGCTGTTTTTGTGCAACTCCCACCATCCCTAGCGAGCAGGACCAGTGGTCAGGGAGGATGGGAATTATAGTCCTAAAACAGTTGGCAACCCAAGTTTGGGAAACACTGAGGAGACCATTGTACTGTAAGTGAAGGATACTGTACAGTGAATTCTTAATTGCTGAATGGTTTCTTTAAATGTAAAGGTTCATCACTGTTCCACCCGATGTGTATGTCTTTAAGGGGCCAAAGCAAGGGCCAGAGCAAGATAACGAGACCCAGCTTTACAGCTGTGAAACATAGCAGGTGCTGCCGAGTTGTACTGATTAAGCTGTGTTGGCAATTGGGTGTAGTATATAAGGAGCAGCACCTAGCTCTCCCATTACCCTGGGGGATGGGTTGGTGGTTGGGTCATGTTTGTTTGTTGATGTATTTAGTGTATAAGGAGTTTTTGTTTTTCTTATTAAAACCTTGTTTAAATTATTTTTGAGTCCCTTTTTAATGCATGGTCTCCCCAGCAAGCTCTCTGCAGCGCTACCATACTGCAAAAAGCCAACATCTTTGGTTATGGGCCCAGCTGCTGAGTGGATGACTGCATATTTTTGGACTCTGAGAAAGGTTTGAAAACTCCTTCTCCTGTTAGCGTAGTTCTGTGGGTCTGGAAGAGTTCCAGAATGGTTGACCGGGTTCCTGAAGCTGAGAAGGCTCTGGTCTTCCCACAGCTGACAGATGAGAACTATAGTTTATGGTCTTTTCGGGTGGAGGCGCTTTTGACCTCTAGAGAAGTATGGACCTATGTAACTGATGACCCTCCTGACCCTGTGACTAATGCTTGGTCGAAAGGAGATGCGAAAGCCAGGGCGATAATTAATTTGGCAGTCAGCGACCAGCAAGTAGTCTATATAAGGAATAAGAAAACTGCCAAAGAAATGTGGGACAGTCTTGCAGCAGTGCATGTTAGAAAAGAGTCAGCGTCTGCATTGACGTTTTTCAAGCAGTTGTACCAGACGAAGTTGCAGCCTGGTGGTGATTTGGCAGCACACTTGAGACGTCTGGAGGCAATACGCGGCGAATTAATTCGAAGGGACATGGAGATACCTGATATTCAGTATGTTTTCATCATCCTTTGTTCCCTTAATGAGGACTTTGATGGTATAGCTAGCCAGATATCTGCCGTTCCACCAGCACAATTAACTGTGGAAGGGGTAACGGCAAGATTAATGGGCGAGTTGGACAGAAGGGAGGCTTGTGCCATAAGCACTCCTATTTCCAGAAAGAATGAGGAACGCCATATGCAAACTTGTGGTGATACAACTGCATTTAAAGCTGCAAAGCGTTGTTGGTTCTGCAATAAGCAAGGACATTTTGCAAAGGACTGCAGATCCAAAAGAAAGCAAAGTACTCCCAAGTCTGTTTCTGTTCGTCAGTCACGGTCGTCAGCTCAGCAGCCGGCATCGTACCGTAAAGACAGAAACGAGCCGCGAGCTTTTCACGCTAGCACAAGAGATCGTAAAAGAATTAAAGGTGCCAAGTGGAATTCTTTTATTGTGGACTCAGGAGCATCTCAGCACGTTTGCAACGATCGAAGCTTGTTTATTTCTTTCGAAGAGGAAATTGGTAATGTACATTTAGCCAATTCACAAGTCTTGCAGTCGCTTGGCAGGGGTACTGTTAAACTTGACTCTTTAAACATTACTATAGCGAACTGCATTTACTGCCCATCAGTGGACAATTTATTGTCAGTAAGGTGTTTTGCTCGTCAAGGCATAACTGTGCGTTTCTTAAAGTCAATGTGTGAGTTTTTCGAGGGGAACAAACGTCTATTGTATGCCCGGGAATCTGATGGTTTATATAGACTGTATTTTCGCACCTACTCCCAATCGCCTATAAATTGCAGAGCAGCACAGTCAAGCCAGGGGTTGAGGAATGTAAGGCCACATTCTGGGTGTGTCCATGAGGCGCACAGAATTCTGGGACATCTGAATTTTGCTGATGTAATTAAGACCAAGAATATTGTTAATGGCCTCAACTTAAAACCATGTAAATTCTTTATGCAATGTCTATCCTGTTGCAAGAATAAGATTAAGGTTGCACGCAAGGGTAGGTGCTCAGATAGGAAAGTAACTGAGCCATTTGAGCGTGTACATTGTGATTTAGTTGGGCCACTCCCACCATCCTTAGGAGGTTCTAAGTACTGGCTTACCCTGATAGACCAGTATAGTAGATATTGTTGGACTTATGCAATAGCTGAGAAGTCCCAAGCATTTGAGAAGTACAAAGTTTTTGCAACTGGGTAAAAACACATTTTAACAAACCTATTAAGAACCTGTTTTCTGACCGGGCGGGGAATTTGTTTCTGAGGATTTTGAGAAATTCCTGGAAGCGCAGGGGACTACTCATGAGTTATCTTGCCCCCGAAGTCCCTGGCAAAATGGGCTTGTTGAAGTTGTGCAGCGTGACCTGCAGGCAGGGGTTAAAACTTATCTGCACGATGCTAATCTGCCCAAAGACTTTTGGGCTGAAGCGCTCAATGCCTTTTGTTATGTTAGAAATCGCAGTTATCATTCTGGTTTAGATGTCACCCACTATGAGAAGCTGTTTAAAAAACGCCCTAATCTGAAATACCTACGCATTTGGGGTTCAGATGTAATAATGCATTATCCCGCTAAGCAGAAATTGGGTGAACGTAGTGTCCAGGGAAAATTAATGGGCTACCAGCAGGGGCGTACAGAATTTACATACCAGCAACTGGCAAATTTCATATTACCAGAAGCATGATACAAACTGTAAATTGGAATGGCGTTGCTATTTTCCAAGATACTAACGGTATAGATAATACTGAGGAAGAAGAGGTAGAAGAAGACAGCAGCAGCAGCAGGAAATGGTGCTTCTGAATTAATGGGAAAAGACGAAAAGCCTGTTGAATCTGATAATTTGTTTGATGATTTAAAGTCACAGGCACCCGAGGGAGGTTAGATTCTCTTGAGTTTTCTGACCGTGAGCTTAGCCAACAGGCATCTCTTCAGTCTGACAATGATGATTTACAACCTGAAACTAGTAGTTTACATAGTCCCATTAAGTCTGAGGAGTCTGACTCTCCTTCCGGACTAAGACGTTCAGATAGAAAGAGACAGAAGCCACAACGTTTTGCAGATGAACATTTTAATACTGTGTATGCCAATAAGGCAGTTTTTGAGCCAAAAAGCTACAATGATGTTCAGAATTTACCTAAGCACCAAGCTGTAAATTGGTATAAAGCTATGAACTCTGAAATAGCTTCTTTAAAAGAGCATAACACTTGGTCTCTTGTACCACAAACCCCAGATATGAGACTTATTGATTCAAAATGGGTTTATAGAGTTAAAATGAATGACAAAAATGAAGTTGTAAGGTACAAGGCTAGATTAGTTGCTAGGGGTTTTCAACAAATTCCAGGCGAAGATTATGATTTGTGTTATTCACCAAGTGTAAAATATGAAACAGTTAAGCTTTTGTTAAAAGATGCATCACAACGTGGACATTCTGTTTATCACCTAGATATAAAAACTGCATATTTGTTTGCAGATTTAAAAGAACAAATTTTTATGCGTGTCCCTGAAGGCATAGACGCCGCTGAAGGTTTGGTATGCAAATTAAATAAATCCCTTTATGGTCTGCACCAAAGTGGAAGGAACTGGCACCAAACTTTAGCAAAAGAATTGCTGGATATTGGTTTTTCACAGGGAAAGGCAGACAATTGTGTGTTTATAAAGGAAAGGGCAAACTCTGTAGCAAAAATATGTGTGTATGTAGATGACGTGTTAATTTCTACAAAAACTAAACAGGAATATGAACAGGTAGTAACACAGTTACAGAAGAAATTTGATGTGGTGGAATTAGGCATAGCTAAAAATTACTTATCCATGCAAATTGAGAAAGGCAAAAATGGATCTTTTCTGGTTCATCAAACTGCAAAAATTGATGATCTTGTTGGAATGCTACGTTTAGAAAATGCAAATGGGAAGGAAACGCCCATGGTGTGTGGTTTCACTTTTACAGGTGAAGATAAGCCATTTCCTAACAAAACTTTGTATCGTTCTGCTATAGGCAAGCTAAATTTCATTCAAAGAATCTCAAGACCAGATATAACTTATGCCTTTCACTTTCTGGCAAAATTTGTGGAAAAGCCCACTACACAATGTTTCTCTGCTCTTAAGAGAGTGGTAATGTACCTTAAACATACCAAACATTATAGGTTGCAGTTTACAACATGTATTGACAAAGGTTTTGAAATTTTCTGTGATGCATCTCATGCAGTGGAACAAAATAATTGCAGGGGTGTGTCTGGTATGGTGTTTTGTTATAACGGTTGTCCATTTGAATGGAAGTCCCAGACACAAAACATTATTTGTCTCTCCACAACAGAGAGTGAATTATGTGCATGCGTTCAGGCCACTCGTGATGTAGAATGGTATCTGCAAGTATTCGCAGACCTACAGATGCAAGTAACACTACCAGTAAAAGTTTACCTTGATTCCCAGAGTGGACTCGCTATCCTATGTTCAGAAACCAATACGCAGCGCACTAAAGTCTTAAGATTACGTTTACAGTTTGTAAAGAAACTAATTGCTGATGAAATGGTTGTATTTAAATATGTTCCAGGTGACAATCAAATTGCAGACATTTTTACTAAAGCACTTCCAAAAGGTATACATGAAAAACATGTACAAAGTATGCTTTATGTTTTTGTTCCACAATGATGAACCGCAGGGGAAATGTTGAATGGTTTCTTTAAATGTAAAGGTTCATCACTGTTCCACCCGATGTGTATGTCTTTAAGGGGCCAAAGCAAGGGCCAGAGCAAGATAACGAGACCCAGCTTTACAGCTGTGAAACATAGCAGGTGCTGCCGAGTTGTACTGATTAAGCTGTGTTGGCAATTGGGTGTAGTATATAAGGAGCAGCACCTAGCTCTCCCATTACCCTGGGGGATGGGTTGGTGGTTGGGTCATGTTTGTTTGTTAATGTATTTAGTGTAAAAGGAGTTTTTGTTTTTCTTATTAAAACCTTGTTTAAATTATTTTTGAGTCCCTTTTTAATGCATGGTCTCCCCAGCAAGCTCTCTGCAGCGCTACTATACTGCAAAAATAGCCAACATTAATAGCATCCTGTTTGCTAGGAAGAAAGGAAGCACAAACTCCTGAGATTGCCAGGACTAGGAAATGAGACAGAAGGGGAGGGGCATCCCAAGGACCCCCAGGGAGCAGCAGTTCCCTGTCTGTGAAATGCCCAGCCTGACCCCGGGGGAAACTGGGCTGACTTTGGGTAGATGGGGGGGGGGTAGTCAGACATCCCACTGGTGGGAGTGGGAAGTTGGGGGCTGGGAGGGTAGGACTGACCAACTGTCCCAGGGCCAAAACTAGGCTTTCTGTAAGTATCTTATTTTTCCTTCTTTTAATAATTTCCGGGGGGGGGGGGCGGGTTGACAAGAAATTTTCCGCACCAGGTACCACCTGACCTTGCTACGCCACTGTCTCCATATGAGATGAACTCACAGTTTATTGCTTAACTACTAAGAAAAGCCTGCCTTTCAGGGATCGAATTGTGAACTGAAATGTGAGTAACTTTGATACTTTACTCAGACTCATGCCTTTATTCTTTTAAGAGGAATTAAAGGGGACACCAGGAAATAATCTTAACTAAGAGATTCAAACAAATCTGCAAACTAGCTTCCAGCTATATTGAGGGGAATTTGCTCTGCTACTTCACTTCACTAGCATGAGTGAAGGAAGGATAATACTTATTCAATATATCCTTTCCTACTATCTTTAACATTCCCACATGCACACTGTTACTAGCCAATCAGACAATGATAACTTTCCAAAACAGTTCATTAAAGAAAAGGCACAAGGTTGGTTTCTTTATCAAGCACATCTGTATCTCATTATTCCCTATTTAAATAGCCAGAGTAGACCAAGGCCCTGGGTCCAACATCAATATTCTGCCAAGGACCCTGGGGCCTGTACTAGCGATCTTGGCCTCCAAGGCGGAGGACGCAGCCTACTAAGCCCTCCGAGGTGGATGCCAAGTGCTCTTCAAGCACATGTGCCGCCAGTTTCTCTGAGTGGTGGCCAGGCTGAAGCTTCTCGGCTGGCCTGCCTCTTGCCTTTGGACATTCTGCCTGCTGCATTTCAGCACCCAGTAACTGACCTCTCAGGGACCCTGGTCTGAAAGCCAGATGCATCCACACCAAGTCTGGATTCAAATACCACTGCCAGTGATGCAGATATGTATTTTAGGCTCTGGATGCAGCAGTTTTGCTTGGGGTGTATGTGAACTCTTTATATGGCAATGTGTACTGCTTATCTCACTTTGAGAGATAGTGTGGTGCAGTGGTTAGAGTGTCTGACTAGGACCTGGGAGACCAGAGTTCAACTCCCAACTCAACTGTGAAGCTCACTGGGCAATCTTCGGCCACCTTCATGGGATTGTCTGAGGGTAATATGTGGGGGGACAGAACTACATAAGCCAGCTTGAGCTCCTTGAAAGAAAGGTGGGATACCAAAGTAATTAGACAGACAGATATTTTATTTATTCAGACTCTTTTAATGGCGAGAGAGAGAGGTGGGGGGGGTAACATTTTGCTGAGTGGGGCCCAGGACCCCAAAGCTGGCACCAGTGACCACGGTCCTGGTCCTACTCCATCATTCCTCCTCCACCTCCTCCTCCTCCTCTTCTAGTTGAAGCCTGGCTTGAAATGTATTCTTGCCCATCATTTCCCAGCCCACTCTCGTGCCAAGCAATCAAATGTCAGTCTAGGCCAGTCCAGGCAGTAGGCAGATCTACAGAGAACACTTGCCAAACAAAGCGCAGTCTCAAAGGGCGGGCAAGCAAGCAGAACAAGGTGGCAGGCAATTTCGCCTCCTTCCAGGCTGGACCCTGAATACAAAGACAGCCACCTCAGGTGTGCTGAATTCATAATAAAATGCACTAATGAGACGGATTTCAGAACCCTCGGAAGGGTTACGTTCCCCGAGAAAAAGAAGAGCAGAAAGAGGCATGAGTAGAAAAGGGAAACTGAAGGGCACAGAAACGTCCTTTAGCAATTATAATGATCTCAGAAATTAAACGGAATGCTTTTCATCACAGAAATCAGTATGTAGATGGACGTGTGACCCCAGAGCTCTGTGGGTGCTTCTCTCCACTGACTGCAGGAGGTGGGGAGAACAAAGACTAGAGGCAATCGTTTAATTCAGATGTGTAAGAACGATACCCGCCAACAAAAAGAAAAAATCAATCCACCACAATTTTCCCAATTATTCCTGGTTTTAAAGGTCTTGGGATAGCACACCTCAAATTACTACGATGCCTTTGGCTTTTCACTGCTGTCTCCACAGCTAGCCAGAAATGTTACACGTGTATCGGAGCTATGTAAAGACAGTACTAGAATTTTACTGCTGTATCTGGTAATTTCTGTGCCTGGACCAGGCTCTTAATTGCACCAGCCATTGGGAACTGTCCAAAACGCTGGTAGACCAGAAATCCCAATTTCTTGCTGCTCAGCAGCTTTATAACAGTGTGGTGGGTGTTGTAGTTCAAAACATCTGGAGGGCACCAGGTTGGAGAATGGTGCGCAGAACATCTGTAAGGTTTTGAATCCAGCTGTTCTGTTAGGTTGCAGCCACCACGCCAATGAAAGAGGGCAACTGTGCCACTCTTGCCTTCCATGCTGCTCTCACTGTGCCTCTAAGTTGACAATGGATTTTTCACCCAACATCTTGAAGACAATCATTCCACACTCTAGATAAAACATCACACAGCATAGTGTACCCTTGTCCAGTTTTCAGCCAGAGGAGGTGGCCCTTTTATCCTGGCCTAATTACGTAAATTTTCATATTTTTTTGTACAATTACAGGAATTTTAGATGACAAAGCTCTACATTCGGGCTATGGAAGTCATGGCCCTCCAGATGTGGTTGAAGCACAATTCACAATTCCTTCACCCTTGGGCCAGGCTGACTCAGCAACACAGGTTCCTCACCCCTGCTCTACATCACCTTAAATTCCTTTCTAACTCCGTTTTTACACACTTGTCACTCCTTGCATATCAAGCGTTTCTTGCTGGAATTTTCTTAAGTGTTGATCTTATTTAAGGAGATAAAATACCTTGGTGTATTTCAGACTCCAAGCAGTACCAGTAATCTCATTTCTTGCTGCCAAAGCCTGGTTCTTAATTAAAATAAAATCCTCTTAGGTTTCAAGTTGAAACTTTAAGAGCCATTTCACTGGTCTCTGTGTTCCAATTAAAATATCTTCTCTGCTGCCTGCTATTCTGCTTTTTCAACTGTGTCTAACAGAACGGTATATAAGTAAAAGCAAGTAATTATTCCATGGGCTCCCTAGAAATGTGGAATGTTGTTGTATGAAGTACTCAGCAATTCTCAACCACATTCCAAATGTTTACTCTGCCTATCCAGATCTCTTCAAGTACGGCCACTCAAACAATTACACCAGACTGTGCTAACACTTACGATAAATAGTTGACTATACTGGTGGTTGGTTACTGGGGGGGTTTTCAAACGAGTTTCTCGGAAAACAGAGAATATGCTCCAACTTTGGGTCACTTTTCTGTAGCTGCGCTCCTCAGGCACTGGAGTCTTCCAACTCATGCTAATAAAGCTAAAAGATTTGTCTTTCCAATTTGTTTTATTGAGCTGGCAACAGATAGACCTCCAATCGGGAAGTCCCTGGTTAGAATCTGGCCTCTGCCATGAAAGCACTAGGTGGCATCAGGCAAGCTACTCAGCCTGTGCTCTTCTACAGTCTGAAGGTGTCCCACCTGGCAGAGTTGTTGTAGTCCCTGGCTTGCACTAGGCATTGAAAACGCCAGTGTTTGTGTGTCTGCAGGAACAAGTGGTCAGTTCAAACATGGTTCCAGCTCACTCGCTTACAATTCAGATCAAGGCAAACCAAACTGAGATCATAAATGCAGCCCTGAAGCACCACAAAAGACAAAAGCCCACAACAATTTTTACTAGCTTATTTGTCAGTCAGTCATACATGTCACTGATAGCCCCAAAGAACCACAATTCTCCCAGTTTACAAAAAAGTTCCCTTTCAGTTTGCTTGGAGGCAATTGTTAGTCATACCAGCAAAGAGGTGAGTCTCTATTTAATAGTCTGTACAGCAGTCTCTAGCTCCCTGTAAACATTACCTTGATGTATTTTCATGTAAAAAACTGGGGGCTTTTAAACTTTCTGATTAAGACAGCCAATTGGCAAAAGGAGATCAGAACGCACACATTCACTGTCAAATGTGTCCAACTCAGTCATGGCACCCTGCTAAGAAGCCAGCCATGGGGCAGAATAAATGGCTATTCTTTCAGAAGTCAGTTTCCAGAACTACCAGTGTTCAAAGAAGTCACAGTATGGGTGGCGATGTAAGTTTCCTTGGGCCCTTGCAAACTCTCTTGACGCCCTGTATTTACATGGCTGGAAAAAGACCAGTTTCTGCTGTATAAACAACATCACCTCTTTTTTAAAATTATGTGTCCATGCATCAGTTACGAGGACAAGGGCAGCTTTGTGCAAGAGCCCCCTCGGCCAAACACGGTTTTACCTGTATCCACAGCAACCATGAAATCTGCACACAACTTTAATTTCAATAGGAGCCAAAGGCCAGGCAAACATTCATTTAACACATCTGAGAATGGAGCAGGGGGTCTCTTTGGTTTGTTTCTCTTTGCTGGGAAACAAGTAACTCTCTGGCACATTTCACAAACAATGCAGAAATTAATTTGTTTTCCAATCAGGAAACAAAATTATCTGCAATTGATTTATTTATTTTGCAACTTTTGTATTAGTCACGGGAAGACTGCAATAGGTGTCAGAGGCCCTTCTGCAGCCCCTTGCAAGCAGCAGCCACATTAGCAGTGATGGTGTGCTGGGGGGGGGAGAGGGAGGGAGGGAAATCAGTATTTTCTAAGCAACACCATGACACTGTTTAAGGGAGCCATCCCACCCACTGGGATGAGCAAACTAGGATCCAGCGGACCTGCTATTCTGTCTTAATTTAACCACATAGTTTAACCATAGTAGGAGCAGGTTGGGTTTTTTTTGAAAATTTACCCTACATATCTTAACAACTAAGTTCCCAGCCTAGGAACACTCTTCAAGCTATGCCAGCTTAACTCCCTCACCCTCTGCTCAGGAAGATGCTCTGGTGTATCTCCTCTATCCTGGCTCAGCTGCAAGCCTGTGTGTCTGCAGGCTCCAGCCTGTCCACGGGGCAGACTGAAGTTGTCGCCTCAAGCGGCAGAATCCCATGAAGCAGGGACATCCCATCTGCCTCTGCCACTGCTGGATTGGCACAGTGGCGGCTTCCGGCAAGATCTCACAAAAGATCTGAGAGATCTCTCAAAATCTCACCAGAAGCTGCCACCTCACAGGCACCTTCTCATTTTAGAGCTGGAAGGGACCCTAAGGATCATCTAATCCAACCCCCTGTAATGCAGGAATATGCAGCTGTCCTATATGGGGTTGAACCCGCAACCTTAGCACTATAGAACCACACTCTAACCAACTGATCTAGTGCAACTTTGCTCCAGCTTACCTGACATTGGTTTGCTTAATGCCAGCTTATTGTGTATAGGACTGCTCCCTTTGTATAGGTAAAATGCAGCAGTCCCTAGAACAGAAGGCACCTGAGCATTCCACAACAAATGTGCATTTGCTGCATTGAGGAAATGGTCACACTGCAAAGGTGTAGTGTCCAGAAAGAAAGAGAAAAGAGAAAAGTCTAAACCACAGAGCCTAGGACTTGCCAATCAGAAGGTCAGCGGTTCGAATCCCCGCGACGGGGTGAGCTCCCATTGTTCGGTCCCAGCTCCTGCCAACCTAGCAGTTCAAAAGCACGTCAAAGTGCAAGTAGATAAATAGGTACTGCTCCGGCAGGAAGGTAAACGGCGTTTCCGTGCGCTGCTCTGGTTCGCCAGAAGCAGCTTAGTCATGCTGGCCACATGACCTGGAAGCTGTCGGCGGAAAAACACCGGCTCCCTCAGCCAGTAAAGTGAGATGAGCTTTACCCCAGAGTCATCCACGACTGGACTCAACGGTCAGGGGTCCCTTTACCTTTATGCTCTCAGAATATCAAAGGAAATGGTCTGCACTAATATAAACATGTGATCCATATACATTATCTCAGTCATTTTTAATACAGTACTGACTTACTCTTTCACAGTTCTTGTCATGTGCCCATACTGCTGTGGAAGGCTGACAGCATAAAATATGTACATACACACACACACACACACACACACACACACACACACACACACGTTCCATGTGTTTCAATGGGGCTCACTCCCAGGGAAGCAGGTACAAGAATGCAGCCTGAGAGACAGAGGCTTCTGTAAAGATGGCTGACAATATCATTGCTGAAATGAGATTTTAACCTAAGACTCCCCAGCTCACATCTTATTTAAATAATGCTATCAGCGTTCTAAACTCTGTGGGGAAACAGTAGCGGGAGCCAGGGACATACAATAGTACAAGGGAATAATATGGGCAAATATGTTTACATATGCTTAAAGCTTGATTGACAATAAGGATTTATAGGAAATGTGACATCACATTCACAGCTGGGGTGCCTGGTGCAGAGGAGAATAGGGGCCCTTGCACTTCTGACTGCAGTACAGAAGAGGGAGTTTCAGCAGAGGCAGCTTGTAATGAGAGGCTTGAAAGTGAGGTTCTCTTGGCAGTTCTTAGAATCACAGAACTGTAGAGCTGGAAGGGACCCAAGGACATGGCTGCCAACTTTCAGATTTGAAAGTAAGGGATCAGCAGCCTCCCCTGTCCCGGAGACAGTCTACGGGATATCTAACAATCTGGGATAGCAGCGGGAAGCAGCGCTGGAATAAGGGAATTTCCAGCAAAAAAAAGGGAAGGTTGACAGCTATGCCCAAGGATCATCTAGTCCAACCCCCTGCAATGCAGGAATCTCGGCTAAAGCATCCAGGCCAGATGGTGCTCAGTGCAGGGCCCCGTGAAAAAGCCTTTTGAGTGCTGGCCCCACCACTAAGAAGTGACTTGCCTCTACATTTTGGTGACAGTTGCAGACACACCTCTTTCATCAGGCTTTTTATTGGTGGAGAGTTGTGATTAGTGAAGTCAGTTTTCAGTACAATGCTGTTACTCTGTTAGTTATGTAGCAGTTTTGTACAAATTGACTTAAATTGGCTGTATTATGTTTTGTTGTATTTTATTTTGCTATACATTGCCCTTTCTCTGACTGTTACGGAGAAGGGCACTATAAAACTAAGTAACTACACAAATTAATGGAAATAATTCCTTCTTTTTATTGGACTCCCCCCCCCCCCAGCAAAATGTACAATAGGATGCAGTTATTCCTACAAGCAGCTATAGTAATGAAATCTGCACTGTGTGATGTAGTTGGCAGAAAGGCATATATATGCACAGGACTCAAAAAGTTAGCTTGCAGTCACAAAATCATTCTTTTCAACCAACAAAACAAAAGTTGCATAGTTCAAAAATCATCCACAACAGCTTCTTTAAAGAAACTGAACGCTTAGTGGGTGGGTTTCTAGAGCCATAAATTCCAGTCTTGTCCCGAAACAGTAAACAACAACCTGACAGTGTGTTTCATCAAAACTGCATCCATTATTAAGCAAGGGGGACCACTCTCCTGCCCTGCTCTTCCGTGAGCCCCTCTCCTCTCAGATGGCTCAGCTACGTTCTAGAAGAATAGCAGAGCAAAATCAATATGGAATGGATGCACCTGCCCCAATCTGCTTCTAATTTGCCATTATCCCTCTCTAGTTATAATTAATTTTGTGCAGCCCCTTTTTGAGACTTTAATCTTTGCAAGGGAAAGGGGGGACAGGGAAGATAATTTGCTTCCACTGAACATGCATTTTTCATACCCCAGAGGCATATTTTAAAAAATCATCTCAATAGGTTCTGAAAACTTACACGGAGGTTGCAAGATTGCTAAAATTCAAACCAAAAGAATATCCTATAAGGTTAGGCGATACTCAATGACTATGATAAAAGTTTCCGAGTCAGGCTTGCTTGCTGGCACTTTTGGACTGTTGCTATTTGGGGGTGGGATTCAATCACATACCAGCAAATTCAGCTCACCCAGTTAAGTGGATTTTGAGCTCTTGCACAACAAATCCTCTTCCCTCCTAAAATTAGATTTTCTGTGACAACGGAAGTAATAAGTAATAAGTAATAAGCAACAAGTAATTTTAGAACTACTTGGCTCTAGCTGGCCACTGCTGAACTAGAATGTAAAAATCACAAAATCAAACCAAAATAAATAACTCTTGCTGGTAGATTTCTGTGGCTGAGCTCTAATGGGCTTCAGGCCCCTTCAGAAGCAGAGGGGAAGGAGAAAGGCACCAACTTCAGGCCACCAATAACATCAGTGAAAAGATATTTTTAATGCTTCTGCGGCTTTTGATCCCATTGGCCATGGAATCCTTCTGGAGTAGGTCAAGGAGGAGGTGCTTGTCATAGGGGATCATACTATTAATAGTGTTGACATCTTTTAGGAGGGAAAGAAATTGAGAGTCCCAATTAAGTCCACATTGAACAGAATCAAATTTTCTAATGTTTTAGCGGAGCGATGTCAAACTGGGTTCCCTCTCTGAAGTCTTCTTGCTGAATCATTCAGATCAGCAGCAGAGTATTCTGGGAGACTCAAATGTTTCTTACTAACAAAAAAAACCACAACTCACCCTCCAAAAGACACCTTGAATAATTTTGAATAATTGAATAATTAAGTCATCTGAAATCATAAGGTATTTTCTAAAGATATAAATCAATAGAAATAATGTAGTGTTGCTAATGCAATAGACAAGCTTACACATTCTGCTGCATGCTTCTTTTGCTTTCTGTTTTGCAAAACAGTTTTCCTCCAGGAAAACCGATCAATATATTTTTATTATCTTGATTTCACTGCTCCCTTTTCTTGGGCCAATAGGATTTTTATATGCCTTCTCTGAAATTCAGATAAGGCTAGTTTCTAAAATGTTTTACTGGTGCACTTTAATTTGCCCCATTCACTATATATTCAATTTTATAGAACAGACAACAAGGTCTAAATATCAATTTAATAGAAGTCATTACAAAATACCTGTGTTGCAGGTATCTGTTCATGAGAAACAGATGAGCAAGCACCAACGCAAACCCTCGGCAGGACATTGTGATTTATTTGCAAAACCCTGCCAATAAAATAGCTCACATCCCTTCCAACTTGGATCACATAATGGATAAAGGTCAAATGCAGGAGGTTTCCTTAGACACCGTTGTCATCATTTTATGGGAGAGGTTCAGTTATTGCAGCCTGAAGATATGGGCAGGATATGGCCCAAAATTTGCCCTTCTTGGCTAATAGTGTCTAGCAAAGGAGGAGTGCCCAGCTGGGTTCAGCGAGGGGTTAATGACCTAGCAACTTGTAGGTCCCAGTTAGATCCAGTTTTGCTTCCTGACTCAGATGGAGCATCTTTTAGAAAATAGTTCCACTGTTCTATAAGCAGTGGGCCACATACATCAATACTTTAAGTTACTAACATAAGTCAGCGTTATTTTGCCCACTTCTATTAATACCCCAGTAACAGCCTCTCCTGGATAACAATAGTCCTGCCACAGTTATCCTTTGGAAACATCCAAGTTAAGAGTACTGTAACTTGTTGGCACTGGAACAGCCCATGAAAGCATTGGAAGGCAGGAGCCAAGTTTTTAACTGGGAGTCATGAAATCATAGCGCTAGAAAGGACCTTAAAAGGCATGAAACCCGCCCACCAACAAGTGATGCAGCAAATGTGTTGCTACATCATCCAAAATGGGAGGCCATCGAGACTCTGCTTAAAAATCTCTAACAAAGGGGAGTCCTTCCTGGTCGAGGCAGTCTATTTCATTATCCAACAGCTGCGCCGTCAGGAAGACCTTCCTAACATTTATTTGAAAACCACTTCTTTGCAATTCACTGTGTGGAATATTTCACCAAGACAGAAATAAATCCTCACTGGCTTGCAGCTTGTTTCGAAGCACAATTAATTGGCAGGCCTGCTTTCAACCCACAAAGCCCTAAATGACCTGGGATCCAAGTATCTGTAGGACCATCCTTCCCCATATCTGTCTGCTGGCCAGGGCCACCCCCACCTCCAGGTGCACCCGCCTACTTCACCTTCCTTTAGGCACTGGCTGGAAAGGGTGTCATCCATGATTTCCGTTTTCATTTTCTGCTTTTGCAGGAACAGCGCTGAGCCGAAAGCACTCAACAACAATAATACTCAAATTTAGTAAACGTTAAAAGTAGGTAAACATTACCATGAGAATAAGCAGATTATTTTTTTTAATGCACAAGCTGCAAATTTTGGGGTGCCAGGGAGACCAGGCGCTCGGGTTTTCCTCCAGCCTGAGATCTTAAGCCATCCTACATTTCCAAATTCCATTAAGCTGTTTGATGCCAGCCTGTCTTCAAATGTTAAAATGCATGTAACAGGTTGCGGTCTCAACTTACCGCCCTGCCCTGTTTCATGTTACCACAATATTAAAAATAACACACATGTAGAAGAATGCTTTTGTATACGGAAGTGTTAAAACCATTCCCGGCATAGATTCATTATTGGTTCAGACATACGACTGCAAAAAGTTAACCTTTGTGGAGCTTTATGCTGAAAAAGAGGCATGGTGGTTTCACTGCTTTTCTAATGTTACTGACAGATATATATCCCCCAGATTATCCCAACAAATAACTCTACTTACTGCACTGTACAGTGTATATACACATTGCTTCATATGACAATAAGCTCAGGAGAAATGAACTGTATCATTCATTTCCTGATGAATTCAGGAGTCCTGAGAACAATTAAAGACTTGGTAGAAGTAAAACAAAAGTCCCCAACACCAAATCTAATTCTTAGCATTTGGGTGCACCAACTGCAACACTTCATCTGTCTCCTGAGAAATCTCTGTGTGGGACAAGTAGCTACAGTTAGAACTAGATAGGGAACAACTGATTGGTTCAAAATTGGGAAAGGAGTACAACAAGGCTGCATATTTTCTCCCTGCTTATTTAACTTATATGCAGAATTCATCATGCGAAAGGCTGGGCTGGATGAACCCCAAACCGGAATTAAGATTGCCGGAAGAAATATCAACCACCTCAGATATGCAGGTGACACAACCTTGATGGCAGAAAGTGAGGAGGAATTAAAGAAACTTTTAATGAGGGTGAAAGAGGAGAGTGCAAAATATGGTCTGAAACTCAACATCAAAAAAACGAAGATCATGGCCACTGGGCCCATCACCTCCTGGCAAATAGAAGGGGAAGAAATGGAGGCAGTGAGAGATTTTACTTTCTTGGGCTCCGTGATCACTGCAGGTGGTGACAGCAGCCACGAAATTAAAAGACGCCTGCTTCTTGGGGGAAAAGCAATGACAAACGTAGACAGCATCTTAAAAAACAGAAACATCACCTTGCCAACAAAGGTCCGTATAGTTAAAAGTATGGTTTTCCCAGAAGAGGAAGAGATGCGTAAGTAGCAGTCTTTTCACACAGAGCTATCTAGTACAGTGGTACCTCTGGATGCAAACGGGATCCGTTCCGGAGCCCCGTTCGCATCCTGAGTAGAATGCAACCCGCGACTGCGCATGCCACGATTTGCCGCTTCCGCGCATGCGCGTAACGTCATTTTGAGCGTCTGCGCATGCGCGAGTGGCGAAACCCGGAAGTAACGCGTTCCGTTACTTCCGGGTCGCCGCGGAGCATAACCTGAAAACGCTCAACCTATAGCATATTTAACCCAAGGTATGACTGTGTATAAAATAATGTAATCCAACAGTAGAGTTTATCTCAATTCCAGTTGATTCAAAAAATAAAATAAAAAATAAACCAAGGAGTTCGTTCCACTTGTTGTTGCTTCAATGTCCAGTAGAAATAAATTTAGGTATTTCAATATAGTTTTAATTCTATAATAATCCAAAGTAATTTTGCCAGAATATAGCTATGATCCACTTTTTTATTCTTGAAACTTGACACAATGTTTAGTCTCAGTTGTTTTCTCCAATATCTCAAGCTTCTTTGAATATGAAAGTATTAATAACTTCCCAAACTAATCAGAGTCAATTAATTCCACCAGGTTTGTTCTAAAAATCAAATATATATGTCCAAGTTCAATACTGATGTAACTATAATCACAGGTCAAGGTCAAGTTTAAATGCAGTCTCAAGTTCAGGTCAAATTTAATTCAAGTTAAAAGTTTTAAAAAACCATAAAATATCCAGATTGGTATTTTAAAAGCTATGTAGATTCCTTGTCCATTAGCTGGCTTTAACTCCAAAAATTAATCCACAGTTTTTTCCACTTGTAAAGGTTCTCATGCGATATAAAATACCCACAGACAGGAGTAGACTTCCTTTTTAGCACTTGTGATGCATCAATTAAATGGGAATTAAAAACATGTATGCATGATGATTTGTTTAAAACTAATTATACTGGTTGCCAAGTTTGTACTGAAATTAATAAAGCATAATGGGAAGGGGATGCTTACTTGATAAAGGGTGCATAGACCATTATCTTTGCCTGCGTATAAAAGGACTCATCTGTCCTTAAATATGGCCATGATGAAACCAGAAATCAAACCAAAGTAGCCACAGGGAGGCATATACAGAAGATGGCTCCTGCCTGGGCCTCAGAGTGTGGGGCCAGGAGAAAAGCCAGTGCTGGGCGACCCATTTATCATACATGTAGAAAGGTAAATGTCATAAAATGGAAGCGGCTGTCTCCCAAGAAAACAGCTTTACACTGCTTATTAATGGCTCTCAGGAATTCATTCACGTGTGGTTAATTAAATCCTGACACCAACAAGCTCTTTAAAGAAATGAATGGATTCAGTATAAACACAGATAGTTTAGCACCACAGGGATCTCTAACATTCATCTTCCATGAAAAAGATGTGCTAATTGCTCCCTTAATCATCAGGTTCTTAATGATATTTTGACACAAGGAAAATCAGTGTGTCTTCACAAAGACGTCTGCAGTAAAAAGAATAGTCAATGAAGAAACTGAAAGCCTATAGAAGACACTTTCCAATTGCCTCTTATGCTGCAGCACAGCAGAGCACACCTGGCCCCATCGAGGTCCCACAAACCCCGCCAGTCAAGGCCTTAGCATCGCCTGAGGACCCCTCTCTCGCAGCTGGAGAGATGTGGAACAGGCTGACACAGTGCAAGACTAAGGGCAAGGCTCAGTCATTCTGGACACACTTCCACGGGAAGTAAACCCCAATGAAGTCATAGAACTGCACTGTAAAGCAGTATCTTCAGCAGGTGTATCTCCAAACAACCCTCTTCATCTGCAAAACAGCACTGGGTTGCCCTAAGGCGAACAAATCACAGATTCCCTCTCTTCTATTAGCTACATTCACACTATTTAACCATTTTTTCCAGCCTCCAACCTGTCATTCTCAGCTGGCCACCAGTGCCCTTCAGCACTGCAATCAAGCTACACAAAAGCCTAAAGAGATGGAAATCTCTTCCCTTGAAGCAACACAATAGCATTCAGAATAATGTAACAACCTAGTACTCTAGTGCAGCCCTGCAATGAGGGAGTAAGACCAAAGAAACCTCAACTCAGGAAGCCATTTAAAGAAACGAGGGGGACAAGAGACCAAAAGGAGCATACACAATTAGCAAGATAAGGAGGACTTTGGAATCTTTCTCCACTTCAGTTACTATGAATTGTTGCTTTTTCCTTCTTCAAACATCACCACCACACCTCTGCTTCCTGCAGGTGAAGACACTCCCTCGCCTACCTGCCTCCCTTGGCAGTTCAGCTGCCTGAGGCTAGAACTCTAGGCAACGCGCCTTCAGAGAATCATAAAACTGTAGAGTTAGAAGGGACCCCCAAGGTTCATCTAGCAAGATGGATTTGATTTAAATCAAATTGATTTAAATCACTAGTCAGTAAGACTTGATTTAAATCATTTTTTACAGGAATCTTTTGCCCAACATGGGGCCCAAAGAGCCTGAGATAGAAGTCTCAATCTGACAATGTTTAACTCTTCCCCTTTGGGATTCAACACACAAATAGTCAAGTGAAGCAGAAATTTTGTCCATTTTACCAGTGTAGATTCTCATCCTCCCCGACATTCTCTCTCTCTCTCTCTGCTGGCACCATTCTTCAAAAGGGCGGGTGTCTGCACTGGTGCACATGCTAACGTTTTGATGAAGAATGACACAGATGAGGAACTGGGGAAATTGACCTTAAAAGTTTCACCCTGTGGAGACCAGAAAGAGGGAAAGTAGAGAAAGTGGCCTTGCTGTAAATGCTCATGGAATGGAGGAGAAGGGGCATGAAAGGGAGCAATGCTGAGTCAAGAGGCCTTTGGACCAAGGAGGCATTTCCATACAGGAAGAAGAGTTTAAAATGTGGAAAGAACTTCCCCAAATGTGTCAAACTCTAACTTACAAACCTGATTTAAGCACATTTAAAACTGTATTTTAAACTGTGGCAGGTGTGAAATTGGTGGCAGCACACTGTTCACGCAGCCCAGGTGCCATTGCATTGTATCGCTGGGATCCACCAATCAGGGGCAGGGGGGGGCATACAGACTTTCTTCATCTCTAGGAGTGGTGGTGTAAGCCCACCCTGAAAGAGCTGGACATGGATCTCAGAATTCCCCGAGTCATTGCTATGTATTTTTAGCTATCTGGTGCCTTAAGCTCTGGTTTCAAACCAAGTTGCTCGAAGAAGAAGAAGAAGAAGAAGAAGAAGAAGAAGAAGAAGAAGAAGAAGAAGAAGAAGAAGAAGAGCAGCAGCCAGGGAAAGCGACTTAGGGAGCAGGTCTACCACTCCGTGGGCTCCCCTACTTTCCTTGGGGACCCATTTGCCTTATATCGGGTGTTGGTGGGACCAGAAGGAGATCCTCTGAAATGGAACGGGGAACCTGGGAGATGCATCCCCATCCCTAACCATTTCAGAGGTATGTACTGTAAGTGGAAGAAGTCTTTGGATCAAGGTCAATTTTTCTCAGGCAATGTTGTAGCACAACATTTTGAGATTCCCGTTTTGCAGGGGATTGGACTAGATAACTCTCAGGGTCTCTTCCAACTCCACAATTCTATGAATCTATGTAAATCAGCTCTCCTGTGAGTGGAAGGTGCCTTCCACATACACAAGGATGGCTTTGGACAAAAGTCTGCTTCCAATTTCACATTCCATTTCGTTCTCTCCGCCCACCCCCATAAACACACACTTGCAGAATTGAAGCATACTCACAGCCTGAAATATATCTTTTCTCTGCACTGCAGGCAATACTGAGATCGCTTCCCTCTGGGGTCCCCTGTTTGTGCTGTTTCTAACATTACGCATGTCTAGAAATGACAAAAGCGCAGGCACCAAAACGCCACAGAAGCGAGTCGCAACAACGACTCTATTCCATGGAGATCATAACTCTTGATGGTGTGTGCGTGAGCCTCGGCTGCATAAATTAGCCTTCTCAATGCAACTTTGTTTTTTTCTCCCACTCCAACTTGTCTAATCAGATTCCAATCATACAAAGAAAATTACACAGCTGCTTAACATTCCTGCTTCCATTGACTTCAATGCAGACAAGGCGTCCGCTGGCTAAATATCTTCCCTGTTGGTTTATGTTGGATCAGGGCATTAGGTCAGTGTCAGCCTCTCTGAAAGAAAGGGGACTATCAGCTCTCTGCGTGTGCACAATAGACAAATCCATGCTGATAGAGATCCTGGCATAAGCAACCAGACACTGAGACCGCCTTTAACTCCTGCCATTGTTACATAGGTGTCACTGACAGATATTAAAGCTGACGGGAAAGATCACAAAACCTCCTCAAAGCTGGCTGCATTTGCAAGAACTAAAGGGGCCTGCAGTCTAGGCACACCAACTTCTAGTTTAGGAGCTCACATCTGCCTTTTCATTTTTCTTCCATTTGGGCCAGGCATGTTCAGAATCCAAGAAGTCTCTTACATGGACACAAGTTGAAGCACCCCACTTGTGGGCAAGCCTTAACCATGCCGAAATAGACTCTACCCTGAAAAGTCACGTAACCAGGGCTTTTTCCAGCTGGAACTCAGTTCTGGCATTTCTCATGTGGGCGCCATTGTGTTTATAAGAGAGCAAGGGAAACGTTCATGGTGAGTTTCGGAACCTCTTTTTCTTTTCTTTCTTTTCTTTTTCTTTTTCCTACAATCAGATATTATTATTAAACTTTTCTTGGTTTACAAAGGTATGCGCAATGTCTCTTTTTCAAGCTAGGAACCTCTTTTCTCTCTCTAGAAGAATAGCACTGTGTGTAACCAGAGACCATCCTCTGCTGTGAAGTGACACATTTGTTTGTGGAATTTGTATCTTACATTTCCACCATAAGATGATCAAGGCAGCTTACAAATATAACAAAACGGAAGTGAAAAACCAAGCAAGCAAAACATAAATGTAATCAAACAAAGCCATCCAGATTTGTCCCTGGAAAGTCACTTTTCTTCTTTAAGTTTTCAAAGTTTTTAACCTAGCTCAAGGTTGTCACCTGAACTAGCCAGATGTTTAACTGATAATCAATCTGAGTCAGTTCATCATTTGAAAAATAAGACTTTAGAGCCGTCTTGCCCCAAAATGGCAACTAGACATTCTGCTTTGCCAACTGTAACCTTGGTTTAAGGAACCATTTGGCCCCTTGCTTATATATCTGAGTTTCTAATTCTGTGCATCAACCTTTTTATATATACTTCTTGCAAATTTATCTTATTAAACATTTGTTTGGGGTCTTAAAAAAAAATTTAGGGTAATGTTCAGATGTCACAAAGGCACTCCAATCTGTGCTGAGCCAAGCTACCTTCTGTTGGAAATTAGCTGCATTGTTTTTTTCCTAAGCCAAGTCCTGCAGGAATCATTGTGGGCTTGGCCAAAGCAAAACTGAGTGCCGCTCCACAGCAACCCGACTGCTGTCCCTGTGTATGTCTTTATACGCCCCCAGTTTTCAACAGAACAACTCCAGCCCATGAATGCATTTGCAAACAAAGACGTTGAGTCCTACACAGTTAATATTAGGACTTTAAAATACTGTGGAAACTGATAAGCCGATAACAGTGTTTACAACAGATAGCACTGTAATTTTTGCAATTAAAATGAATACTTCTGTTCTATTGTGTCCTTTCACAAAGAACGTTTCTGTATATAGAGTTATATCTTCTGCACTGGCTTGCCTACCATCAGACAGGGTCTGTTCTTAAATACAAAATAACCCAATAACTTTAACAGCTGCTGATGTTATCACAGTACTGGATAGGTCTTATCTTGATTTCATGTCTGCTTAAATTTTAACTATTCTTCTGGAGCAACTAGGGGGGGAAATATTGGCACATTTATGTGAAATTTCAGAAACCTGGTTCTGGATCCAGCCCTCTCATTTTGAAATATACTATTATTGGCAAGTTCACCTCTGGGCAGATCCCCCAGGGACAACAGAACTGTGGCAGGCGTCCTCCCTTCAGAGGCTACCCAAAGAATTCCAAAAGAAGGTGTAACCTCTTGCCAATAAATAGGTGCAGCAGTTTTGAAGCACTTTAGGATTAGCCAGGACTTGAACTGGGAGCCTCCTGATCTATGCCCTGGTGTCCCTTGGGATGAATGAGTGACCTCCCAAGTCTCTGTGTGGCTCCCACCCCGCCTGCCCAGTCAAGCTAATAGTTGGACAAATCTATCCATTTGGGTTTCTCTCAGATTATCACTTCTCCGATCTCAAATCCCCTTTATCACATACACAGCCCAACAGGACAATGACAATAATCCACCAACAGCATACAAATCAATATGGCTAACCTGATCCAAAACACCCACCCACCTCACTCACACACGAAAACAAAGATCACCACAGCCAATCACAAGCAAACAATCACACCCTAGGCCAACCCCAACCTCTCTCACCACCAAAGGAACACAAGTGAACAACACAAGCAACGCTGACACCAAACTTTACATACATTAAACATAATAGAAACACCGCCACCCGACCCCACCCCCATCCATCTTCCTTCTCTCCACCCCCCCTTTCTTTTTTCCTTTCTTTTTCTTCTCCCCCTAATGCCTCAACAAATGAAACGGATTTGTAAAAATGTTACATGGGGGGAAAAAATACGAGGCATTACACTTACTTCTGTAAAACAAGAAAATCCTTAATAAAATATTTTTTTAAAAAAAAATTAAAATAATCAAAGCATAAAAAAAATTCAATTTGTCACATTTCCACATCAATTTGCCATTTTAAAAAAAAGTTTGCATGAAAATTTGCATGCTAAAATGCATTTTGGTATGTTATTTTAACTAATTATACATTTGTGTATGAGCTTTCCCCTAGTATTATAAAAACGTAACTGATAGAATTCTACAGGATGTGGTATTAGTGTGTGAAAACAGTCCCGATCTGATGATTCCCCAGATGCTGGAGATATCAGGTGCCATCCTGGCGCCCAGGCATCTTTGCTTGGTCACAGGTGCCTAATGCTCCGGGCGCCTGGCTAATTTCGACACTGGCTGCACAGCAGCAATACATGTTCACAGTTAAACATAAAGCACCAATGAAAACAGTAGAAAATAATCATTCACGTGGGAGGCTGCAACAGTTGCAAAGGCCTCTTGGCCTAAAAAAGTCTTCCAGAGACAACTGAAAGTCGAAAGGGGAAGTGCCTGCCATTTCTCTGCTGGAAGAGTGTTCCACAGCAAGGGATCAGTGGTGATAAATGCCTGGTTTCTTGCTGAGCCAAATTGGGCCTCTGTAACTTTGAGATGACTAACAGCTCTCCTCTGAATGATCTCCAGGATCTGGCTGGGATATCAGAGCTGGGATCCAAACCCCAAAATCTTGGCACTAGAACTCCCGGCGAGGTTTGGAGCTTTGCCTCTGGCCTTACCTAGGTGCCACATAACCCAGCTTCATTAGGGGGATGAAATGCCCCATACTGGCATTTCCAGAGGAAGGTCTCCTTTAAAAACCCCACTAAATTTGGCATAACTTTGAAGGGGGAAAAGAAGAAAAATGGAGAGCAGGGATTCCTCATACCCCAACAGCTTATAGTCAGTGTCCTGAAGTGGTACCTGCAATGAGGCTGGGGTGGGGCAGGAACACTTCCCTGCATTAAATGGGGAACGTTCAAGAGGGAGGAAAGTAACAAGGAAACATTTCCCCCTTCTACCCTTCCACAAACCTTCTCTACCCATAATGTGTTATTTACATTACTATCCGAACACAGCAGGGAGAGGGGATGTGGGGAAAGTGATTTTTCTCTGTCCACATGCCTCACTTCTCCTGAGCACCAAAACCAGGGTGGCGTAATGGTTGGAGTGTCTGATGAGGACCTGAGAGAGCAGCGTTGGAATCCCCACTCAGCCATGGAGCCCACGGGGGAACCTCGGGCCAGTCACCACCTCTCAGCCTAACCTACCTCACAGGGTTGTTGCGAGGATGAAATGGGGAGGAGGAGAACCATGTACACCACCTCGAACTCCTCGGAAGATAAAGGCGGTACGTCTATAAATGGAACAAGCCCTACTGAAAGCCTCATGTTCCAGACTAACTGGGTCCTTGAGGAGGAACACACCTGTTTTTTGAATGGATGGGGAACCTTTTTCATTCCCATCTGCACTACCTGCCAGGGTTGTGGCCAGGGCAAAAGAGGGTGGAGCAATGAAGGTAAATCCCACCTTTGTTTCTACACACATCCTCCAGGCAGATAAGCAAGGGGCATCATCATCCAGCAAAGAAATGAAACAAAACAAACTCAGGGTGAGGGGGGAGCATGGCCTGGGGAGACTGCTGAGGGCCAGTTAGGGAGGCTTGGAGGGCCACATCCAGCATTAGGTTGCCCACTTCTGTGTTAGGGATAGGAGTACACTGCAAAACATTGTCAGAGGTCAGCACCTGTAGCTTAAAATAACCACAGATACAGGTGCTCCTGAGAAACGAAACCACATGTCACCTGCATTATTTGCACACATTATTTTGCAACAGAAATAAGAGGTATAGCACATTAAAAAAAGAAACATATTGATAGATTCCACAGTAAAAAGAAAAAGAAAAAAGAATGGTGCGCAAGTTCATCACATTTCAACCACAAGCAATATCATTCCCATTTCAACTGTGTCGCTAAAGTTCCATCAAATATTACATGCAGAGGCTGGGATCAACGAAACCACAAGAAGAAATCCACACTCATCTCTGCCCACAAAAAAATGGTGTCCAAACAAGATTTGCCCTCCCCGTCCGCTTGCCTGCTTGAGTGTTGGTGGCCTGGAGGCAGCCTAGATCAGCCTTCCTCATCCTGCTGCCCCTCCAGATGTTTTGAACTACAACTCCCATCAGCCCAAGCTGGAGGGCACCAGGTTGAGGAAAGGCCAGTAGAGAGCAAATGTACTACAGGAAAACATGTTTCTTACCAGCTTGTTTGCCAAGGAAACTCTATTGTGGCTGCAGAGGCTTCTGATACATCCAGGGGCAGTTGTTCCCAAGCTTTCCCCCTCATGGACCCCTCTGAAAATTGCTGATTGTCTTTGGGGGGGCACTTAATTCTTTTTCTGCCTGTTGCAGCAATTCTAATGTGCTGTGCTAGATGCTGTATGATTTTTAATTGTATTTTTATTGCTTCTCTGTTATCTATTGTATTTTATTGCATTACAATCAATGCAACGCGATTCATGAAATAAAAGCAGCAATAAAAATACAATTCAAATCAATATGAATATTGGATGCAATGGATGTGCCACCCCGTCTTCAGCTACAAATCCCCAGACATGCTGTGCACCACCTGAATGAAGTTCACAGAACCAACACCCTGTGTGAAATGAGAATGCCCCAACCGAGAGCAAACCTCACACTTCTCTGAACTGCAGCTAAACCCTAGAGAAGGAAAACTGGTGAGCAAACCATTTTCCCGGGAAATCTGTCTGCTGTTACTGATCTTCCAATCCATAACCTTGCAGATGAGCAATGGTGCAGTCAGGTAATTTTAGCCTCTGGAACCAATGGTCTCATGACAGGAGGGAATGTATACTACCACACTTACTTCACAATGTGGTCAGCCACCCCTGCTGCATTTTGAGAACTCTCTTGTTGGTTCTGCCAGGACCCTGGCCCCAAAGACCTGCTCCGATGGAGTCACTGTGGATCACTCTCCAAACAGCCCTGGCATTTACCAGAGCAGTTTGAAAGCGGCTGAAGTAAACAAAGTTCACAGCTGAGAAGTATCAAGAGCATGGTCTTAGTCGTAAGAGCATAAAGGGACAGAGCAACCGCCCACAAGCAATCTTCAAGGGCCACGTCTGAACCAAAACTCCTCCGTCGCCTCCCTCACTCCATGGCAGCCACCTGATCCCACTGCTACCCTCCAGTTTTCTTCTCATATCCATAACTAATTTCCTTTCCCCACATTTTATTCACCCTTCCCTCAGGCTACCAGGACCTTTTGTCTGCCTTTGCTTTTTAAAAGGTGTGGGGGTTTTCCTAGCTGTAATCATAAAACAATTAAGATATTATATTACTTTTGAATAAACAACATGAGACCAGCTGCCTTTTGCTCTGTCAGCTAGCAGCAGCTTCCTGAACTATCCCATCCTAGCTAGTCATTATAAGAACTGTAACTTGAAGAGTTGGCGGCCAAGTTTCTTTTTTTCTTTCTCCACCGCCATTCCCCTTTCCTTTTGTGCTATGTATTTTAGATTGCAAGCCAGGAACACTTTTGGTTTTTATTGATCTGTGAATGTGAGAAAGCTTTAAATAAATCATAAACAACTATAAAGGCACAATAATCAAGATGCAATTAACATCGCCAATTAGGAGAAAGGCATGCATTTATAAGTTACATGGACCACTGGAAATTGCAGAATGCACAAAAAAGTATACATTTCCTACGACAGAGACACAAAACTTTTGACCAAAGAGAGACCCAAATGTACAGAAATCCCCATCTGCCTGCATAGCTTCACGCCTAATTTTTACAAAGAACTACCGGTAATTTTCAGCGGCAATTGAGGATATTTTTAAACAAATGCATGTCTTTTTTTCTGTTTCCCTGGAGCATTTGGGCCTGCCTTCGCCACTTGCTTTTCAAGAACAGCAAAAGCCCATCTGCCCAGGAAGTGTATCAGCAGCTCCTGCAGTCAAGGATTCCTTGGGGCAGCTTTCCAAAGCTGTATAGGGCTGTTTGCTGAGGGGCACAAGAGAATGAGCTTATCAGGCAGGGTGGGGAACTTGGCGAAAAGCTGTGTCTTCAGTACCTAATTTTACCTGCAAAGGCCTGTTTGGGCTCCAAGATTCCTCAGATTTTTGGAGGGATTCAGAAGAGCAGACTGCCACCTGTTCTTGGCTGGTCAATCCTGCAACGCTCCAGGCTAGATGTTTAAAACTAGTCTACCATGAACAGCTGGCAAAAACTATATGTCACAGAGAGGTCAGTTTGAAATATGTTTTGGCACGCCTGATAGAACACTCATTCTTTCAAGTCAGCAATACTTTGCAGAGACAAATTGGAAAAGACAAAACCCATGTGCCTTGTGTTTTATAGCCGATTTCACAAGAGAATGTAAAGGAGAGTAGCATGGAAGAGAAAAAGCCAATTGATTCTCTCTAGCGTATTTTTATCTTATTATCATTATTTGTTAAATTAGTTTGTGACTTTATCTTGCCCAATGCCATATTAAAGAAACACAAATACATATACTGAGGCATTTGAGAGTGTGGGAGGATAAGAATCATGACTCTTCTTTAGCAATTAAAATATTTTAATGCCTTGCTCATGCGACAATACAACAAGCGCTCATAACGTTGATCAGACACTCAGCTTAACGGTTAGACTTTGTCAAGACCTGCCAGGACTCAAATCAGGAGCCTCCTGGTCTATTGGCTGATGCTGCCTGCTGAGCTGGTCCTGGAAAATCCTGAGGTCTGCAGTTCCAGAATGGGGGTTGTCCTCTGTGACGGAAGAGGCCCTGCTCAGACGTTGAGACAGAATGAAAGACGGAGGGCAAATAAGGCTACACTGCAGACTGCAACATGGGATCATTCACAAAAAGCCACAGGCTCTCCCTAAGTTGGTTTGGAGATAAAAGCTCGTGGAAATGGCTTTCTGGCCTGAGAAACGGGCTACCTTTGTCCCTCGCCCATCTGGCTCACTGTCTCCTTGCGCTGCCTCCAGCCTGCTTGCTCCACTGCCCATCCCTACAACCTCCCTTCATCCTACTCAGCTCAGACCAAACTGTGTCTTCTACCTCTGCCAGTGCATGGCTTGGCTTCTGGGCACCCCTTTCCATGGGAAGCCTTGAGCTTCTCCTATGGGATGCCTCCTATGGGATGCTTCTGCCAGGGTTGCCTGCAGTGGGAGTGAGGAACCTTCAGACCGCAAGTCCAATTCACTGGTGCTGTCAGCAGATGGCCAGGAGCACAGGGTTACATCCTGCCTTGGCTGCACACATCTTTTTCCATGATGGTGGCAGGATTTAATTCCTGCTCATCGAATGTTTTGATCTCATCTCATCAGTAGCAGGTTTTTGGAGGCTCGGGAGGGGGGAGCTGTCTGAAAGCCCTTGGCTCTGAGCCTTCCTCCTCTGCGGTTTCCCTTGGGGGCTCCCCAGCTGGTACCTCCCACCACTCCTCTTCATCCAACCAGTGCATGACAACTGAGCCCACCCACCTGTCGAATTTGGCCTGCCAGGGGCTGGGAGATAATAATCTGGCCCACAGACCATGAAAGTTTATCCACCCAGGGAATGAGTCTTTGGACCAAGGTAGCAGCATGCAAGTGCTTGACCAGCTAATGCAGTCTTACACAGAAGCACAGCATCCTGGTCATGGAAAGTAAGTCATCACTCAATGCTGCAGTCACTTAGATACATCCGTGCATGTGTGATCTGGCCCTTAACCCTACTCAGAAATTACCGGTATATGTCTGACCAAGCCCATGCGAAAAACAAAGTGCTGCTTGCTTGCTTGTTGGTTATTTATTTACTTACTTGAAACATTTCTGCCCCACTGTTTGAGTAAAAGCCTCCCATAGCAGTTAACATAATTGCACACTTAAAATAACAACAACTCCCTCCAAAAGCAAACTTGAGTGCAGAGTGCCTGCAGTTTTGCGGTGAACAGTACTGAGGAACAAGAGGAAGGTATCAGAATGTTCAGAGTAACTCCAATGTCTACAGGAGATTAAAAAAAATATTTAGGAGGGAAAATCTAAGGGAGCAAAGAACTTGCTCAAGAGCTCAGTTGCTTAGAACATGGTGTTGATAATGTCAAGGTTTCAGGTTCAATCCCCGTAAGGGGCAGCTGCAAATTCCTGCATTGCAGGGGGTTGGACTAGATGATCCTCAGGGTCCCTTCCAATTCTACGATTCTAAAAAAGAAAAGAAAACAAACCACCCATCCCAAATAGCCGAATGAGGCCTGAGTACACTCAGTGACCATGAAATAGTGAGACTCTGTTGGGGAAACAAGAAAGAAAACTGGAAGAGATTGAGAATATGATGCAGTGCCCTGAAGGAAAGTGTTGCTTTCTTCCAGAAATCCTAAAATGGAATGCTTCACACTGCAACATTTTGTTGCAGCTCCCACTCGTAGTTATATAAAAGGGATGTAAAACAGAAGTAGCAGAGGGATCTGACAAAACCATGGGTGGCAGTCAACTATGTCTTACTCAGAGTAGACCTATTGAAATTAATGGCCCCAACCGAGTCATGTTCCCTTCAGTGGGTCTGCTCTGAATTAAACATAATTGAATACGACCTACAGAAAATTCAGCATTTTAAAAAAATCCCCACTCTGCTCAAGTAACAGAATAAAAGGTGACACTGTTTATTTGTAAAACAAATTTGTCCCATTTGTAATCTTTGAGGAGATCCTGCTGAACATGCACACAGTTTGTACTTTGCATTTCTGAGGTGCTTCAGAGAAAGAAGGAGCACACATAATACAGTGGTTTTCTCATCAGCTAATTCAAAAAACTGCAAGAATATATGCCCAGAAGGAGGGAAATTATAAAATTTAAATTACCACCTATGCAAAAACTCAAGCACCATCTCCAAATGTGTGAGCCTCGTGTTTCATGGAACTTACTAATGGGCTGTTTGAATTATACAGCTTGACATTTTAAAAAATAAAAATCATTCTGCCCCAAGCATGTATGCTTTAATAGAATGCTATTTAAATCTGAACACTTCAGAAATATGTGGTTCTTATAACCACCCCTTAAAAAAACCACAACCACTTGTTTCTTAAAGGTTCAATTATTTGCTTCTAGAAAACATTAGGATATTGGCTAGATATAAACTTATAAATCTAGCTAATCAATTTGTTTTCTGAGATATGCGAACCAGCACATTTTCTGTCAATTAAAATGCCATAAGGATTATTTTCTGTTTAAATTTAGCATTTACACTTGGCAACAAACTGATACTCATTTATCAGTTCAGTACTCGGCACAATAAGGACCATTTGCACAATACGTCAGGTTATTCTCTGAAGATTTAAAGGCCAATAAATCAAAACAGTCTCTGGGGCCTCTTACACAAAGAGATACCTACGGTATTTTATGAGCAAGCAGAACCCAACTGGTATTCTGGCTTCAGATGGTGTATAATAAAAGTTATTTCCCACATTACACAGAAACAAAATTGTGCGCTGGTAGTAAGTATTTATTCAAACAAAGTCCTGCATGCAGACACAACTCCATGACAAGAGTTCACAAGCAGTTGTTTGTCAAAGCCACACATGGACAATATCTATATGGGCATCTTCATCATTCAACAACTGAACCCACCGAGGGAGAATACAGGAATCAAGCGTAAAGCCAGCCACTGGGATGCATGCATGCGCTAACACATGTGCTTGGTGACACAAGATACATAGGCTTGAAACTCCACAGCATAATATGCAAGCAGTAATTCACTATTATAATATTAATAATAATTTATCATTTATACCCCGCCCATCTGGCTGAGTTTCCCCAGCCTCTCTGGGCAGCTCCCAATCGAGTGTTAAAAACAATACAGCATTAACTATTAAAAACGTCCCTAAACAGAGCTGTCTTCAGATGTCTTTTGCTCGAGGGTCGCATAACTAGTTAGCATGTATATTAAACGTCACAATACATGTAAACAATGAAGCATGGCTTTTAAAATGCCAGTACTCAAATCCCATCTAGTCCACCCAAGCAGTGTTTGAAATTAGCCAGGTGCCGGGTGCATTTTGCCCTGGCTCTTAGCCGCCTGCAACCAAGCGAAGATGCCTGGGCGCCGGGAAGGCACCTGACATCTGGAGGTGCCTGCCTGGGGATCCTTGGATCTGGACCTGGACTGTTTTCACACACTAAGACCACATTCTGTAGAATTCTCTTGGTTATATTTTATCTGCACAATCAGAATGAATTTCAGGAAACAAAATGCTTCTTCTGTGCAGCCTGAACAGAAGCACTGAACGACGTTATAGTTAATTGTTGTCACTTGTCTTCACTTACCCTGCTCACAGTTGTGAAGAATATTTATACATTATGAAAGGTCTGTATCAACGTTAAGAAAAAGAGGTCAGAATAGGCCAATATATATGTGGACTGTCCCTGGATCAAGTGACTTTTCTTCTTTGAGTTCTCAAAGCTCTTAACTGAGCTCAAGGTTGTCATCTGAACTAGTGAGATGTTTAACTGAGAATCAATCACAGTCAGTCCATCATTTGAAAAATAAGACTTTAGAGCCGCCATGCCCCAAAAGAGCAACTAGACATTCCATTTTGGAGACTTGCAACCTTGGTTTGAGGAGCCATTTATTGCCTAGCTCATATATCTTGGTTTCTAACCCTGCATCCAAGACCAAAAAAATGCAGCCAAGAAAGGCCTGCCTGAGTCTTTGCCTGTTGACTGATCAAAAGTATGCTGCTTTATAAAGCCTTTAAGGATAAATGGACTCTTGATAAAAGGATTCTTCTTTTTAGAGTTATTAATTTCATGCTACTGTGATAGTTTTTCATAAACAGTAATGTCTTCTTATTTAATGTTTGATGCAAGTTCCCCAATGAATCATTTTAGTTAAAAGGAAAAACACAGGTGTGGCGAAATCAGGTGTAACTAACCTATTGCGTTTTTAATATTCAGTTGGGAGCCACCCAGGGTGGCTGGGGAATAAACAATAAATTTATTATTATTATTATTATTATTATTATTACTACTACCCTCCAGATTACAGCTCCTACAACCCCTGACAATTGGCTTACCTGGAGGTCCTCTGTGCTACGCCTGTTTTAAAGAAAGGACTATCAAATGGGCCAGAGTCAACCTGCAAACGAAAAGGGCTCTGAATTTTATGTAATTGTTATAATAGCAACATATGCCCTCTGATTCCTCTAGAGCAGGAAGGGCCAGAGCTCAGTGCATCTGCTTTGCATGTCAAGGGCCCCAGGTTCAAACTCCCAGATAGGTAGTGGATTCCAGGTAAGAAGGCTGGAAAAGGCTCCCTGTCTGAAACTAGGGACAGCTGCTGCCAGCCTGTGTAGACGCCACTCCGCTAGGTGGGCCACTTGCTCTAAGGCACTTTGCTCTGTCAGACTGAAGTAAATAGGACAGGATTTTAGGTGCTGGTTCTCTTAGACTGCAACGCTAGGAATAAGCCCAAAGAGCCTAAGCTTACTAACTTCTTTTAAGCTGTCTTGTAGGTGGGTTCACAAAAGTTACTAGGCTGAAAAATAAAAACTTCCAGAGAAAAGCCCCATCACCTGCGGTCAGCATAGAAACATAGGCTAGTAAAAAGAAAATAAATTTGCCTTCTCCCAAGTGGATCCCTCAGTTGCCTGGAAGGAATTCCTGGCCAGTTGCTAAATGCAAGGCACAGGTTTCTATCCTTTTGCTTAATGAGCGCAGCATCATAGAAGCCAAGTCAGAAATTTAACTTGATTCTTCAAAGGCAATTTAGCCAGCCAAAACCTCCCTTCTCCCCTCCTCAAAGATCAGAAGTGCCAGATAACATCAAGGACGGTTCTGCATAATGGAGAACATCTGCGCAAACCCTTTGGCTTTTGACTCCACCACCTTCCCTCGCAAATCGATCTGGTTTTTTGGCGTGTGTTCCCCCCCCCCAACAAGGTGCCCAACCAAAGAACCTTTTCTGGAGCCTTCCTTGTGGCGCCCCCTGCCGGTCGGGGCGCAGACTCCACAGCGGGAGTCCAGAATGTGCAGGAAATGGTAAAGTTAAAAGAACACCGACGGCGCGACCTCCGAAGCCTCAGCGGAGTGCAGGGCACAAACGCGCCGCCTCCCTTTCTCCTCCCCATCGCGAGCAGCTCCCCTCTGCTCCGACGTGCTCTCCCGCAAAGAGGAACCGGCCACACAAGGGCTCCTCGTCACCGCGCAACATCCGCGGCCAGAGACCGCTCCTCGCGCAACGCCCCCGCCCTCCCGACGGCTTTTCGTCCACAGACGCCCCTTGCTTCCCGCACCTCCTTCCTCCGCCCCGTCGAGAGCAGGTTTGCCCGGGGAACGCCAAGTTTCCTTTCCGCACGAGAGCCCCCCGCCCCGCCCAGCGCGCTCCTGCACCTGGCAACGACATCCAAGCTTGCAAGCCCAGCGAACTCCGTGGGGCTTCTCGGAGCGGGAACACTCGCACGATCAAGCGAGCCTCGAGTAAACCCCGCGGAAATCTACCGGGCTTGCCTTGCGAGCAATCAAGGAAGGTAACTGAAATGATCCGACGCCGCTTCCCGCGAAGAAGACCCAGGCCCCCGGGAAATTGCCTGCATTGCAGAGGGTTGGACTAGATGACCCCCGGGGACCCTTCCCACTCTACCATTCTCTAATCCCAAGGATGTACTGAGACGGGGGTACTGACGGGGTACTTACCCCAGGGGAAGCACCATAGCGGGGCCCGCGCCGCGTGGTGGTCGCCGAAGGAAAGATCCGACGGCAGCTGCGGAGAGCTCCCGGGGGCAGCCCCGGCAGCGGCAGCAGCAGCAAGGGCGGCGCTTGCCGGACCTCCGCGCTCATAAAGCGCCCGGCGGGGATCCTGGCGAGGCTCGGCGGGTGGAAGGGTCGAGGGGGCGGGAGGCGCCGTCCGGAGCGGGATCCGCGGGGCGCGAGCGGCAGCGCAGGACCAGGCGCGCCCGCAGCAGGTCCCGGCGGAGGCGGCAGGGAGGCTGAGGCTGCTGAGGCTGCTGCTGCTGCCGCCGCGGTTGCCGCTCCGCCTCCTCCCCCGAGGGGGAAACTGGAGCCGGCGGAGCCCCTTCCCGCCCCTCCCTCGGGCTCGCCCACAGGGGCGGCCCGGCCCGCCCTCCTGCTCCGCCTCCGCGTCCGAGGTCCGCGCAGCGCGCTGCTTAGAGACCTCCCTCCCTCCCTCTCTCCGGCTAGGAGCCAGTGACGTCTGCCTTTTGTGCCCGTCGCGGCTGCCGCCTGCTTCCTCGGGAGACCGGGCGTCTCTCCCACGTGCAGCGCGCCCGCGGGCTTCAGACGTGCTGCGGGTTGCGGAGTAGGGTTGCCCCGTTTCAGGGCGTGAAGGAAACTTTCGCGGGGAGGGCTAGCCTTCTCCCCAGAGAAGGGGACAGACGGCGGACTTGTGGGGAGGGGAGACAAGACCACCAACACATCCAGATACTTAGCTGTCATTTAAAAAGAAAGTCAATCAGACATTTCTGAAGAAAGTTAGAACAGAACCCGTGGAGAGACAGTGCTAGGGCTTTGGCGCTGGCCAGAGGGCGCCGTTGCTAAGGTCACTTGATCGCGGTTGCTAGGCAATCGGAGGATGGGATGCTGACACTCCTACCTGGAGTCCCTCCCAGAGCACCCGGAGAAGCTGGATGGAGGGGGGGGGGACATGTTTGTTAAAGCACTGTCCTGGTGTCAGCATGATTTAATTCACTCCCAAGTGTGCTTCTTTCTTTACAGAATGAAGCACAGTTGACTGGATTTGATTTGTTTTACTTTTCCAAAGTAACTCCCTGGAAATAAATGGTTTCCTTCTTACTGGCATTGCCTCTGATTTTCCATAACAGATTGGCTGTCTGTCGTGGATGCTTTAGTTGAGATTCCAGCATTGCAGGGGGTTGGGCTAGATGACCCTTGAGGTCCCTTCTACCTCTCCACAACCACTACTGGCCTGCTTGGCATCAGTGGGCTGTTATTTATTTATTTATATACAGAGAGAGGTGTGTGTACTTAGGAGGGTGGGTAAGAATAATGCAAAATGAATTGGCAATGCACCTATAAAATAATGAAATACCTTACAGCTGCAGCAAGTTAACATTCCTAAAAGCTGTACTTTAATACAAGGGGTTTTTGTTTTGTTTTTTGAGGTGGACAAAATGTTTTGCGTGTATATATGTGTTTTGCTGAGAGTTGTGAAACTGCACAAATTTGTTGCAACTTGCTGTATATTCTTGATTTTCTTGATTTCCCACCCAGCTTGCTTGCTTGTGTCAAGCTTGCTTGTGTTTCCCCCTACTCCCCACTCTTATATTTGCAACAGCCCTGTGAGGTAGGCTGGGTTCAGTTAATATATGTACATAAGCAGCAGGTCTCATCACTCAGTAGATTGTGGGATGTGGGGATGCAGGCAGCCCAATCCATATGTAGTGCAGCCGGCCCAGGAAATCCAGCTGACGTCCCTGGGAAGCAGTCTGTTTCCCCCTGTCTTATGTGGTAGGTGGGTAGCTCAGCTGGTAGAGCACGAGACTCTTAATCTGGGGGATGTGAGTTCGAGCCCCGTGTTGGGTGAACTATTCCTGCATTGAAAGGGGTTGGACTGGATAATCCTTGTGGCCCCTTCCAACCCTATGATTCTGCGTATGGTGGTGGGAACTCTTAGGTCTTGCCCCACTCCGCCAGGTTGCAGCCCCTGCCAGGTGCCCCCTTTCAGCTCCAGACTCCAGCCAGCATCTCAGGCTCTGGGGCTCAGGAGAGGGAGCAGTCATACCTCCTCTCTCCCACCCTCACATCCCCTCTTGCCCAGGGCCCTGAGATGGAGCCCGGGCACCAATTTAGCCGCAAATCATCCAGGAAGGAGAATAAACTGACTTTTTTGTCTGCTTCCACAGGTAAATATAATGTGAATGACATGGATGAAGGTAAATGCCCTTCTGACCCTGCGTTAGTGTTAGAGAAGAGATAACGGAAATTGGGAATCTTGTGAAATCTTCCATCTTGTTTCACCCAGTTATTCAGCTTTTTGTTCACTTGTTAGATAAAGTACTGTATCTGTTTCCCAGCTTCCCTGCAGGTCCCATGGATATTAATTTCTGTCAACAAGGAGAGCTGTTCCCAATTATTTTGTTACTTGATTGTTTGGATGGCAATGCCTACGTAGTCCAGTCAATTGTAGGCATTACTTGGCCCTATTTTACGCTTTTAAAAATACCAGCCATCTAACAGCCCTAAATCTTACATTGGACACTTGGTACTGATCACTCTGGAATATAGCTGTTATGGAGAAAATCACACATTATTTTGAGATTTCATAGAATCGTAGAATCGTTGAACTGTAGAGTTGGAAGGGACCCCCAAGGGTCATCTAGTCCAACCGCCTGCAATGCAGGAATCTCAATTAAAGCATTCATGGGAGATGGACAAGGACCTCCAGACACTTTTTATATGATTTTGGCATCATTTCCAAGACAACCCTCGTCACAAGGCTGGCAAATCTGGAGCTAGACTTGAGGATCTGATAACGTCTTTACTTTTCTTTACTTAGACTTTGTTAAGATATGTGCAACTACTCATTCTATGTGCCTATTTTATAGTTTTGTTTTTCATCTTTCATTTTTTGTCTGCTATAATTGTTCTCTCTGTTTTATATACATTATAAAATGAAATAATAATAAAAACCTTCGCCAAAAAACCACCTGTCTCAGGATATCCATGGGTGGAACGAGGGTTGGTGGAATCAATTAAGAACCTGGTGGATGCTGACTGAGTTTATTGGTTTTTTAGATATCAGTAATAGTTATCTGATGAAAGATAACTTTATTGGTCAGACAATATATTTGAATTCAATAAATCTGAATGAGCTTTTGCAAGTCAGAATGTCTTTAATCTGACACCATTATGCTTAAGGGGTCTTGCAAGGAAAAAGAATCAGATTGGTGCAGTTTTATTATTCTGATACTCTCATGACAGAGTTTCCCACATTTGGGTCTCCAGCTGTTTTTGGACTACAACTCCCATCCTCCCTAGCCAGCAAGGACCAGTAGTCAGGGATGATGGGAATTGTAGTCCAAAAACAGCTGCTGTATGTTATTGTCTTTTACTCTCTACAGAGGATGGACAGAGAGAGAGAGAGAGAGAGAGAGAGAGAGAGAGAGAGAGATTGTAAACAAAGCTTTCCCTGAAGATCTTTGTCAGTGAAGAGGGGGCTAAACCATTCTTCTTAAACAAGATTGACACATTTTATGTGCGGACTCTGCAGTACAACACAACTACCAGGAGTCCAAAGCATTTCTTTGTCCCACCTTGAAACTTCTTGCATAATACAACCAAGAATTCCGTTCAAACTTTGTGCAGCTAACTGAATCACAATAGCTTCTTCTACCCATTGTATACTCACTATGCTACACTCATACTTGTTATATTTGACCAGCATACTCTACTTTAGTGAAACTGTGAAGACCTACATCTGTTAGCTTTATTTTGGAAAAAACGTAGTATGAAAACTAGAGCTCATAAAACATTAGAAGTTTGGGAGTGGGATTCAAACCATGGAATTTTTCCTTTAATTTATACATTTGAATGTTAGAAATTGGTGTATAACATCATAATTCAAAATTCATCAGACCTGGTTTTTCCATCTATATTCAATGAGATGTTTCCTGGTTGGTTGAATGAAAATATGAAGCTGGTTGTGTTGCAAGGCAGCTGTCAGACACTGCCAAATACAAGAGGAATGCAAGTTTCCCAGATGACTTGTTGCCCTGAAGAGCATCAGCAGGCTTGGAAATTGTTATAGGTAGAAGGCAATGGTTGAGAAGCTTCTGCTTGTTGCCTTAAAGAGCCTGTTATGTACTGAAGTTCTCACCCTGGGCCAGCAGGGGGATACTGTAGATAGTTATGCAAATGAAGGATCGAAAAGTGACGTTCAGTGATTGGATAGTTTGTATGCAAATGAAGGATCGAAAAGTGACGTTCAGTGATTGGATAGTTTTAGAAAATGGCAACAGTTACATTGTTCTGGAGCTCTATATAAGCAGGCTGACTGAGCTCCTCAGTTTAGTTCTGTTCCAGCTCACAAAATAAAGAGCTGCTTTGGAGAAATCGCTGTGTCGTCTGCTATGTCAACCCACAACTTAACAGAGCCCCCCATTTTCCCCAACCTGAAAGCACAGTGGTAAAGGAGGATGGTTGCCTCCTGGGATAGCTCAGTCAGAAGAACACTAATTTCAGGGTCCTGGGTTCAAGTCCCACTTTGAGCAAAAAAATCCTGCATTTCTGACCCTTGTGATCCCTCCCAACACTAGGATTCCTCCTGCTCTTCCAGGGTTTTCTTGCTGCAGTGAATGGTGAGGGAGGACCATCCTCTGGGTACCAGGATATTAATATTATCCTGCTGTCTTGATATTCTCTCTCCTCTTGGCAAAGTAGGGAAAGTCAAGAGCATCCTTAAAGCCACTTCAGTGAATGGAATTTAATATGTATGCAAAGCATTTATCTCTCCCCCACCAGTTCATTGTTAGCTCTTAAAATACTAAACCTATGCCAATGCAGATATACGCTCTTCAGATTAATACATTTATAAGCACTTCCCTGTCATCAGAGCTGTCAGCTGTTTCTGACATGTTGCTGCAGGGCTATCTAGTTTATGTCAGAAAACTAACTGATGCACTCTAGGTGAAGCAGATGCAATATTCCCCCCAGGAAAGCATAAAGACATAAACAAAGTAATCCTATACTTTGGTGGTGGGGCCGGGGGTGTGTGTGTCCAGAGATACACCACTGCTAAAGGCAACGAGAGCTCAGCCCATGGCAGAAAAGGAAAATGTGGCAGAAATATTTTTTTCAAAGATGCTGCTAAAATACCAGTCACACCTCCAGCATCCTTGACATCCATGGAGAGACCCAGCCCATTGGATAATCTGTGGGAGTGGCCACAACACCCACAGTGCCCCCATCAAAGGAGTCCTAGTGTTGCCCTAGTATTGTAGGCAACACACACACAGCTCCCAAGCGACCCCAGGAAGAGGTCCAAGACCCCAACTGCTATACCTCACCCTCATGCAGAAGGATCCAGCCTCAAGGGCCCATCAGCTCCCCCCTGGCAATCCTCACCCACCCCACAGCCACTGGGCTTCTTTTCCTCCTGGCAGGGCTGTAGAACACAGGCCACTTCCAGGCATTTCGACTGATAACACTTCAGTGCTGCTTATCAAGAAGTATGGATTTCCAAACGGGAACCAGTGACTGAAAAATTAAGAATTTCACATGATTCTGTGAGGATTATCCCTAAACTTTAAGCCAGTAGAGGCTTAATGAAGAAGGCTCTGTCAGCAGGATGAGGTCCACGGCCAGCCATACAAGTGCATAAAGCAAACACATTAGCAGTTGAATCAAACAAAATATTCGGGTTCTCTTTGGAGCTCAATATTCAAAATTTGCAGGCCTACACTTCTCATTCTTTAATTTGCAATATTTGCCTTTGGTATCATTTTTCACATCTGCTTTCCACACAAGCAGCACATAGCAGCAAGAGATCAGTTGTCCAAAGCAAAACCTGCAATACAGAACTTCTGTCTCTGGTGCTGGGTCTATAGAGGGTCCTTGGCAACTCAGGTATGTTGCCACTTGCTGCATCAATTGTCAAATGATGAACAAAGACATGTGTACTACTGACCCCGAGTGTTGAGTAACCATGCAATGAGAATCCAAAGAATGCATTTGCTTATAGGCCAGACTTAGGCAACTCACCCAAGGTGGGGAACCTTCTGTGTAACCTTGGGAGTGCCATACCTTGTTTTCTGGCACTGCATTGGTGTAACCAGAATGGCACCTCTACCTAAGTACCTGTGTGTTTGTTGTGAAAGTTTCAGGGTTGTGTCAGGTGTTCTACTACCAGGATCAGTTTCCATGAAAGTTTGAGCCACTTTTCTGTGCTGCCTTCCTGGAGGCTTCCTGATGGGGGGCTCCCCATGGACATCAGGTGGGCCCCTGTGAGAACTGGATGCTGGACCAGATGGGTCCCTGGTCTGGTCCAGCTGGACTCTTCTTGCATTCTTAAGAAACCTGCTCATGCCTGTTGACCCTTGGTTGGATCCAGCAAGGCTCTTCTGGTTTTCTTAGTTAATCTAACAACTCAACCCTAGTATTTATTTATTTTTTTAAAAAAAAACCTAATAAAAGCTAAGGAGTGTGAATAAAGCAAAAAGTGAGCATATTTCTATAAAACCTACTCTATTGGACAGAAAGAATACCATCCAGTAGATATATGAATGGTAAATTCCGTTACATTTTTCTCACATCCTCAATCAAAATGATTAATGAATTAATAAACTAATTATTGTTACATCTCTCTCTCACGTCCTCAGGCTCCCTCCCTTATGACATGCCTCTTGGCTGTAAACTCGTGTGGTTTTGTAATCTCTTATTTAACCATAACTCTTATTTTTGAAAGCAAATGAATAGCTATAAGTATATGTTCATAAATAAGCCCAGTTCAATTCAGTGGGACTTATTGCCACCTAAACAGGTACAGGAGTCATAGCTAAGGCTACCTATTGCATGCACACCTACCTAGGAA